CCGCGCCCCGTCCTGGCCGCCTAGATCCCGGGAATTGCGTTCCTTGAGCAGCGCCTTCTCCTCGGCGTTGAGGAAGCGCGCTTGTTCGGGCCAGTCGGCGATGAGAAATTTGGCCGGCACGGCCGAGACAATCGATAGCAGGCCCTCGATGATGAAGATCCATCGCCACCCCGAGTAGCCGGCGAGCCCGTGCATATGGTAGAGAGCGTAGGCTAACAGGCCACCAAAGGCGCCGGCGACTAGGCCAGCTACCCACAGCACCGAGAACCGCTTCTGGAAGTCGTGGCGGCGGTAGTACATGGACATCAGGTATGCGCAGCCGGGGACGAAGCCTCCTTCGCAGAGGCCTAAGAAGAAGCGACAGGCGACGAGACCGGCTTTATTCTTCACCAGGCCTTGGCACATGCATGTTACGCCTGAGTTGTCAGACATGAGTATCAAGTAAGGGAAGAGAGGTGCTTACCCCAGCAAAAAGTCAAAGCACTGATCCAGGTCGACGGCGCAAACCGCTTGAGCACAATATTACTCGGGATATCCGCGATGATATACGGGACGAAGAAGATCTGCATGGCAAGCGCCATATCCTTGCCGTCCATCTTCAACTCCTTGAGAATCCCCAGCACCGCCACATTGCCCAGGTTGATTCGATCGAGGAAGCCGAACACGAAGATGACCCAGAGCGGCACCATGAGATGCAGGTCGATCTTGCGCAGAAGCGCCTTCTCGCGCTTCTCGTTGATCTCGATCTCGGGCGCCGCGGTTTCCAGGCTACTGCCTGTTTGGCTAATCTCATGATTAGGCTGTTTTTCCATCGCGACCAAGCAATCTGTTCCTAGGATCGAGGAATTGATACGGATGCGTTGAGATGGCTGGGGAGGAGAAAAAAAGACTTTTTAAACGTCACAGCATAGCGTGGCCAGCCACGGAACCTGTTACTAACAGGAATTTGACAGAAAGGAGATACCCCTGCTAGAGGACTTGAGATAAATAAATATCAATGTAACATGGCCAGAAAACCAAGATGGAGAGTCTTGTCGACACGGATATTTATCCCCTCACGGCACAGTGATCCCTGCACATGGGCGCACCACGGGCTCAACATCAGTCGTGCAGGGACTAGATTCCCTGCTCGAGTCTCGCAATCGCATGGATGATGCATGACTAGTGAGATAACTAAATGTCTAGGCCGGCGGGGATAGCGGTTAGTGGTTAGTGTTCCTCTCGGTTGCACGGGTGGCACATATCGACAAATTAAACAGTGAAACAAGTGGTCTTGTCCACTCAAGGGCCAAGAGAAGGATTGGACCATCGGATGGACAGTGCAGGCTAGTTTATTAAATCCGACATGGGTTGACTTGAAATCATTAGGTCGTGCCAACCGGTAATTCAAGGAACTGCAACCTCAATTTAATCATGCATGAATCGCTGCTAAGACATGGGACTTTTTGCTTCTGCCCGTGTCGCCGAGTATGCTCATCCTGCCGAATGGGTGAAAAATGAGAACATGACCGACAATTGCTGCGGTAATTGGCTGCTGCAGTGTCGTATTAGCCACAAGAGCCAGCTTGTTGATGGAAATTGCCCATGTCAAGTCTCCTGGGCTCAGTTCAATTCCCCCGACACGAAAGTACTGTCAGTGACATGGTCTGATTGATCCCTGTCTCTCTGTTGGATTCTCTGCATTTATGTGCAGATCTCCCTGCCCTCTGCCCCTGACGCGAAATGCGCGATATGTGTCAGTCCGCAGGCCATGCCTCTGTTTAGCGACTATGGGGATCACCCAGACAGCTCTGCGCGGCTGTCCTATCCATCGCTGGTCTTTGCCATTGTCACTCCTCTCGTGGTGATTGCAAGACTGCTCGGTCGCCGGTTCCTTTCCGGTCGCGTTGGCGCAGATGACTGGACGATTCTGGTCTCTTGTGTGAGTATCAGCAATTGCAGGTGTTTGTCTGCGTATTGACTCGTGGTAGGCTTTTGCAGAAGCGGTATCAATCCAGATGATCATCGGTAAGTCACGGACTCTGCCACTGATGCAGCACAGCTGACGACCTAGTCTGCGGATGGGCATTTGGCAAGCACCAGCATGAGATGCCCAAGGAACTGGTCCTCAGAACATTGAAGGTATGTCGTCAACGCGGATACCTGGCTTCAGCTCACATCGGCAGCTCTACTTCGTGGCCCAGATCCTCTACAAGGTCAACCTCGGCTTGACCAAGATCAGCATTCTCCTCCTGTACATCCGACTGTTTGTCCATCGCTGGTTCCTCAGGACCTGCTGGGTGTGGATCGCCATCATCGTCTCCTTCACCATCGGCACCGTCTTCTCCAGCATCTTCCAGTGCACCCCGGTGCAATGGGCCTTCAACAAGTCCCTCCCCGGCCGCGGCACCTGCATCAACATGACGGCCTTCTGGTACGCCAACGCAGCATTCAACATCCTCACCGACCTGGTTTTGATCGCGCTGCCCATTCCCGTCGTGCTGAAGCTGCAACTCCCGCTCAAGTCCAAGATCGCCCTCTGCGGCATATTCGCCGTGGGTCTTTTGTAAGTTGCCTCCTTATGTACATGCATCCAAACTTATACTGTATACTGATATACTGATTGACAGCACCTGCATCACCTCCGTCCTGCGCATCACAACCCTCAACGTCGCCACCAACCACCTCGACACAACCTGGAACAGCATCGGCTCGTCCATGTGGACCGTCATCGAATCCAACCTCGGCATCATCTGCGCCTGTCTCCCCGCCCTGCGCCGTCCACTCTCCTTTTTCTTTCCTCGGCTCTTCAGCAGACTGCACAAGAGCTCTGCGGGACCTGCCTCGCATGGGAATCGCTCGCAGCCGGTGGACGCGACCCCAAAAAAAGTCGAGGGCTGGAGCGTGCTGGATGAGGGCGGAGCGGACGTGACTGTCTCGGCGGCGGGGCAAGAGAGGATGAACCCTGAGGAGTGTGTTATCAGGAAGACGACCCGGGTGGTGGTGCGGTATGATGAGATGGATAGTGAGATTGAGATGGGGCAGTATGCTAATCGGCGTTGACGCTGCTTTATCTGGATGTTTACTGGTACTAGGTAGACAGTACTAGGCATATTCATATATAACCCGGGTTAATGCTTTGTCTACTTAGTCGTAGGCTCGTTTGTACCAAAGGGCCAAGGCGAGAGTAAAGCGCATGTCATCTTCTTTTGATTAAACAGAATGAAACAATCAGGTGGTGGCAGGCCATAGGTATGAGTCTCTTTTCGATTCTTATTCTTCTCTCAGACATCCATCATGAGCTATATAAAACTAATTTAATTCATTTTTCTAAAAATAATACATACATTGAATTGCTTTGGATATTCCTTATTATCAAATGTGGTATTGATATTTCTACTTATATAGTGAGTCATCTGCGTATGACAGGGTGTGTATAATAGATATATATACTAAGCTTAAATCCTGCACAGCAACTCAATATACACATCGACGAGCAGGTTAAGCCCCTTAATATACTGAAAACATCAATCAAGAAATCAAATACTTTATTCTCTGCACAAATAAAGATACAAAGATTAATAACACTATGCGAAAATGGAGAGCAGGTCTCTGACCACATTGCAAGCCTATAGAAGTATGATGCATGCCACAGCAACCAGCACCATTCTACTTAGCACCAAACCCTTTGATTTTTGGAAAAATGTGATAGTAGAAGTTAGCGTATGCTCTGTCTCTGCAAGCCGATGGATTCGTTCATCTTGTGGCTAGCGGTAACTGCATAGACAGCCACGCAGTAGCTCCACAAGGGCCGTAGACTCTGATGGGCCTGGTAAGGGTGGCATCTTAGAGTGGAATGTAAGTGGAGCAAGAGTGTTATAGGGAATATTCTTGTAATTGAAGAGTTCAGTTCTTAGGGGGTCATTCAAGGACATATATAGCTGTATGTTTGTGGTGAGGGATATTAGAAAGTGCTGATTCTGGATACATAAATTCAAGTATGAACTACTAGATTTCCTATTACATAAATGACATGTCTCCATACGGAATACTAGAATAGTGGATACTGATAACAGTCCTATGGGCCCTCGAAACGATCGGTTAAGTACCTAGCATGGCCCTAGAGGATGTTTGTAGCTACATTTCGTGCAATCTGTTTTCTCTTTTCCCAGTGACACAGAATACTTATTCTCAGAATAATAAATGGATGCTGATAAACAGACCTCTACATCGATCCCTCGCTCTTCCTCCTCGGCGGTTCCTTCACGGTGGGCCAGGATTTTCAAGAGGATCGTACGAAACCTAGGAGGTAAGTCCAGTTCTACATACTGCTTCAAGTGACTGGGATATTGGAGCTGAATTCTCAGTTTAATCCCTATCTTGCTGTTCACTGCGCTTGTACGATTGGTGGGGAGTTACATGGGTGGCCTAATGGAGGAGACTTGTCCCTATCGCTCAATACTTTCTTGTTGCTTCTCCATTGGGTCGTATCACAGTATGTCGATGACTGAGGGAATGATGGCTGTGTCAAACAGAGGATTTTGTCTGCTATATATACTAAAGTCCTAGACTCAAGTCTCATGTTTTTGTGCAAGCGCCTCCCTGACTGCATATACAACTGTCTGTCGTCGCTGGCAGGCAGCGTTTGAGAAATTCATTTACTCCAAATTGAACCTGTACAGTGAGGACGGATTCGTCAGTTGCGGTACGATATCGTTCTTCCTTTTGAACTCCCAGACTGGACGACTCGTCAAGAGGAAGGGTATACCACCAATAACCCTGTTCGACACGCAAATGATATCGCCTTTCAATCACAAGTCATCGATCTGTTCAACACACTAGAGTCATGGGACAAGAGTCATCGCTTGTCCGTCATTCTGTTTCTTCGAGGGTATGAGCTAGGCCAGGAACCATGTACCAAAGAGGATTACGAAGCTGGACGATATAACTGGAATACCGTGGACTTTGGCACACAGCCTGTTCCTGTGTATCGCGCGCGCTTCGATGAGGACGGGGCGTCGATGCTACGCGACGTTTCATGTATCGATCAAATATCGTTTCCTAACCTGATCTGGGCTGGGGCCGCTATGCAGATTGTTCGACACTGTCAGGAACTCACAGAACTATATTTACACCTGGACGAGTATATCAGACCAGATAACCTAAAATACTTGAAAAAGCGGCGCCAAGGTATGGCCTCTCTGTCTACCAACGCCGCTATGTTACGTTCCTCATAGCCTCCTGGATTCCCTGCTGATGGAGCTGTAGCCGTGTCTGAAGGTCTGAAAGATATCCCCCCTACATTAAGGGGTTTTCATTTCGAGAATGTAGACGAGAGGAATTGGAAGAATGCCATGCCGCCCTTGAATGTTCTATTCTCGAGCGTCGACACCCTATCCATCAGAATCCGCGAACTGAGCCTTTCCCTTGGTGAGCTGGAACTGCTTCGAGTTCCTATATCTCTGGATTTTCTGTGGCCTCTGGATGCGAAAGATCATTCATTACCAGCCAACGCATCTTTACACTGGCCCAACCTGGAGACTTTGAATTTATATCAATTTCAGCCCTGGCTTCCTTCAGGTAAGAACTATTCCTCGAATATCCATTTGCTGTATGGATATGTAGATGCAGTATGCCAGATACCTAAATGCACCCAAATCGCTAACCTTCTGAATGTGTAATAGGGGAATGGATCGTTCGCCCTGATGTAGAAGAGGAAGCCATAATTGCTGGGATTGACGACTGGGAGGCAGAAATCCGCAGCTATGAAGTAGATGCGTACAGCGACCCATCTACGAGCAAGAGCAGTTTCATCGAATATTCATCTCATTGGGCCGCCGCAAGGCGTATGCCTCGCTTGAAGGCCATCAACTTCGATCTCAACCACTATTTCTATTTCATTTCAGGTTCTCACGTGGAGCGGACTTGACCAGCGTCGAGTGGGAGCTAGAACGTCATGGTTCATATATGCCTGATGATCGCGTTGCTGCTGCTTGGGGCTTTCAGCTTGATCATGAACAACTCCAAGGTCGGGATTATCACGCAACTCTATCATATTGGCCGCCAGTCGAGGGGAAGTCTATGTGATCGACAAACTTGAAGGTTGGCATTATCTGAATAATAATCACCGAGGCCTTTTCTCAGGGCGATCCAGTTCTATGCGATACACTGTCGTTCAGAGCCGAGAGCTGTCAATGCCAGAGATGTTCCCAACATGTATCCGTCAGCTCTTGAGCGTCTCAACCAGACGTTTCTCGAAGTCAGCGGGTTCTATTTTAGCAACAACAGAATCAGGGTCAATCATACGCAGAAGCGAGATCGATTGTCAGGAGACACCGGCTTGGGAGGCAAAGCAGTGCTTCAAGGGGTCGTTCATGGCTGACCCTGATCGAGTTTCGTTCACGTCTGCTGTCGTTGAAGTCTACAGCTCCGCAGCGGAGAGTGATCGGGGACTCAGAGATCTTGTCGTACAGAGAATGCGGATATTAGGTGCAGCATATGCAGCCATACACTACGCCTGACGTTCATGCATTTCGGCACTCGTTAGCGAGGGAGCTAGTCATGTCTACAAACATGGTCTAAAGGAACTGAAAATGAAGTCTTATGATAGCTAGACTCAAGAATGAAATTATGGCGCTCAACTATAGATCTTCCAATAACAACATGCTGATGCTACATCACCATCCGCGACGGACCCTGAAAGAGCCCTCCTCCCGGATATCCCTGCTTGAACTACCAACATACACCTTGAACGTTCCACTGGGTACCACCCACTTCTGCTGCTGCACATCCCAGTAGCTCAGGTCCCGACGGGTCAGCTCAAACGTCGCCCGCCCCATCTGGCCAGGCTGGAGCATCATCTTCTGGAATCCACGCAGCTGCTTTGGGGGCGTTGCAGGCGCCGAGTCAGGAAGTCCAATGTACAGCTGCGCCACCTCGGCACCCGCCACCCGACCATTATTTCTCACGAAGACGGAAACTTGACCGACCACCTCGAACAGGTCGGCAGGACCGCCGGGGACAACTTTTCCGTTGGCCGCACCGGCGCTCGTGTACACGTTCACCCAGAGACCGCTGTACTTAAAAGTGGTGTAGGACAAGCCATACCCGAACTCGTACCGCGGAGCAATCCCCTTTGCATCGAAATGGCGGTAGTCGATGTACAGGCCCTCGGTGAAGTCGTCCGTCTCGGCGTTGATCCAGCTGGCGCCGTAGTCGGCTGCCTGCTTGGCAATCGTGTAGGGCAGCTTTCCGCTGGGGGCCGTGTCGCCGTAGATCACGTCCACGAGGGCATTACCGCTTTCTTGGCCGGGAAGGCCGGCCCAGACGATCGCCTTGACGCTGGGTTGCGCCAGGATGGTCTCGAGGATGATGGGGCCAACGCTGTGGACGACGACGATGACGTTCTTGCTGGCGGCTGCGACGGCCTTGACTAGCTCGTTGCCATTGTGCCAGGGGTCCAGGTTGTTGCGGTCGCCAAGGTTACCCTCGACGGTGATGTAGCCTTCGCCCGAGTCGGAGTTGATGAAGACGATGGCTGTTTCGGCAGCGGCAGCTGCGGACGCTCCGGCGGTGGGGTCGTCGGTGGTGCTGGGGACGATCTTGGTGCCGTCGGCTGCAGCGCGCTTCTGAATCGCGTCCAGGGGTCCGACGAGGTACTATGCTGTTAGCATGTTGTGCGTGAGAAGGGCAGGGGCAACTTACGGGAAACTCGGCGGTTCCACTTCCCCAGCCCATTGCGAGCGTGCCGTTGTTGCAGCCGCGGTCAGAGCAGGCGTTGGGTCCAGCAGGGTTGACGATGGCGTCGAGGCCGACGATCGCCAGGCTCTTGGGCTTGCGCAGGGGTAGGGTGCGCTGGTCGTTCTTGAGCAGAACGATGGAGTCGCGCGCGACGGCACGGGCGACGGTGCCGTGGTCGGCTGTCACGTCGACGTTGGCCTTGCCGCCGTTCCATGAACTGAAGGCCACAGGAGGATACCCCTTGTCCTGGCCAACGAGGTACCACGCTGCCAGAATACGAGTGACCATGTCGTCGAGGCGAGATTGCGGGACAGAACCGTCGGCGACGGCAGCCTCCAGATTCGATCCCCAGAAGATACTGCCGGGTGGATTGCTGAAGTCACTCCCCGGCATGGTCATGTCCAATCCGGACACCGCGCTGTTGACGGTGCTGTGCTGCGCATTCCAGTCGCTCATGATGTACCCAGGGAAGCCGAGCTCCTCCTTCATGAGCTTGTTGTTGATCGCATCACTCTCGCACGCCCAGGTGCCGTTGACCTTGTTGTACGAGCACATCACCGACGCGACGTCGGCCTTGACCGCGTCCATGAACGGCCACACGTACAGCTCGTGTGCCGCGCGGTCGCCGATATTCGAGCTGATCGTATCGCGGTAGTGCTCCTGCTCGTTTCCCAGCCAGTGCTACTGCATCATCAGCACCGCGCTCGTCAGGTTGGCGAGGAGAGCATACCTTGGCGCAAGCCTGCACACCCGAGTCCTGCATTCCTCTGATTGTCTTCTCCATAGCTACACCGCTCAGGTAAGGATCAACCGAGAATCCCTCCCAATTTCTGCCACCATTCGGATTCTTCCCCAAAGGTCCAGCCACGGGACCAAGCTGCACATGAACACCTAGTCCCTTCGCCTCAGCGCCCATTGCTGCTCCCCGCGCATACAGCAGCTGCGTATCCCAGGTCGCACCGGCATTGATACCCGCCGGGAAGGCCGTCACGGGGTTTGCGAAGCGGATACCTAGCGGCGAGTCCTGCAAACACAAGGAAGGGTAGTCGATCGACTCGGGCTTGTATGTGTTGCCCACACAAGGGCCGCCCATCCATTTGACTCCGGTCACCAGCCCGACCTTTTCGGTCTGGCTGAGCTTCTGCAGGGCATCTTTGGCGCGAGAGTAGGCTTGATCCCAGTTGCTGCCACCAGAACCGTAGGCGTGGACGGTCACGGCGGCCGCCAGGAGAGAAAGGAAGAGGTTCTGCATGTCGGCGGGCGTCGATGCTGATCACTGGCTGGGAAACAGATCGGAAAAGGGAGACATTCGTCGCTATTTATCCTGCGTCGAGCTAATAGTGAGAGTTGGAAGGAATCGACAGGGGCGTGAGGCCCCTTGCTTCCCCGCATGGGCCATGCTTCTGTTATTGGATCAATAGCGCGCGGCCACAGTGGACGGATCGGAATGAAAGATGGAATGGACGCCATCGGTGGTCTCGATTGACTAGCTAGAATTCATTTTAGTGGCTTTAATGTTTGTAGAGTCATCGCATGGCTCTGGAAAGGTGCATCCCGACATCGCATCGCTCTCGTGGCACTGTTACATCGCGGGTTCTCCGCGAACCTTACAGAGGAAATTAATATTGCACGGGCCATGTTTATTGGACGGGTCGAAGGCATGGCCTCGCTAGAGACGGCTAGTCTTCTTGTCCTTAGTTCCCCGCAAAAGATGGGCGCGTTATGACCGTGTTGTGAAAGCTGGGCATTGCGGGGGGCAAAGCCGAGGACAAATCAAAGCCGAATCTACGTGTTTGCTGAATCTCGGCCGTACGTATGGTTGAAGGATTAGGCTCCTCCTTTTCAGAGACAGTGTTCTGTGGCGTGCAAACAAAGGATCAGTGATAAGCGTGCACGGGATGGCCGACATTGCCCACCGCATCAAGGACATACGTCGCAGATGGGGGTGCGGATTCCTTCGATATTCCTGCTCGTTGAGGGTCTGTATCCTCGGCATTTATGACTGCTTATAAGATCATTCATCTCCCTCAGGGTCGAGGGAAGACCCCATTTACCCATTCAGGTAGTTGGCAAGCCCAAATGACGATCAGCTTCAGGACTTCCTTTTTGGTACGGACTTGGCCTTCAACCCCGCCTCGTTACATCGTTAGTCCCTGGAGGATATCGGCCAGATGCCGATTCTCACTGTAAGAAGTAGGGTAGGTCCGTGTGGCGCTGAAGACAAATCTTGGTTGGCTTAAACTCCGGCGCTATTCAGGCTTACCATTTCCGTGTTAGGGCACTCTATTTGCTTCACGCTATCTAAGAAGGTATTCAACGGGGATATTACTACTAGCGAATTAGCCCATGGGACGATTTGAAATTCTTCAGTGTCATACCCATCGGCTTGTCGGGCCTAAATGCCTGTCCCCAGGATGCAATTACCGGTCCAGATACGACATTTGCCGGCAGCCTGTTCGAATGGCACTGTCATGGGACTATACTCTATACGGAAGGTCTCAAGCTTATATTCCCTATATCCGGTTGCAGAATGCTTCAATAGACGATGGCCATGATTAGGCTGTTGTCAACATGAAACACCAGCAGCTCTGAGAAAACAATGGCTACTCCAGAGGGAGCGGTCTTCACTTACAGATTGGGGCCGTCTATAAAGAAGACCGTCCAGACTTGCTCCGAGTCGATTCTCTTCCTATCAAGCCTTAAGAGGGAATTCGCTGCAAAGACACCATGAAGACCTTCGCAATCCTTGGAGCTTTCTTCTCCTCTGCCCTCGCTCAAACTCTCTGTGACCAGTATGCCACGTACAGCAACGGCCGCTATACCGTCAACAACAACCTCTGGGGCAAGAGCTCCGGCTCCGGCTCCCAATGCACCTACGTCGACAGCATCTCCAACTCGGGCGTAGCCTGGCATACGACCTGGACGTGGTCCGGCGGCGACAACCAGGTCAAAAGCTACGCCAACTCTCAGGTCTCCCTGACTAAGAAGCTTGTCAGCCAGATCAGCAGTATCCCAACCACCGTGCAGTGGAGCTATGATAATACCAACACACGCGCAGACGTAGCGTACGATCTGTTCACAGCTGCGGATATCAACCATGTCACCTACAGCGGGGATTATGAACTGATGATCTGGTATGAGAGTGTGTTCATGTCGGACTGATTGGCTTTAGCTGATTGGTATAGGCTGGCTCGCTACGGTAGCGTCCAACCAATCGGCTCGCAGATCGACAGTGTCAACATTGGAGGCCATACCTGGGAGCTGTGGTACGGCGGCAGTACCCAGAAGACGTACAGCTTTGTCTCTGCCACACCGATCACCTCCTTCAGTGGCGATGTCATGGACTTTTGGGACTATCTGACCAGCAGGCATGGTTACCCTGCTTCGAGCCAGTACCTGATCAGTAAGTCTGTCATCCGACTTGGTCGAGCGCTACTGACTAGTGTAGATATGCAATTCGGCACTGAGCCGTTCACTGGAGGCCCTGCCACCTTGAGAGTGTCGCAGTGGACCGCCAGTGTGAACTAGTCTCTAGCTGGCGACTTGGGGGACAATAGCTTGATGGTAGACCATAGCTGCTGTGCACTGCTTGATGAAGTGGAACTTGGGGTTTCTTTCCGCAGTATTCGTACATGCTGAGAGGGTAAGAAGGAAACCACCTATACCGGCCGTAAGATACACGTTGCATACTGTTTCTCTTGGTACATTGGATTGCTCCGAGTATTCGCTCCCTAGTCATAGGCAGATAGGGGTATATGATTGAAAGAAGCATGTACAACTGCTCAGGCTGTCAGTTTAGCTGATACCGCTGCGCCGTGAGAAGCATACATTGAGTGATGGTTCAGTGATGCTTTTCATCAGCCGCATAGACCTCATCGAACCTCATCGACCCTCAACGAGCATGACTCAAGACTCATGGTAAGACTTTGCTTGGCGAGGCTACTATGCTCAATTTGATTTGGTTTGTTCTAGGCTACTGGCCAGAAACCAGTATGATTGGCTTTACCGCTGTTGAATGCAACCTAAGAAGAAACTAGTGGGTTAGCCATTAGCGCAGAGAGGCGAGACGCCCTCAGCAGAGGTAAGCATAAATCCTGCCCCTTTCCAAAATTTTTATTCAGGGAGCTCCGATCGCTTTACGTCCAAATCAGCCTGCAGGATGCGGTCCATGTACGCCCTGTCATTGTTGGTCCCGCTGGGCTGTTTCAAGCTCAGTCTGGCGGAATCTGTCCTAGTAAGTCCATCACATAAAACCTTTCTAAACTGTAGATGATGATGTTCATACCAAACAGACCATGCCATGGGTCGGCTTTGTAAGCTCTGGGAACTACTGGCGGGATTATGAGGGACGCGTGATAGGCGAAGTATGTCTTAAGACACCATGGACTGTTATAAATCTGATCATCACTCAAGAACGGGGACACGACGACGTACGCAATCAACTGCCCTCCGGCAAGTGACAAAACTGCCTGTATCAGGTTTGATCCAGATGCGACATTGATCGCTGCTCCCAGCTGTAGGCCTCCGATATAACCAGCCAATGGATATGACTGACCGGATCACGCAGCCTACGACTTCATCATGAACAACTATGGGTTGTGTGTTCTACCGCGGAAATAATCCTGCTACGTGCTAATGGTTCTAGCTATACAAGCACCGGGTGCACCTTTACTGGCTCTCCCACGCCCACCACCGCCACTTGCTCGTACAGCCAGTCATGGCATATTCGCTCTTCCACTGTGACTCGTGATGAGACTTATGTTCTTCCTGGAACTGAGGTGCGGGAAATCGTCTCTGCTACCTTGACTGTGGCAGGGACGGGACCTTTTCCTACTGGCACCGCTGCGACTGCTACTGCAGCTACAGCGACCACAACGACAGGTTCTACTACAGGTAGGACAGTAGAAAGCACTACTACCACGAGCAAGACGGCTTCAGGAAACGTCGCAGGCCGGACAATGGCACCGATGATGTTGGTGGGTGCGGTGGTGGCCGGTATGGCGGCGCAAGCATAGCCCCTTTTGCCCGGACATCGGCTGTTATAGGTGCATATCCTTTGCATGTTATCCCTTAGAGTGGATAACTTGTGTCATCACCCTCAGAGTGCGTAATAATCCTGCTAGGCAGGAGGCGCAAATAATAGCCTAAGTGTAGCATGCATGAATCTGGTCTTTCCCCTGTCTTTCCACAGGCTCCAGTAATGAGGTACTCAAACCTTGTGCATGATTATACAGACCAGTGTGCTGTAGGAAACGACAGCTCTCGATGCAGTCTTCTTATAATCTCTTCGTACATTGGCTCCGTCTCTGGTGTTATGACACCATGGCGAATGAAAAAGTCAATGACCACAACCGCACTATTCGGTTTAAAACTTCCCCTGCCCAAGGCGTCGACCAGCTGGTCCATATTCCAAAGCCGAAAATCTTCGACCTCTGAATCCTTCGGCCGCGGAACAGTACCTTCGTCCAGCTGAAGCTCATACAGGTATTCGACCTCGGGTAAAAGAACAGCCGTCGAGGACCCCTCGCTCAAAGCAAGAGATGAGTCTTTCATGTGGAAATAGGAGATAGTCCCGACGTATCTCATGCCACTCTTGATAATCTCACGCGCGATAGACGCCTCGTCCGTAGCCTCGAGGATCATGGCGCTTCGCGGCGACTCTCCCGCGCTCAGGGCCCCGGCGGCAGTGCAGTCAAACATACCAGGATAGGTCTGCTTCCGCATCGAGCGTTTCGCAATCCAGAGGCGAATGCCATTTTTCGCATCCTTCACGTAACAAAGCATCTGCACGCCGCTCGTTACAATGCCGAATAGTGCGCTCGCGGACCGTTCAATCTCCAGGATCACGTCGCCGCCGGGCCCGTAGACGGGGAATCTCTCGTTGCGCCAGCCTTTCAGAATGTCGGTATACCCGGCTTCAATCATCCTGTTGATTGCGTTTTGAATGATTTGGGTGCGTGTGGACGCTGCATTATCTGGGGGGTTGATTAAGACAATTGCCCCGGAGTCGATCATCCAATGTTCCCTTGGCCAGGGGATGCCCTGTACAAGGGTGTTTGGGATGTATCCGAGAGTTGCATCGATGCCTTGTACTTTGAATGCGTGGTAGGATTTGAGCGTTGCGGTGAAGCGGGCTGGTTCCTCCTCGTAGTATGGGAAGCTATAATGTGTTAGTATCTATGGATAGAATAGTGCAGGAAGTAGGGATACGTGCTTATCTAACTCGGAGACAATGTCAAAAAGGGTTTTCGACATGATTGTATGTACTGTAGATCCGATCGGGGGATGGTCGAGGTGGAAGATTGTGGTTGGCTCTTCCGGGTGTCTTGCTACGTGTCTTACTACATGGACTATTGATTACATGATATCTCTACCATAGTTAACTATCCATTAGTTAGTTACTTATGATAGATTACCTAATCTATATATCCCGTGCGTATGGAGTACAAAGAAATAGCAAAGGCGAGGGAAGAGAGGAGATGCCAGATGATCCAGAAAAAGGGGTTTGGTGACATACAAGAACTCGTTTATTTCGTCGTCCATGGAACAGGTCAAGCAACTCTTACCAAACGAGTCCCAACCTGCTTAGTCTTTCTAAGCAATGTTTCTGCATTATTATTAGAAACTTGGAGTGTGACTGATGGATTTAGCAAGGATGATCTAGTTACTGACTGCGCTCTTAGTCATGACTTGTAACGTATTCGGTAAGCGAGTCGGCCACGTAAGCGAGTCGGCCACCCCCATCAAGAATCACCACCCCTTTGAAACCAAGGCTATTCAGCCATCCATATCACCACGAAAAATGCCCAAATCATCAAAATCCTTGGTGGAACGAGAGGGGAGGATCTCCTTAGCAGTTAAGGCTATTCAGAATGGCCAAATCAAATCAGTTCGTGAAGCTGCTCGTGTCTTTGAAGTTCCCCGGTCAACACTTCAAGATCGTTTGAATGGAATCAAATTTCGCAAGGAAACCCGCGCCAATTCCCATAAGTTGACTCCTATAGAGGAAGAATCACTTATTAAATGGATTCTCTCATTAGATCAACATGGTGCACCGCCAAGGCACTTCCAGGTCCGTGAAATGGCTACAATATTAATCCAACAACGTAGTCAAGATACAACTTCCTCAGTGGGAGAGAAATGGGTATATAACTTCATTTCCCGCCATGATTCCTTGAAAAGTCGGTTTAGTCGTCAAATCAATTATAAACGGGCGAAATGCAAGGATCCTGAAGTTCTTCAAGCCTGGTTCAAACGCGTGCAAGCCGCTATATCAACTTATGGTATCGCCAATGAAGATATCTACAATTTTGATGAAACCGGCTTTGCTATGGGCCTGGTGGCTACCACGAAGGTAATCACACGATCATCCTGTGAAGGAAGGCCCTTTCTTATACAACCGGGAAATCGAGAATGGATAACTTCAATTAAGTGTATCAACGCCTCCGGATGGGCATTACCAGCATACTTAGTGTTGAAAGCAAAGACTCATATTCAGGCCTGGTATGAAGGTAATACTCCAGCTTCATGGAGAATTGCTATATCATCAAATGGATGGACAACACGAGAAATTGGTGAACACTGGCTCAAAGAACACTTTATTCCTTATATTAAGGACCGAAGAACTGGCCAATATAGCCTCTTAGTTCTTGATGGGCATGACTCTCATTTAACACCTCAATTTGATGATATATGTCATCAAAATGATATTATTCCTATTTGCATGCCTGCAAATTCCTCACATCTCTGTCAACCTTTGGATGTGGCCTGTTTCTCACCATTGAAACGAGCTTACAGTAACCTCATTGAACGGCTTGTACGAACAGGATATCACCATATTGATAAGGTTGACTTTCTTGACGTCTACCCAGAAGCCCACGCCCAAGCCTTCAAGAAGATGAATATACAGAGTGCTTTTAGAGCCTCAGGATTAGTCCCTTTTAATCCTAACCAGGTTCTGGATAGCCTCATCTTTTACAAGGAAGACAGCCGTCCCAGCAGTCAAGGCACTACATCTACGATTACCAAAACACCGATAAATTTGAATCAATTCAAAAAGCATGAGTCGGTGATCTCTCAATTACTTCAAACAAACCCTCCTACCTCACCAATACAGACAGCAATATCTTACATCTGTAAAGGTGCAGAGATAGCCTTGAACCGTGCTATTCTTCTTGAACATGAAAACCTTCAACTTCACCAGGCCATTAAGAGACGAAAGAATAAGCAGAAGCGTAACCAACACCAAATGAATGGTTTGAATGGCTTCACAATCCAGGAAGCACTTGAGGCATTCAACCATGTTCAGGCCTTAGAGGAAGCAGCTGGTGATACAGGGCCTGGAGATGATCAACCACGCCGTCGGGCACCACCTCGGTGCAGTATGTGTGGTGTTTTAGGACATATACGTACAAGATGTCCTAATCGAGTAGCTGCCTGAATTCAGCGCGTTTTAATGGTTAGATTAACGTGGAATAACTTCCTTTTTTGTATGTAAATCAGAATTCTAGGATATGCCTTGACCGGGTGGCCGACTCGCTTACATGGCCGACTCGCTTACCGATTACGTTATATGTACTGTTCCGACGTAGTGATAATGAAGATATAAACAGACTGGAAATGTCATTAAGGGAAAGTTTACTTTCTACTTTCAACATATTGAAGCTAATCACCATTTTTCACCAGGGTGGCTCCTCTATCGAATATATATAGGCCTTGAACTTCGTCGAGTCTCTCGCGAACTCTCTGAAAGGGACTCACACTAATTTCCTAACCATCAATAATGGGGAAACCTCAAATAGAGGCACTGAATGCCTCGGGGCAAGAATTTGACAATAAGAAGATTATTGTTTCTCACATCGTTTTCCTTCGCTGCCTCATGCGACAGAAGACTGAGCCATGTTCCTCATTTGACAGCAAGGCCAACATTGAGAAATAATATCAAAGGATCTGGTCTACCGAGCGACTTTGTCCTTCCTGGTAACTATATGAGTAACCCGACTAAGATGATCACCAAGGGTGAGAACGGGGTGCATCAACTGTTCTACCGGTTAAGGGGACCGAGTAAGATTCGTGGAGAAAGTCTTAGTGATAGCCTGAAGCTGCTGGATTCGAAGCCAGTGACACTACCTGGACTGAGTTTGTGCGGAAGGTGCTGCCTGGAAGTAAGGAGTGCATTTACAAGAGAGCTCAGCACTTGTCTTTGAGGACAGTACAGATTCTCCTGATCACCTTTGTGGATTCCATGTATCAGTCTGAAATGAGAAATTTGTCCATTCTTTATTTCGTATACCTAAGAATTTCGTTGCAAACGTGCCAGTACGATGGATGCTGAGAAAGTAAATCTCCATGGTTTAAATTGTATTTGAGATGTCATGTAAGAACCAGTTTCAGCTGAATGACCCCCTTGCATACTGATATGAAGCTGTCTGGATATGGATTCTTGGACTTTGGATTTAAAATTAATTGCGTAGACTGCTTAGGAATTGTAGTAACCCAGCAGGGTCTCGTTTACGTGCAGTAATCCAGGAGAGATGCACATTATTAGACAGCAAAGCAGTTTATAGATGTGCTTTATAGTTATATGTAACAGTATGTAACTGTGCCCTGTGCTGCAGCCTCCTAATAAAGTCAGCTCTCATTGATTACTCTTGATGCTATTCGCTTTGCCTATGCCAGGAATAGTAATGTCAATGAAGCGCGCTATAAAGCGATCAGGTGGCGATTAAGCAGGACCAGAGTATCAGAAGGCTGAAGAGGCATTGGCCTTTTAAAGTGCTTTTATCTCGCATTGCCTTTAGTCAGATAATTTGCCTGCTACGGCTTACTGGTATACATCTATCTAGGAAATGAGGATTCTCGGCGCTATGAGCCATGATTATATTCTGTTACTGGCGAGGCGTACATCCAACCACTCCACACCCCGGTATTGATCTCGAACAATCTACCCTGCGTGATCATTAGCACATCCCCTTACAGAGGTAGTATAATATGAGTCAGTGGAAATAAGTCACAGTAGATATTACTGTAGAGCTTAGGTCAGGACGTCCCAAGATTCAGCGAGGCTAGAGAGGTCAACCTTCCGTAACAGGTAGATAGCAAGGTACTATATAGCTAAGTACTGAAATTTTTATCATTGCAGTTTTGCCCTAAGGGTCTGCCGTAATAAGGGCTAAGCATGCTCTTCCTGAATGAAAGTATCGGGGATACTCTAGTCCACTATTAGCAAGAAAATAGGAAATCAACCCCTTAATGTGGATGCAACTTTACTGACCGGATTCTTTGACGGCTGCGCCTGGCGAAACTTCCTGAATGACAGTATTGAAAACTCCTCGCCTTCCCAGGTCAGACGAGAAGTGGACGCTCTATTCAACAAGACGACCAGCTTATACGGATCGGCAGAAGAGTCCACAAGGATTCGGAACGGTTTGCCCGCTCCATCTTGCCAACCTCTTGCTACGCGAGCACGGCTTCTATCGCTCACCATCGTAGCTGTACCAGTTCCAGCTGTGAACTGATCAATATTCCAAGAAACCCAGTGTGGCTGTCCATTATGAGTCTGGTAAAGTCCAAACTGAATTGATCGGCTTTTTTCTATATCCTTTGGGGCGGCCTCAGCCGCGAGAACAGGTATGATATTGAAGCGCATCAGTTGTGGATCGTCAGCTTCTTTCACCACCACATGCAGGACTCCGAACGCAGGTGCGTAGGCCAGGTATAGAGGTAGTGGAGTTTGACTATTTATCCTGATGAGTTGGTCTCGCTTCTCGCAGTCAGCCCAGACGCATATTTGGCGCAGGACTTCGAAGGTTAGTCGGGTGCCCCTGCTATATTTCTTCCGTCGAGTACCGTTGTTGCTTTTTCGATGTTAGCGTTACTTCGTTATTTAAAACCTAGCAGCGCAAATTCCAAATCCCTACTTACTGGATAGCGAGGACGGTTGGGACTCCGTTATACATTGTCCACACAGGCGACCCGCTGAGTCCCTTTTCTGTCGTCGCGGTGTACTCCAGCTGAGCGGGGAATACGATCGGGTTCAGACACTTTCCTGTCGTAGTCACAGGCACCATAGCGGCTCCGTTTGGGTTGTTTTTGTTGTTCGAAATTGGGACGCCGGTCACGCGCATCTCACAGTCCAGGCGCTCTTCGTATGCCAGCTTCAGCGCAAAGCCTAGTGGCTCGATGCCTGCGCGTGCTGGCTCTTGTTCGAGCTCGTCCGGTGTGAAGATGAGAGCCCAGTCCGCTTCTTCAGCGGCAGTCGTGGGGTTTTTCTCATACGCAGGACAGATGCGAATGGTACTTCTATGAATAGGGAACTTTTTCTCTAAGCCCTTTATTCTCATGACAATGTTCTCTGAATGATCTTGATTCTTATTGATGATGTTGTGTGCGGCAGTGAGAATGAAGGGCTTCTTAGCACCTGGCATGTGTATGGAAAATCTGTTACCATGGAATGAGCCATCTTCTGGGTAGATTTAGATTCCAATGAGTATTAATTTTTGTATGTTTAGCATGTAAAGATCAATCTAAATGCTTGGTGAACTTGAGCAGGACTATCACAGAGTTGATGGATGGCTGAATATTGGATCTCTAATTGAAATTTGGCTGCTCTTTGCTAGGAACCTTTAAGGGGTTCTAGTCTTCATGATAAAATTCTAATGTGAGCTGAGGGCGTTTGTGAGCCTGGCATATTATGAGGTTTAAAGGTTGATATCCTGTGCTTACAGGCTGCAGTTAGGGGAGGGAGACTATTCTTATAGCCTTGTGACTTCATACAGCCTTATTAGAATTACACCTTTCTATTACTTTTTATATGCTCAGTTTTCAAGATAAGTAGTAAAACCCAGTTGTAGAGTACTTATTACAAATGGGTTATGGCATATAACTAAGCCCTTCGTCGCCGAGTTATGCTACCTTCTGGCCTTCACTCTATCCGATTTAATCTACTCATTTCCATGAGTAATCAGTGACACCAGGAGCTTGAGCAGCTAAAAATGCCAAGTATTAGTTCAGCAGTAATAATACTTGAATGGGAATTATCAATGTCAGATTTTCTCTCGTGGAGACCGGGTCATTGCAACCGCGCGCCGAGCAGGAGGCATAGAAGATCTGATTTGAAAGTCACCAAGGCTGTTCTGCCTCATTTCTGACAGAGAAGGTCGGATACAACTGTCTTCATCAGCTACAGATCAGGATGGTGTGGTGACCGTTGTTGGTCCATACTCAGGAACCAAGTTTGCCCTGGAAGGTTGGCGACCCGTGCCAGATCTAAACTTGGTCTTTTCGTTCCTTCAGGTCAACACTCTCTTCAAAGTGCATTCTCATTCCATCAAGGGATGAGTGCATAGATATATTTGGTAACCTACTATAAGTTATTACTTTATGATTGCAAGTGACTGGCTGACAGTTTACATAGCCATTTTCGAAGCATTGAGTGAGAGAACCCCGGCGCATCATTGTCCTCTAGGCTGGCAAACAGTATAAATTCAGCTAATGATTAAAGTCCTACAAGTAGCCAGAAAGTACAAGTCACTTGCATGGCTCTATGCACTCATACGGACGAGTTGATCACTCCTGTCCTAGGCACCAATCCAGAGATTGCCAATGTATCAGGCTGTCGACATAGTAGTACATCGGTAGGGATACCCTGACGATTAATCTTAGTTGACTGCCTGTGGAGAAATTATGGTTAGTAGATATACAGTGACAACGCTTGGGGAAGTCTAATCTTGTCAAATAGGTCGATCTTTATAACTGGTGATCCTGCTATAGCGGTAGTCAAGTCAGCAGAAACGGCCTCGTTAATTGTCATCGTTCAATAGCCTTTTTATTAATAATAGACCTACATAGCTGTCTTTCACTGTAATGGCTCTTTTACAAGCCCAACATGCAATTGTCATTTTGACAAAACTAGCATTAGAGCATAAGCACTGTGTGCCTGTTAAAATGCCATCAATGGCTTGTGCTGGGAGGCTTATCGCGCTACGAATCTACATGCACAGTGTCCTTCTGCGCCTAAGAGTCTGAGTCTCTGATATATCACAGAATATAAGTAGTGCTTGTCAACTAGAAGCACTGTTGTCATTCGCAGAATAGTACTGCTTGGGAGTTGATGACCTGAACATCTGTGTGTTAAGATATAGCTTAATCAAGCTTTGTGGGTGCACAGACTCTTCCTCATATCTGTCCGCCACACACTGAAAAAAGCATCGGTTGCATGCTTCACCAGATCGCTGTCATCGGATGCGCGAGCCATGAACCTTATCAGCCAGTCCTGCTTTGCAGTGCTGACGTCGCTGGCAATGCGCAGCTTGTTCTGCGACGAGGAAGGATCAACGAACATCTGGAATGCGCGGCGTCGCTCATCGGTGTACACGTCTAGCACGCCGATGGGCTCCCCTTCGTGAATAATGAGCTCCAAAGCGTCGGCCAGAGCATCGGCGTCGAGAATACCCGTGGTGAGGCCCATGGCCCCCATAGGCTAGAGGAAGTGTGGTGTTAGCCTATGTCTGGGAAATGGATCGTTTGTAGGAAAAGCTGATCATACATTGTTGAGATGTGCGGCGTCTCCAACTAAAACACAGCGTCCACTGTTCATCGTAGTAGCGCAAAGTTGGTGCACCCGATATGGAGATGCTCTCACCACTGTTGCTGTATCGAGTTGAGGGCCCGGCACAACGTGGGAGAGAAGGCTCTTGATGGATTCCTCCGCAACCACTTGGTCGTCCCCTCGCTGATCGCTAGGATGGAGCGCCACCGTACATCTCCACAGGGTTTCTTTCCCTCGCTGGGGTTTCTCCAGCGGCGAAACAAGCCCCCAATGGACGGGATCAACAAAAAGCGAACTCGGGAAATTATCGTCAAACTCGGCATCTTTTATCCAAACATCTATGGCCACCAGACGCTCCGGCCAGCTATGGCCCTTGAATTGAATGCCAAGTAGCTTCCGGGTCGTCGACCTCCCGCCGTCGGCACCCACGAGGAATGCAGCACGGAAAGTGGTTTCGGCACTCCCATCTGCCCGAGTGACCGTAGCAGTTACCGAGTCTGCGTCTTGGTGAATGCCTTTGAGCCGCAGGCCAAAATGAACTTTGACCAATCCAGTCTCGACAGCCCTTTTGTAGAGAAGGCTGGCCAATTTTGACTGTTGGAGGTTCACCACTCCATGGTCCCAGTCATTCGTGCCCACTATTGGCAGACAAGCCAGCATCTCGCCGAGCTTATTCCCTCCCCTGCCGTCGTCAGCCAGCGGGCCCCTCCAGCAAAGACCCCTGGTGGTAAAGCCGGCAGTTTTGATATCATCTAGAACATTGGCTTTTTGGAGCGCGTGCAGAGCTGCCGCGTAGTAGGAGCAGGCCCGAGGGGCGTCGCTGAGCTCTGCCTCCTTTTCAACGATGTCGACTTTGATACCACTCTGGGCCAGTCTCAATGCTGTCAGGAGCCCGACGGGTCCGGCTCCGATGATGACGACTGTGGCAGAAAAAGGGTTTTTCTCTTTCTCAACGACCGAGATCATGTTGTAAGCCGTGTTGGCAACGGACGACGAGCAAGGGGGTATAAAGCCAAGCTAAATCGGTGTAGACTGCGAACAATTGGATGCTGGAGTAAGTTGGACACACGACGTGCTATTTAAAGAATTGCTCGACCGGAACGACGTCCCTGCCTTTAGTTGACTAACAAAAGCCAACAAACGCGAGACGTATACACTCCATTGGTCTCTGCTCGGGATGGCGACAAAAGGCGCAACCTGCCAGGAACAAAGTATCGACTGGTTGCCTAGGTTGACCATGTGGACTTGAATATTTCCCATTCTGACGAGATCTGCAGTTGATCCCTTCCCACCCGGCATTATCCATTCTTATCCAGGTGTTTAGCCCGAGATTATGCACTGGATTGCTGGTTGAATGCGACATTAAGTTCCGATATCGTTATTACCCCACAATATCCGAGACAATCGGGTTCCCGTACCACATTAGCCGAGAGCAAAATCAGATCATTTACGAAGCCGTATAGAAAGGCGACATAACTGGAGAGGTCCTTTTTCACCAGGTGATTATTTCAAATCACTGATCATAGTATTCTTAATCTCCAGGGTGGCCCAAACCGGTGCTAACACTATCATGCACGCACCGATCATGACCACAAAGGATTTTGTATACAAGACTGTCGAGGGCCTTGACATCGCAGCAACCGTGTACTGGCCTCAGACTGGATTGGGAATCCCAGGCACGAAGCTACCGATCGGTAAGATAGTTCAATCCTGCTCAAATTAGAAGAACCAAGCAGTACTAACTGTACATCAAAACAGCAATTGGATTCCATGCAGGCGGCTTCACCATCGGATCCAGGTTTCTCTTTAATCTCGAAGAAATAGAGATACTTCTCGACTTCGGGTTCGTTGTTGTGTTGGCAGATTACCGTCTCTGTCCACATGTCTCCCTCTACGAGGGTCCCATCCAGGATGCGAGGGACGCTTATCGTTGGGTGAAAACCACGCTCCCAGAGCTGATCCGGAGGGAAGTAGGACTCACACTGGATCCAAGTCGTGTTGTCGCGTTTGGTCAATCTTCCGGTGGTACTCTGGCTTTACACCTGGTGGGCTTAACCGCATTGTCCCGATCTCTTCTCTCCAAGCACCACGTTCATAAGAAAATAGCTCACATTCTTGCCTCGTGCTCACAGGGAAGCCTAGATGACCCCCCGCAAGCGATTGCAGCATTCTACGCAGCCGCCTACTTCTCTGACGGTACCTGGAGCCAACCAACCCCCGGTTCGGAAATGATGCCTCCAATTGATCAGTCGTTTGCGCAGCGTGTTCTCAGCGAGCCACCCTGTTCCATGACCGTTGTCGCACCGGAGCAGTTTCTCGTACCCGGCACCATGCCCATGCCCGATCTTTCCAGGCCTCGAGACGCCTGGTTGGCTCTAGCATTCAAGGAAGGGACACATCTGGAGCGCTGTGTCCAGGACGGCGACTTTGCGCGTGTGGACCCAGCAACCTTCTTCTCGTCTGCATTCCCGCCGACGATCTTCTTGACTGGGACGAAGGATACGTTTATTGACCCGCGGTTCTCGCGGCGCGCGCATGAACATCTGGCGGGTCTGGGGGTGCAGACGAAGCTGATTTTGGCGGAAGGAGGGCAACACGGGTTTGATTTCGGGCTGGGAAGGGATGAGGTCCAGTTTAAGGAGAGTGTCCTTCCAGGCTATGAGTTTTTGGCCAAACATGTTCAGTAGCCTAGGCACATAGTGCTACGCAGTAACTGACCCACATAGCGACAGCCAGACTGAATGTAACCGTAGATTGAATATGCAATAAAGACAGCACCTTGTCTCTAGAATAGGCTAGAGATATAAGCTTGAACTGTACGTGCGACTCTTTGTTTCTTTGTTTTGACCTAGATATGAGTAGGATGCCAAAATATAGCCTAAAATCTGGGTAGGTGCCTGATGCCTTCTTATACAGCTCTGTTGCAGTGTTACAGTATTCTTTTTCTTCTTTTCATCTAGACCAGACATAGTACCAGCAGGTTGCCCTATTGCCAAGGAGATCTACATACGCTTTCCCTATTAGACTGTCCGGGAACTCCGGGCACATCCGTGGAGGCCCACTGTCGCCTGCTGACATCCTTTTAAGCTCTAAAACATGCATTCAGAGATGCGCGAGTCTTGTATCATTCTGTAGTTGCTCATCCACTCCATGGATCTCCACCCAAAGCACAATGCCTCGTCCCAGAAAGTTGCTGGACATGCGCTGCACCACATGTCAGACAAGCTTCAACCGACGAGAACACTACCAGCGGCATCTGCGGTCACATACAGAGGAGAAGCCTTTCTCCTGTGTCTATTGTCAGCAAATCTTTAGCCGCGGGTAAGATATTTTTTTTTCCCTTTTCCTTTTCATTGACAACTGGTACAAATATACAGCAATCGCTGACTGGACGAGCAGAGACTCACTGGCCCGCCACTATACGTCTGTCCATCAGACAGACACGGGGAAGCCCCTGGCCAAAAGACGTAGAGTCATCAAAGCCTGCGAATCATGCCGGCTATCTAAAGTCCGATGTGATGGAAAGGAGCCATGCCAGCGTTGCTGCGACCAGCATCGAGAATGCTCCTATCTGGTCTCCAAGCGCACCGGACAATCTGCCACACGCACTGGCCAACTGCCTAGGGGACATTGTCTGAACCTTCCCTCTAGGCAGGATCAAGCAGGCAGTCAGCCTACGAATACTTCGCTCAGTATAAACGTAGTGTCGCAAGCTTATCCACAAAGTCAAAAGCTGTATGAACAGGCACCGGTACATTCTCCCGCCCAGGCCGACGCGGCCTATGGAGCCATCGATACGATCACGGTACCTCCCTTCTTTTCGTTGGACTGGAATGACTTTGATGAGTGGCTCAACTTTGGTTTCGACGATGAGTACATGGGGCTATCCGCTCCTGCGGCATCCGCCACAGCCGCCATCACCGGGCTCTATGGTAACATTCAGGAACCAGATATGGATAAAGATGCCATCGACCCGAGACAGTACTATCCGGCTTCTATTGAACTGGACGCTCAGTTAGTGTTTCCCGACATGGCTACTATCGCCAGCGAGGATATAGAGAAGGAAAATCTGGCCCTTGTCGAGCAGGTTCCGGACGGTACCCCACGGAAGGTGTTCGAGATGGCTACCGTATTGCAAACCAAATCCAACTATCCCAAGTTTATCGAGTTACGCATCCCGCCTGCTCGCGTCCTCAATGCCTGGGTCCAACTCTACTTTGAGCATTTCCACCCTGTCTTTCCGATTTTGCATAAGCCTACCTTTTGCCCTGCGAGGATGAATCCATTCCTCGTTCTTACCGTTGCAGCCATCGGCGCGCATTTCTCAGATCTGGAGGGCTCACAGGCTTGTTACAAGGCGATGCATGAGCTCATCCGACGATATACATCGTACACAGTGAGGCTACACCTCAAGACCACCTCTGTCAGTTCGAACACAGTCGGCTAACCATCTAAATGCGAGTAAAGTGTGAACAATGCAATCGCACCAGTCGTGAGCTTTGGATCACGCAAACCATTCTTCTCAATCAACTGGGCCTGATGTACTCGGGCAATCGAAGGGACCTCGAGCTGGCAGAGCTGGTCCAGGCCGTCCCGGTTACTCTTGCACGACGCAAGAGACTCCTTTCAGATACCCTCCCTCGTGCACGAATATCCGCGTTGCAGCTCACCCTTGGTCAAGAATGGCAGCTCTCAATACATGACGAGGAACGCCGACGGGCAGGGTTCGCCATTTGGGTAAGCGTTCCGTCTGTCCCAGAGTCGGACTTCATCGATGGCAGTTTTGTAACTTCCAACTCTCTCGCAGCTGATTGATTTCGGGTGGAAATATAGCTATGGGCTCAACCATGTTATGACGGCGGACGAGCTGCAGAATTGCCTTCCGCAGTCGGACGAATGCTGGGGTGCATCCACCGCTCAGCAATGGGCTCAAATCATGGAAGCCAGGGACTTTTCCACGGTACCGTCCTTACCTCGAACCATTGCGAAGAAAAACTGGATATGGGCATGGTCACAGACTGGAACGCTTGGAAAGCAGACTATCCTGCACTATCTGACAAGCATCGTCATGAACAACGACGCAGATAGCTCCTCTCCGGGTTGTTGGTCGGAACAGAGACTCGCAGCGGCGGCAACACTCAAGAGTCTCCTTGGAGAAGGCCTTGACGAGGGCCACAAAAAGGCAGCTGTGCTCCACCGCATGCTGATTTGCTCGGGCCTGATGATCCATTACAGTCCAACCCTGCGAATAAAATCTGTTTGCCTAAGGGTCATATACCGGAGAATGGACGATACGTCTTGGAAGCTTCTATCGAGTCAATGGGCCAAGTCACCATTCCAAGGGCGTCTGGCGGTGTTGTACGGTGCTCAGGTCTTTGAAACAATCCGCTTAAATCGCTGCGTGCATTTCTTAACGCCGGCCTCTTTACTCAGAGCCGTACTTGTGCTGTGGGTATATTCCATGCTCTGCCAGCGGTACGGGTTGCTAGAGAGAAGTTGTCCTGGTCCCGACCGAATCATGGAACCCTCCGCCGTGCTCGACTTGGAATGTTTGGAAACGGCGGGTACAAAAAGGTGGATTGCGAATGGATCAGGCTGCGTCAAGCTTCCAAGAATTGGAAATCTGCTTTCTCACCGGGGGGCGAGTAGACTGTTGGATGAGTCAATTGTGGTGATGAATTCGCTCAGCTGTTGGAGTATCAGCAGCTCATATGTGCAATTACTACAACGACTCCAAGCACTAGGTGGAGAAACCGGGGGTTTTTCACCCTGATGTTGGAGGCCGGTTGGCTCTCGGGACCCTACATGGAGTTGAGTTACAGTGTTGCCTCCAGACGCCTTGAAACGCTATGAGAATATTATAGCATTAGGACCTTGCAAGCAGCATCATTCCTTACCCGGCCGACGGTCTGGGGCCAAGGAGTGTATTAATATTAGTCTGATTACGTATGTTCTGGGACATGTTGTGTTTGCCGGCGGTCGTACTCCTAGTAATGTGAAAGGATGAGAGACGTTTCTGCTCGCGGGCGTAGGGGTGGTATGCGCGGGTATATAGCTGGTCCAAGGAATTCAATAGATCAACCAGGAGGATCAATAGGGGCTGGCTTGACCCTGATTCAACGACACTCTTTAAAGTCTTAGCGATTACACCGCCGTTCCAGGCAGCCGTCTTACGGAGGACGGGCCCTGTCGAGCCGGCAGCCGATGCAGGGGCAACGTGTCCGGAAGGCCCTGAATTTGGCTCCGATAGGCTGATTATTGGGGTTAGCCTTTAGTGGGTGAGGCTGTTTGCTGGTGGCTAAAACATCAAGTCAGGGAGGGTGGATGCTGTGGTTGACCAGGATGTTCTTTGCTTATTATTAGGTATATAGGGCACTATCTAAGAAAGAAAAGAGAAGCCTGGATCGCATCACACGCGTCACATTGCGTAAATTTACATGGACCGATTCTACGTCTACGTATTTTCAGCCAACCCCCCGTCCCATACAATCAAATGTTTCTCCAGGCTACTGCCATTCTTCCTTCCATCCGATGCATGGCCGAGATAGTAAGACAATACAGAGTCCTCTAGCGTCCCGATCCCCGAAGCTTCGAAACATCTCCTATCAGACGGAATCAGGCAAAATGCTTCATAAAAATGTCTGCCTGCATCAAGTGGCTGGGATGACGACAGGCATGTTTCAAGCTCACCATATATATCCCTATGACCCCCGTCATCACCATCATTCTTTGTCTCCAGCAACAACATCGCCTCTCCAGGCACCCACCACACAATGACCGTCATTGAAATCGACATAGTCTTCGACTTCATCTGCCCCGTAAGTAGCACCTCCTCAGAGCCCGCATCCATCCCCACTAATCCAAACCCAGTGGTGCCACATCGGCAAACGCAGCCTCGACCGCGCCATCGCTCTGTACCGCAAAACCTACCCAGGCGGCCGCAACGACACCATCACCATCAAATGGCGCCCCTTCTATCTCAACCCCAACCGGCACGGGCACAGTGTACCAAAGTCTGTTCTTATAGATGAACGGCTTAAGGACACGACGCCCGAGCAGCGTGCCGCGCTGGTCAAGCGAGTGGAAAAGATCGCCCAGTCGGTAGGGGTCCGCATTAACTACGGGGGGATGATTGGGCCGGACACCCGCGATGCGCATCGCCTGGTTTACTTGAGTCGGGAGGATCCTACGATTAGTTCGGAGGTTCATGGGGAGCTTGTGGAGAAGCTGCTCGAGGCGTTCCATGAACGCGAGAAGGATATCACTCGGCCGGAGGTATTGAAGGAGGCGGCGGTAGCGGCGGGGATTGAGGCTGCGGTGGTGGAGAGGTGGCTGGCGGAGGATGTTGGTAATGTGGTTGACGAGGAGGCAAGGAAGTATAGAGAGGTTGAAGGGATTAGGGGGGTTCCGAGGTATCTTTTCCAGGGCAAATATGAGTGGGATGGGGAGGATCTGCAAGAGTTTATGGAGATCATGGGCAAGGTGAAGGCAGAGGAGGCAGGTGAAGGAGGTCCTTGACAACCATGTAAGGACTATTGGGCATGTTGATCGTTGTCATGTACAGCTGGCAGTCTACCATATTCACAGTAACGGAGCTTCCTTACTTTAACTGATATTGAGAGCCTTGTCGTTCTCCATATGACCTTCGGCACCAAATTGGAAAGGTTCGCAGCTCTGCGCTGGTCTGGGTATCCTAGAGACTGATAGTTTATATTTGCTGACGAGCCTCCCGCTGCACTGCATGTAGCATATTGAAATTCCTCTCCGCAGGTACCCATCCCAAGACTGGTAGGCCTCAAGATGTATTTAGCGATCATAAAGTTCCTCCACCTGCGTGACATCTTCAACAAAGGTAGCGCCATACTCTCTCATGATCTGGATCTTCTCCTCCATATTCATCGCTAAACGCATTCTCCCAAAATCCCTTGGCAGTTGTTCGGCACTCGCAAACCTCAACACCCATACGCCCACTCCATCCGTCGGCCAACCAAACTCCACCACCTTTGCTTCTTCCTCAGTCATCTCCCTCCCGTCAAGCTGCACCTCGACCCAATCCTCCCTACTCGGCCACCACGTCGCACCTGTCCCTCGCAGGAGATTACAGAATCTGTCTTCTTCGTCGGCACTGGCTGAGCGCTGCGATACATGAGAGCGGGGGAGCGATAGGAAAAGCATATCGACAAGGTCAGCGTCTTTTCTGAGAACCCCGCCAGTTGAGGGGTAGCCGTAGACAACGCATCCCCAAATGCCGAAGACGGTCCGTTCAGTCGTCGATAGAGGAGGGTTTGTAGGGCACGAGCCTTCTGGTTGGTCGTCGATTACTGTTCGTTGACGAAAAATAGGGAAACGGTCCACGTTGATGGGAAATAAGCGGCCAATGGTTTGTTGGCAGAGAGTCAATAGAAAGGTAGAGACGGTGGCGATGAGCATACTGCTAAACCTCATGCTTTAATAAGGCTACAAACAGGAGAAGACCAATGTTGGATATGCGTGACTCAACCTCAGAAGCTTATGAGCGCGCTCTCAGGGTCATGCAGATTACTGTTGCAATATGTAGGAATTGTAATAAGCTCCCCTCAACTGATTAGGCAGGAACCTTGGCATTACAAGTACAGTTATATAAGATGACCAACTGCAATTTCCTATGTATGGCCATAACTGCTAACCTTTTCAGCACCAGCTTGAAGGTATTCCTAAGCTTTCGATCCTAAGGAGCCATACTCATCCCTGGTTTAAACTTTGCCCAATGCAGGCATGGTGAAAGGTAGAATTTCAGATGTCTTGTTCGGCTAAAAGACATGGACAAAAGCAATGCTAGTCTTGTCTTTCTGCTGTTGAAGAGCACGGCTGTCTCCAATTCACCATAGAAAATGTGTTCCTTACACAGGCTATTATGGGCCGCATTGACAGTTATCAGCATGAAAAAAATTCCGTACAGATTAGGTGCCTATACCTGGGAATATTTGAGCGATTTAGAATCATTCCCATCATATTTGCGCATAATCTCTAATTCCTCACGAATAACGTTAAGGGACTCGCGTTTGGTCTCCAGCGGACAAATGTTGTATGGCATCGGTCTGTTCAGATGGTAAGAACGATCTTTCCACGGCCAGGATACCTTCCGTTGGCAATGTCGTACGCCTCTTGTACTTTTGCAAAGGGATACGTCCCAGCAACAAAAGGACGGACAAAACCCGAGTCCACAAGTTCAGCCAAATATTGCAAAGCCTTGCTGCTTCCTTCGACAATGAAGAATAAAGCGCGGACGCCCTCCTTACGTATACCGCGCTTTTCATGATCCTCGGCAAATTTGTAGCTCGCCGAATCCATAGATAAAACAGTGCCATTTTCTTTCACATGATTCCAGCACTTGGCCAACACGCCACCTCCGACTGTATCAATAATGATATCATAAGCGCTCTTGTGGCTCTCCAGCATGCCGTACTCAACCGTCTCGTGAGCACCGAGCTCTCGAAGGAACTCTGAATTGCGAGTATTCGAACTAGTGGCGCCCACAACGTGGAGTCCAGCAAGGGAAGCCAGCTGGACAAGGTAGACTCCAACAGCCCCAGCGGCACCGGTGATCAAAAGTCGGGGCTGCCCTTCGCCAGGGGTCCGGGATCTGTTTCGCGCTGCATCCTCAACGGAGGGTACAGGAACGCCCACGCGGTCAAATAAGGCCTCGTATGCTGTTTGTGCACTAAGGGGAATAGCCGCGGCTTGCTCCCAGGATAGACTTTTTGGTTTCAACGCAACTTCATTCTCCTCCACGATGCAGTACTCGGCCCATGCCGATGCACAATTCGCGTTCGACATTGCGAAAATCTCATCTCCCGGTCTGAACTTGCTATCCTCCGAACAGACCTCCGCAACAATGCCCGACAGGTCGTTTCCAATAATGGAATGCTCTTGATGATAGGTTTCGGGCCACGTCAGCATGTCGCGAATCACCGTTGTAGCCTTGACACGGACAAGAAGTTCGCCTTTTTTTGACAGCTTAGGAATAGGCACGTTTTGATCGAGGTACAAGGCTGACGACGGTGCCGGATTCGCGATGGAGCGGTAGATGAAGGAGCCGAACCCACACGAATTGCCTGCATTGCGAAAGATTTTCGCTGTCTTCTTTAATATGTCTGACTTGGGTGCCGATTTGCAAGAACTGGTCTCCAGATGCAGCCCCAAGGTGATGGCTCTTAATATAATGTTGGAGACTCTAAACGGATTTCTAATACGCTCGTGTTTCATAGGCGGTGATTGGAAGGAAGAGAAACTAAAATACGAAGCTAACCTGGTGCTCCAAATGTTATGACTCACCTTATCTACATGGATCTTTCTATCTGAACGACTCGTCTAGGTGGTCTTCGGATATTTGGGATTGAGGTGAGGTGACATATAAGATGATGACTTGGATAGGTTCGTAGTATACAGATCACGGTCATCTCGGCATACAGATACTAGGATTACCGAACTAAGGGGCGCATGGCCAACCTGCGTAGAGGTGGCGGTCATTTCGGCCGTTCTAGATACACCTGGGATGGTGTTACAGTTACGTATATTGGATGGTTCTGCTCATGATTATGGTAGTCTTAGTAAGACCGTATCTATAAGCCAGTTGATGTGTCTATATACTGGCTGACTGGCACTAGTTATGATGCGGGGGCAGCGGGGCTGAAGAATCACACAAGACCCACTCCAAAAGACTTCCTATTTAGGTAACATCAGATGTACGAGAAGCTTACAGTTCTCCCTCAAGTCCGATAGTAATAATCGCGTCTGGAGGAAAGATCCTGAGAAAAATAGTAGTGTACTCAGTACCACCTCTACCGAATGGCGTTCGGTCTCTTAGTTTGGTTAAACATTAGAAATCAAATTCAATCGGCTCAACCATTATTTAGGAGGTTAGCGAATGGCTATATAATGCCGTTGGAGCCATTCTCACATACTATTAGTACTTGCTGTCACAAGAAGTGCGCTTGGTTGAAGTGAATTTACATACTCTATCTTGGCCGTCTCCCAACATGTGTCAAAACGAAGTTGAAGTCAATGGCTGGACCAGCATGCCTGCTAATGCTGGCGCCATCTTTGGTGATGAACCCTTCATCAACGTACCGGAAGCCCTATCGATCGATGAGATCAAGTTTCCAACTGATGACCCTATTGTCGAGAAAACTTTGAGATATGCAAAGACCGCTCTTCCCATTGAAATAGTCAACCACTCTATGAGAGTTTACTACTACGGTGTGCAGCACTGCGCTTCCATGGTTCCTTATTCGCTCACCAGCTCTAGGAATGGTGATCACCAAGCAGCAGTTCCCTAAGCAAGCCAGTGCCCTTAGCCCCAGTACCTGGGCCTTGACCTGTTTGCTGCACGACATCGGTACTTCCGAGCAAAACCTCACTGCAACTCGGATGTCCTTTGGACTTTGGCAAGTTGATTCATGATACAACTCGCTCCCAGGTCCACGGGGCGCACCCGCCGGGGGAATGGCGCACGTTCTTCTCCAGCGTCATCCAGAAGGAGCAAGCAATCAAGCCCTGGTGTCACACAAAAAAGATGGTTAATGTCATGAGGAATAGAAGCCAGCACCCTGATGAGCAGTGAGATGAAGGTCTATCCTTTGGTCATGCCCGGACCATATTAGCTATATCATATTGCCATGCAGATAAATGAGTGTTAGGAGCACCTATATAAGGAGCCAGTCACCTTCTACTTGACCTATATTGAATATCCACTGGGTTGAGGATATGTCTCCGGAATCTTCCCTCTTCCAGAACCTTCGCAGAATAATCCCAGCATTAACCGCATTTAAGCATTTCGTCTCGAACCAGAACTTTTCAAGACAACTAGTCTCGAAGTGTCTGTGAGCTCCTTGTTGGGATTCCAATCCCGCAACAAACAAAGGCCACAGGATGCACTTGAACAGGGAATCATTGCTCCTATGAGCGTCAATTACACGGATCAAGTCACAAACGAGGTCGTGTTGCGAACTCGTGTCTCCAGTCAGAGCATCAAAAACGCGTTTGCCATATATCAAAGCGCCAAACTTATACGACTGTGCCACCTTGTCGAGCATGCCAAGGGGCTGGGTCAACGAATGAGGCTGGAGTAAACCTGAGGCCCAGGTGTGGCAGTCAAAGCTCTGCGTAGAATCAAGCATCATCCTTACTTCCTGTATGTACGGAAATAAGTCAACCCGGTCAGAGTGATTTGACCTCATAAAAATGTCCCTTGAAGTTGAGAAGACCCGCAGAGCGCCCAATATTTGTTCAGGGCATCCCAGAAACGCCCTGTCAACGCTCATTTCGAGAGGCGTCGCAGACTGTGATGGATGAGTCGAACAGGAGAGTAGCCGAGGACGTGTAAATGTCGCTCCAAACGTGTCGATCCTGAGGCAGTTATGTTCGTCAGCACGTACTACTGGTCAAGGTTTCGTTGTCAGCATACGTACAAGTAAACCTGTATTAGAATGAAGTCACGTAGTCCTTGGATGGTGGTTCCCATGTCTTGCGAAGTCATCGTATGTGGCGCCTGGGATGCTGGGATTTGGGCGATTAAGCTCTTGATGCCTTCCAGATGAAAGTTCCACTTGTCGCTTCCCGACTCCAGGAGATCGAGAAAGATCAGGAGGAACGCGCTGGCAACTATTATATCTTTCTGGAATGGCCTTGCAGTTCCTAGCGCTCTTGAGAGTCCCTGTATCGCATTATATTTGAAGTGAAGAGCGTTATAGCTGGCATTCTGCAATTCAACTCCGGAATGTATTGCTGATTCAGACTGATAGAACGCTCGAGCTGCATTTGCCTTGTGCCGCGCCGAAAGAGCAAGGATCGACATTAATAAGACAGGATGCCCCAGAGCAGCAGGTATTAGATTCCTTAGAGGATTCCTGTTGCTGTCATACATGATGAACAGCTTGCATACACATTTGCTATCTGCGTCTGCGTCAGATATTGCTCGGGCACAGTCCTTAAAGCAACTTGAACAATACCAGACTTATAATAATATAGATAATACCTAGAACTTCTTTCTAGCCCAATAATGGACGGATCATCCAGGCTAGACGGTATGCTGAGATTGGAGGGTTCCAAGGCTTCTGTATCATCCACAGTTATTCCGTTAGTGATGGTCTCGTTACATACAGAAACATCGCACTAGGGAGACCCAACAAGACCACCGTCTTGGCATGTAAAGAATTAAATTACCCTTGAGATCAGTACCAACGATGACTCACTGATTTCTAGACTTAGCAAGCGTTTGGCCTCTTGTCGACGTGGTTCTGGAGTTGCCCCCTGCTGCCGTAGAAGGAACTGATAACGTTCCCATTTTCCCTCGATAGGTTGCGCCCTCGGCCCATCTAAGAGGCCTTTTCTCGAAACATTCTAACCCAGCCTTTTTGCATTTCTTGCAGGGCGGCTGGGCCATTGTGCATTCGACATGCCGCCGGCGACAAGTGTAACAGGAACGTTGCATTGTGCGCAATCACCTCGAAACATAAACTGACTCCAAGACGTCAACCTTCCGGAACAACGTGCAAAGCTTCCTTATGTAAGACGGCACAAGACTGTCGGGGCTCTTGACAACTTGCAGAAGCTATCGTCGGTCCGCAGCGTCGTCTTCAGGACAGTACGGAGTAGATAGAATGAATGGCGACAACCCTGAATACCATACCCGACTACCCGCCTAGCCCGCTATCACCTGATCTTGTATATCTATATATAAGAACTCAAGCCCAGTGCTTCCCGTCACAGACCATTAGCCAAGTTTGAATATTTCCTGGTTTCAGAAGCTAAGAGGCTTATCTCATGGTGGCAATTTCGGGACGAAATATTAGAACCATCTACCCTGCAGACGGAATACACTCAAGACGTCTCCAGGACATTCTTCCTTCCCCTTTGTTTTGCGACTCCTCAAACCGTCTCACCAGCAAAGGTCTGCTTGCTACTGGTGCAACATCAACACCTCTGGTACATAACATATCAATAGAGGTGCATAACCGAACCGCTTAATCGAATCCAGCCCTCACTGAACCTGCAGTAGTTTGATTTTAGTGCCTAGCCTAAGGAATAGAGCAGAGAATTAGGGTCTTGAGGTGGATCTTCGATTTATCAAGAGTCCATTCCAACTCACGGATTCCTTCTATGAAGTACGACAGTGAATACGGAAGGGACGAGCACGCGGTTTGCCACCATCTAAGCGTAGATACACTGGTCCATGTCGCCAAAAGCGAGGGATCAGGCTAAATGAAATCATTGATCCATCCATCCATCCATCCTGTATCTGCATGGAATCCTGACAGGATAATAGACCAACCTAAAGCTGCACTTCAATCTGGAATGCTTCCACTTCCATTGCACTTTAGGCAGACCCAGTTAGGATTACTTATCCCACCACATGTTGGACACTTTTGGCCGTCAACTATTTCTTCAAGTCCTTCATGTTGGCTATTTGCGTAGTTTCTTTGGTTGTAACACGCCATATTTGGGAAATGTCTAATTGTAATTAGTATTGTCCACTAAGCTCTCTCTAGTGTGTTTACTAATAAAATTTGTGTGGCTCTAATATGTCCCTGGTAAGGTAAAATGGCTGTTGAAATGCACAGCAAGGAAGGGTACGTTTAGTTATTACTTCTCTTCCGGGGAAGCTATCACAGAGATAAATAGATGCTTATATATGCGGGATCTGAAAAGAAAGAAAGTTCTTCTAGAGTCAGCTGCAAGAATCACAGAGAATAAACGGATTTGACAGCTTATATGTGGCTTTTTTAAAGAGAAGTTTTGCTTGTGGTAAGGTGTTTATGGGTATGGCGTTGATACGCCAGATGACATTTGAAGATAACCTGTCGTGGCAAGCATTGATTGGGAAAGTAAGACTCCTGAGCAGCAAGAGCTTAAAGTCCTCATCAGCCGCAGCATCTGGCACTTCTATGTGATACTATGTAGCCTATCAACTCTTTTTCTTTTCTTATCACGCACCATTCTACTGACATGCTGCTGTGTGATTAAAGTGCAGTCAGTAGTCAGGTTAATGCCTCCCAGCAATAGGGTGAGCGGGGTGAGTGCATAATAGACTGGGTGAGACTAACACTCCATCATGCAAGAGTCGTGCTCTGGCCTTCTTAGCTGAATTGAAGGGTACATCATTGGTTAGTTAACAATCACCTGGAATACTTATCTTCTTGGCACCTGCACATAGCCTCTTATATATATGAATAAAGGGATACTGTAAGGGTTTGTTGTGGTTAACAGTTAATATAATTAATAGTTAGGCTGCGCAGCCTGCCTACTTACCTGATCCACGTATGTATGTCGCGGGTATTGAAGTTCATCAGATACCCAATATCTATAGTACTGTAAATCTACATCTGCCATCTCATCATCATCAGTCCACCCAGGTGCTAATCTAAGCATCTAAAAGCTTGCAGCGCCCATTGCATGTCCACTAGGGCCGCACAAGCACGTGAATCAGGAAGCAACGTTGCTGAGGGTATTCTCTAATTACAATACCTCACTTCTTCCCCACTTGGAGGCAGTTACTGACCACAAATCAGGGACAACATGGGCTACTACGGAGACAGAAGCACCACCGAGGGCGCATGTGAGTTCAGTGTGGATCGTCGGATGCAGCAACCAGATCTAAGCTGTGAGATCTGCCTAGGCAGTGGCACTTATACCGGAGAGGCCATGGAGTGTGTTCATAGGTTAGGTTACATTGTTGTTTACATCACGCTATAGATATAGATGATCTCACCCCTATTGTGACATCCTCGTCATACGTAAAACCTCATTGAAAGGCTCATGAGGGTATATTGCATCATATCCCATTGTCACAGCTCGAGGAAACAATGTCTCTCACATGTCCTGAAGGGCAGAACCTGGTTCTTATTATTTAGCTGTAGATAAAGGCAGTGGGCTTTTCGGAAAGGGTTACAGTCCATAATAAGAATGCGAAGTCTTTACCTCTTATCTTGCTTAGTTTCCACCTCTTGGATCTCCCTTTACTTAATGGTTTATGGGGTTAGACTCGGGCTGGGCACACATTCAACTAGTTGGACAGTTTCGGCCCTATGACCAGTACCAAGTGACCATGTGTTCCAAGTACGATTCCGTCCGAGATATCCGGATTATTGCCATTACTGTGGACGAACCATCCCGTATCATCAGACATGAGCTGTGTGTCCCGTTCAGTCGTTGTGGCCGTCTCGCCACTCTGGTTCCCTACCAAGAGGAACGGTCGATTGTAGGCCACAACAGCGGTAGGTTGACCTTCCTGGTTGTCTTTGTCACTGAACCAGGTCCAGACCCAACACGTGTAAGAAATCTGGCCGTCTAATTCGAGAGAAACTCCTGCAGGATATGAGAGGGTTATTTGTTGGGAGGTTCTGTAGTAGTCCCAAAGATAGTTATAATGAAGAACTTTGGGAGATAAAACAAGGACGAGGGTAGAAATAGCTTCGTTATAATGCGGCTGTATTCACCCAGCTGGTTCCACTTCTATTAGTGACTGGGGACTTTACCTTATACACAGTCATCATTGTATTGAGGAGGTCTTACTTATACTCTAGGTTGCAATTAGCCAGCGCATTTATGCCATGGTCCATTAGGACCTAGAACATGCTATTCAGTTTACCTGTGATACTGTGAAGTTTAGTATCCTGTATTGGATTCTGATTTAAGTGACATGCATGCTACTGGATAGGGGGAGCACATTAATGGTCTTAAAGAGAGAATTATTTACCTGTATCGCGGCGCGCATGTCTCCTCCGTCCTTTGGGCCTGCTGCAGAGCTACTGCACAGCATAAGGTGGTTATATTAGTTGTTTCTGAGACCAGAAGACTTGATATGACCTGGCCACAGCAGACTATGCTGTATGATATTAGTAGTAAGGCTGTCGAGGAAACGCAAGCTCACAGAGATAGTCCGCCAAATACTCAATTTTGTTAATTGAAAGCAAGGCACATACGATCATGAGATGTTGGGAAAGAGGAGTCAGTCTTACTCAAATTCCACTCTGATTTGACAGTCTATATGCGCACCCCTGTTCATGGCCCGACTATACTACACTGGTAACATCTAGCCTTGTCTGTTCAGCCTGATATGGCTGATTACCCCTCCTCCCCCGGAGTCTGGCCGCGTAGCAACTACCAGATCTTCTTTAAAGGACTAGTTGACCACAAGGCGTAATTGTCACTCGGTTTGTGCACTACATTATCTCTAGCTAATGTGCAAGAATGACGACCCCAACTCTAACTCACCGCGATTATACAATCGCGTGGATATGTGCCTTACCGTTTGAAAGGGCCGCTGCTAAGTCTGTGCTTGATGAAACCCACAATCCACTTTCACAACCGTCAACTGATGAAAATAACTACGAGCTGGGTAGCATGAGCGGCAAAAACGTAGTGATCGCCTGTCTGCCCTATGGTGTTTACGGAACAACTTCTGCCACGTCTGTGGTAACTCAGATGCGACCAACATTCCCCTCCCTTCGATTCGGGCTGATGGTTGGTATTGGAGGAGGCGTGCCTAATAGAAGCGCCGATATTCTTCTCGGCGATGTGGTCGTCAGTGTGCCAAATGAAACTTCTGGCGGCGTCGTTCAATACGACTATGGGAAGACGTGTCTCGAGGGCTCCTTGCAGCGGACGGGTTCGCTCAACAAGCCCCCGCAGATTCTGTTGACTGCTTTATCCCGGATGGCCTGCGATACTATGTTACCTAGTTCGCAGACTGGAAGGTTTCCATCTGATTGCCTGCAGATCATTCGGACAAATCAGAAGCACTTTGCCCGGCCAGCTAATGATTGGCTTTTCCACTCGACATATGATCATCAGAGCAGCAGTGAAGGCTGTTCATCCTGTGACAAGAACCAGCTGGTGCAGCGTGCACCACGAGCAAATGACGAACCGCGTATTCATTATGGCTTGATCGCATCGGGTAATCAACTCATGAAGGATGCCAGGACACGAGACGCCATTGCTCGAGAGTTAAACGTACTCTGCTTCGAAATGGAAGCGGCTGGCATTATGGATCAGCTTCCATGCCTGGTAATACGAGGCATCTGTGACTACTGTGACTCCCACAAATCAAATGAATGGCAAAAATATGCAGCTCTTACGGCAGCTGCCTATTCAAAAGCCTTATTATCCATTGTTCCGCTAGTGAGAGGAAATGTCGCGCAAGACCAGGGTATCTCGTAATTAATCTGGAAAATGGCCATCACTAACTCTTTTGTAGTGCCCGAAGTCACTGAAGAGGGAAGGGCCTGCATGCAAAAACTGTTTATCACTGATCCAATGGAGAACATGAACGCGTTAAAGCGAATAAAAGGAAACCGTACCTCCGGGACTTGCAGCTGGATTTTGGAGAAAGAGGAATTGAAATGCTGGGTTCAGCGGGATAGAGGAATTGACGGCGAAGGGCTAAACATATTGTGGCTTTATGGTAACCCTGGGACCGGCAAATCGACAATGGCCATCACACTGGCAGAGGAACTCCCGAAAACTGAGTATTTCTCTAATGGAGACAGGGTTCTAGTATCCTTTTTCTGCGACTCGAGCTCTGAACTCCGAAGAACGGAGATTTGCATACTGCGAGGCCTTCTATATCAGATAATCAGTCAATACCCGCCTTTCATGGAATTATTGCTCTCAAAATATAAGATCCAGGAGGAGCATCTCTTCACATCGTTTGATGCTTTATGGGCCCTATTAATAGATATTGGCCGGGTCCCTGGTGGGCCTGAAGTTTACTGCATTATCGATGCTCTGGACGAATGCGAATCTGACTCACAAGAAACCCTGCTGCAACAAATTGACCACTCGTTCAATAACCTGAGGACTAATGATTCAGTCCCTTCTAGCATACATCTGTTAATGCTCAGCCGTCCATATCCCGAACTTGAACAATACCTATCCACATTCAAATGTATGGACTTGGGGTCGTATCGAGAGATCACAAACGACCTCAGAGCGATGATCAAGGACAAAGTGGAGGACCTTGCTTGGCGCAAAAAATACCCTAACTCAGTGTTTGAGGAAGTGTCCCAAATCTTGGAAGAAAAGGCTGCTGGGACATTCCTATGGGTAGGAATTGCCTGTGGCGAATTGGCACGGGTGCAATCCAGAAATGCAGTAAAGACCCTGCAAGCTCTCCCGCGGGGACTACATTCTTTATATCAGAAACTCCTCAATGCAGCCGTCTCAGCTAGCGACGAGGACGATCATCGAGTAATAAAGGAGATACTGGGCTTTGTTGCATTCGCCCGGCGACCACTGACGATAATAGAAATGGCCGAAGCATGTCGATTATATTTTGACAAAGATATGGATAGTCGCCTTCAGTTCACGCGGGAACTTATCGATCTGTGCCGCTTACTGATTGTCATCGACAATGGCTACGTGCGACTTTTGCATAGTTCTGTCCAAGACTTTTTACTGCTTGAGATACAGGAGATTAATGCAATGAAAACCAATTACGCGTTGTCATGTCGGTGCATTGAGACTATTCTGCACAAGTGCCAGCCAGCAATGGATAAATCAGAACTGGACCCCGAAAAAGGGTTTCTGGGTTATTCAGTACTGCATTGGCCGGAGCATGCTAGGCTTTCTCAAACAGAATTTGCCATCCGGGAGGAGCTTAAAGATTTCTTCCAAATCCAGCTTGAAACGTGGGACAGGTGGCTGGATTATTACAACTACCTGAAAAGAAGTCCATGGGGGAGTCTTGGGTCCTGATCTTGCTCCCATTCACGTTGGAGCCAACTGGGGAATTCTCCCTTTAATCTCATCCCTGCTCCCAGCGAGCTTGGAAGACAAAGATTCCCACGGCCAATCCCCGCTGCTTATTACGGCCCAGGCTGTTCAAATTGAAGCTATGCGTTTCCTAGTTGAATGTGGCTCCTGTGTGAATTCTGTGAATAATTATCATGAAAACGCCCTGCATGTCACTTGCCAGAACAGTCAGTACAACAACTGCGCGATGACAAAGTTCCTGCTTGACCGGGGAACCTCCCCATATGTCTGCGATAAAGAAAATATGACACCTTTCCTTTACGCAATTGGACACGAAAAAGAAGTCCTAGCAAGGGTTTTTCTTCAGAACGGATTCGACGTGGACTTCAGGATTCGAAGGCGGTGCTGGACCGGGCAAATGCTGAACAACATCATTTCGTATGAAATGGATAAGAGCCCGGAACAACATTCTAAAGTAGGCGTGGAATCGGGCCTAACGGCGCTTCATTTCTCTGCTCTAAATGCTTCTGCGAAAATGACGACCTTACTACTCCAATATGGGGCCGATCCAAATGCTCGTTCCGATACTGGTGACACACCACTGCATCTTGCGATTAGACGCACGCTCCTCGAGCACAAATACCATGATCCATGGATAAGTGGTGTATATGCAGCGGAGTCGCTGAGAGACTTGATCACGGATCATGAAAGTGAGGCTCATGATATTTACGAATCCATTGACCGATATAGAGTACACATTGTTGAGGTACTCCTCTCCAGTGACACTGTCGATGTCAACTTAGCCAACGAGCAAGGGGACTATCCACAGCATGTGATTCCCTTTGAAAAGGACTATGCGTCATCTATCCTATGCAAACTCGTTGCGAAAGGAGCCGATAGTTCTAGGCTAAACGGGGCTGGTCAGAGCTGTCTTCACCTTGCCAGCAAGGCAGGTAACTTGGAGGTTGTTCGCAAACTCGTGAATGAAGGCCATGACATTATGGTGCCGGATATCGATGGATTGATCCCGTTTCACCATGCGCTATGTGGCGGTTATTTACAAGTCTTGCGTTTCATGTCTACGGCCTGTGAAAGCCTGCTTTCGAAGACTTGGCGTTTGCTTGACCACTTCGGCAAGAACCCTCTACACCATCATGTTGCATCCATCTACTGCTCCACTGAGACTATTGATTTCCTCGTACAACGTGGCTGCAATGTCAACGACGCTGATAAGGAGGGAAACTCCGCCCTCAGTTCATACATGAGTTCATTCCGTCTGCATATTGATAGAGAGATCTTCCATCTACTTCTGGACAAAGGTGCTGACCCGCTATGTGTCAACTGCCAGAAGGAGAATCTGGCGCATCTCTTCATGCACAACAGGGGAGCAGACATTGGAATCCTTCAATTTATGTTAAAGTGTGGCGTGGATCTGGCAGCAAGGGATCATGGGGGGAGAACTGCTATGCATCATGGCGCCATTCATGGTGTGTTCGACCATGACCTGGTAAAGTTCCTTAGAGTGAACGGCGTTTTGAACCCGAATGTCAGCGATTTTCAGAACAAAACGCCCCTCGATTACGCAGAGGAGCAGAGTCGTCGCATATGGCCGCAAGACTACCCTGGATGTGATGATCGATGGGATAGATCATTTAATTGTTTGAAGTACTGGAACCACCCCTGCATTGCTTGAAGTACTTCAGCTAAGGCATTATACATTACCAGTAAATATACATCTCAGACTGAGTTTCTGTCAAAGAGCTTTTTAAGTCATTTCTTCGTACTGCAGCTGGAGAAGCGAGGGTCAATACATGTAGGGATTGATTGCGCAACACGGCAAATGCATTCTCTGATATAATGTATGAGGGAAACTAACCCTGTGTACAAACCAGTGAATACTCGCCAAAGATATACTCTCAATGCTAGGATGAACGCAAGGAACATTAATCGAATTAGGCCGTCACCTGACGATAATTCTCTTTGCTAAAAGGCCAACCACGCAGCCCAGTGAAAAGAGACCAATACAAAGCGGTAAATAGACGTGGCTTCCTGTGCCCAGGGCTGTAACAGGGCGTGAAGTAGATGATTTAGCACACCTCGTCCAATGGTCGAAAGTCTCTTCTCGTTTTGTAAGCCCCTCTTCCTCATATTCGACTGTTGTTTCTTCTCCAAGCTCGGTATAGTATTCCGGAAGGTGGCGAATCTTGAGGCGCACGAACCTCTCGCGCTCTTTATGCTTTTCGGGAATTGTGGTGACGTTGCGGATCCTCTCTGCAATACTTAATCGCGGTCCCCAGCAGAATTCATCGAGTAACTCCCAGTAGATCATGTCAACGGATGATACCATCCGTGCAGCAAGAATAAACCAGGCGCTCTTGTCTTCGATTGATTTTTGCATACGTGCTGAAAGGCGGTACTCAGGGTTAGCCCCATTGGTTCCCTCCTTCTGTTGCAAACAGTTCAGAAAAATCTCTGCTTTGGGGAGAAACATATCGAGAAACCTGGCAGCGTCAAGTTCATTAATGATTCGATGAGGCCGTTGAAGAAGGAGCCAGGATGGAATACTACCAGCGAATTCCACGGGAGCTGTATAGCAAAACTCCCAGTCAATAACTCCCGTGACGCGAAGGGAGTCATCCACAAGGACATTGCTAGGTCCGAAATCATCGCAAAACAACTTGAATGGACCGTGGTTATCTTCGTGGGAAATGAAATCAAAGGCTATAGCTTTCATCAGTTGGCGGCAAGCATACTTCTCCCGGCAATCTTCGGAATCATACACGCTATTCCGTTGTTCCCTTAGGTGAGTTGACTGCAGTTGCAACAGTGATGCAATATAATCGGTAGAGCTGTGATATACGCCTGAAGGAGTGCGATTTCCCAACCCGCAGGTCCGCATGAGCTCGTTGACTTCCAATGTCAAAGGCGGGGCCGTCAACCATATACTGCCCACTTTGTTGGTCTTTACTTAGGCAACCGATGCAATCGAAGTCGAGCTTCCAAAGCTCCAGCAGTATCTCAGCCATTTGGCTATAAAGAAGGCCCAAGATTCGGGAGTCAATATCGGGTTTCAAAATATCCTCCTTCCCTGGCGTGTCTTTTCGAAGGATCTCTGACATTTTCCTTCCTTCAATCCAGGTCATGATAATGAAAGGCCCAAGACCAGTAGGGTTCTCATGCGCTGCTCCATACGCAATGACGCGAGGGACAGGAATCTCAGTCCTGCTACCGACAAATTCCATCAATACGGCCTCTCTGCGGACTTTCTCGTCTAGAAACATCGATTTTCCAGGCAATGGGAATCGAATCAGCCAGTCCTCGCCGCCATCTTCCCAATGCAATCTTAGGCTAAAATTGAATGAACCAGAGTGCATTGACCGGAGCAAGCAGTCATCGCGTTTTCGGTAACGATTTGCCAAGTCACAAATCCCTTTTGATGAGGTGGAACACAGCCTGATCCACTCTTGTTTGAAAGCGTCGAACTGCCGACGTTGAATGTCGTCAAAGTCCATGTTTTCAATAGAAGTATGGCCTCTGTGTAATTCCTATCAATCGAGATTCCTGAAAGGAAACGGGACTCGGGTGTTGTCTAACATGGTCTTGAGAGTATGAACAGTGCTCCTTTTCTGAATGCGTTGTTGACAAAATCACATGATTGCCGGTCCTGATGCATCACATATCATGTGATCGCCTGCATGGATCACTGATCACAGTGACTATGACTCAAAGCATGGTAAATCGGAGACTAAAAAGTATGGGTTCAATAGCTTAAGTATGCTGTATGGATGATTGCAACAAACATCCTGCATCCCCCTGTCATGCAGGCGGTTGCAGATTGATGACCGTCAGACGCCCATCGCACAACGTTTCAGCACCGTGGACGACATGGTCTTAGTTCGCAGCTTCCGATACAGACTGCTCGGCGAGCAATGTCAATCTCTGGATGAAAGCTTCAATGATAACGAATGGTGGGAAACGCTTGCTTGGTTCGACACAATTTAGCTGGTGAAATACATCGATTGTGCTCTCTAGTAGATGCATATCATCCTGGACACCGCACTGTTTGGGAGCTGAGAGTATGCGCATGTAGAGTGAGATACTCGACGTCAGAAGGATTTGCGCATATATCCTATAAGAGTACGTCAGAACTACTCGCACCGTTAGTCAATGCAGCCACTTACCAGAATGTTTCAGGGAAGATCAAATGGCGGATTCGACGCAGATATATCAAAGTGGATCGTGCCGCCTGATAACATAACTCCATACTTGTAGATGGAGGGGACAGACTCTGCAGAGCCGGGGTGCCGATGGCGCTTGCACCGTGAATCTTAGAAAGACAGTGGTAGTACTCCAGATGCACATTCACGCCCCGTAAACTGAGATCATGGATCAGGTAATCTGGCACGCTTCCGCTCACAACGGCATCAGGTTTACAAGCGGAGGGAAATTGAGACTTCAGGTCATTCAACTCCTGGTCCAGTTCGCGGATGAGCTGAAGTCGTCTCGCCCTCGAATGGCTCAGACTCTGCTCGGAATAGAGCAAATGGTAAACCCTTGATTTAAGCATAGCCAGACGAAGGTCTGAGGGGTAAAGAAGTTCCTTGGGTGACAACTCGGACGTGAAGAACTGGTGCTCAGAGGATTGTGCAACATACTTATCAGGTAGAGTCAAGTCGCAGTCAGCGTCATTGATCATCGGAGGCTGACATTTTCGAAGCGACATTTCTTTATCCACAGCATAAAAGGTCCAGAACAGAGCCCGCAGATGCTGATGTTGATGCTTGTGGGCGCTATTTTCATAAGTCGGCCTAGCTCTGTGTGCCCCCAAATTGAACAGGATCCGGACGGCCATAGCGAGTAGTATTTCTGCTGTTTGCGGTTGACCCAAAGGGGCGATATAGAGGGCCTTTATGACAATTAGACGCGGGACGCAACAACTTGCCAGAATTTTGACTTACGAGGATAACCAGAGCTTCCAGAGCTCGGACGTTGGTATGTTCCATCATCAGCTGGGGTAGCACGGAAAGCACTGCTTGGACATAAGCATCGGGGTCTGCATCAGCAAATGCAGGCTCTTGTCGACGAATCCTGGTAATCATTGCTGTCAAGGCCGCTAAACAGGCCCGGTCGGCAATATTTGTACCAATCCCGTAGCCATCGAAGTCGGGGGCGTCAAGTTGACACGTAAGTGCATCAGTGTCAACTACCGGATGAATTGAATACAATCCATTGCTCGTAAAGTACTCCAACGACGCGTCGATCAGGCGGCGCGGGGGCCATTTTGGCAAGACTACTCGGGCGGGTTTCGTACGGAACTGCAAGTCGAATGAATCCGCCACCCGGTCGAACAGCTCCTCTAGGTCGAAGGCGGGATCCGATTGTATGGAGGCAGCAAACCCAGGAGTGCAATATGCAAGATGCCACCGAAAAGCTTTCAACGTCACATCGAAGCCACGGGAATCAAAGAGATCATTGACGAGCCCGGAAGATTCATGGAGACTGGGACTGGAACTCTGACGGAGACCCCTCTCCGCTCTCAAGGCCTCTTCCAATCGGCGAACTTCAGCTCTGGTGTCTTGCAACTGTCTGATCATGAACGTCAATCAGGGTTGATATCAGATACATGTGGAAAGGGGTCAATCTTACTCGCGGACTGATTTCCGCGGCTGGATCGGCAGCGGCGTAAATATACAAGGAGTTGAGGCAAAATGACAAGCCTCGCAGGCCGGTTTGGCTCTATCGCAACGAATCTGTGAGGATTGGAAATCGAGTGATGGTGATTAGTTCGAAGCATTCTCTCTATTTCCAAGGTGTCACGTGTCGTCTACGAACCTTCCGTTGTCGGCATCGGTCACAGGCACTTCGCAGTCGGCCTCCATAGGGCGCAGGGGCGGTGGTGCCCATCTGGCTGAGCCGGAGGGCAGGTTTGTCGGCAGTAAGATCTAATTAAGCGAGCAGCTATGCCGAAAGGGGCGCTGAGGATGCTATTCATGGCATGATTTCAGGATTGGATTTGGGAACAACGCCCGAGTCTCCGAGTCGGCGACTGGCTAAGCCCGAGGGTGCTGAGTAAGCGGGAAATGTCAATACCGAGCAAAATATCACCACAATTTTATATCTATCGGGCTTTTCCATGTTGTGATAGTAGTTTATCTGGCGAGTTCATAATCAGAACCAGAACGTCATCCACCAATACACCCGTCCGGCTAGTGTTAGCACGGATTGTTTCTACAACGCTCTTCGGCCACATAAGGTATCGTTCGGCCATTTTTCCAGACATGTGCGTCCAGATATTTGCAACCCAGGACAACATTCCCACCATTGGAACATTGCAAAGTCTATTGGTTGCTTCCATTGACGTTATCGGGGACAGAATGGCCAGTAGGATGAGGAAATGAGCCATCAATACCTGCGAGCTCTGATTCTCGGGATCGAGGAGATGGCGCACCTCGCATTGAGGCAAGGTGATAAACTCGTTCATGATGTTGGTGAGATGGACATAAGCCGCGCAGGAGGCCGACTGTTCAATAGAAACGAGAACGTCAACTAAAAGCTGGTAGATCGTTTCTTCGACCGGATGCTTTAATAGAGGTTTCACAAGACTTAGCGAGCGAATACCATCCGAGGCAATCCGACTATCGATTGTAGGGAACCGGCCAAATTGTGCTTCCATGTATTTTATATGTGAATTTGCATCGATCGAGAAAGATCCGTGCAAGTTCTGTTGTAGCATCAATGTGGTCACCAAGCCGCAGCCTCGCAGCATCATGATATAATCAGAAAGGCCGTCAGGCATGTACGAGGACTGAAAGGTCAATATATAGCAAGCTGCCAACATGGCGTCGGCGTCAGTGGCCTCGCCTGGCGCTTGAGACATTGCTTCATTCAGTCCTCGAAGAGCCCGCTGGCGATGTCGCAAGGCCTCAACAGGGAGTGCGGACCCGGTTAGAAGAGCGAGATGCGATGAAGACAGACCAAGAATGGCGTGCATCACATATTCGTGCTACTCCAATTATCAGCAAGAAGGTCCTAGGACTATCACTCTCCACAAGGGTCTTACTTTATATGTGAGCGCCGGGAGCGCTCGCGTATAGATATGTTCGTTTCCAACTGGTAGGTGCGGATGAGCATCGGTGATGAAGTGTTGCAGCAGGCACATATCGGCAATGGTAAAATCTGCAACCTTTCTTCGGGGCTGCAGATATGCCTGTTGACTTGAAACATCCCGCGCTGGATCTCCAAGATACTGAACGTCGTTCCGTAGCCCAGGCGGGTAGACACAGATCAAGTCCTTTCCCTGGCAATTCTCGCAAGCAGGATGGTTCTCGGGACACTTCGGTAGGTTTAGTCTGTGGTATGAAATGAAGAGAACTTCGGCGACCAGTCTTACTTTTACTCTCCGGATCTTGCAGTTCAAACACCCTCGTCGAGATTTATTATGGGGACGAATTCGTCTCTTTGGTTGTGACTTTTCAGCCTTTGAATGCCCCGTTTGAGCAGTGGCCGAATTTTCTTTCTGCCGTCCAAACCACCGTCCTGGCACAGTATTCAGAGTTTCCCTGCCATATACTAGGTAATTTGGGTCCATTGCTGGGGGTTAATCGCCTGCGTTAGTCAGGATGTCAGAAGATCGTAAAGTTCCTTGCACATGTAGCTTCCTTCGGATATCACAGTTGTGAACATGTGGACGCTTCAACCTGTAAGTGGCTGCCTAGTGATGACAAAGACGAAACTGATTCTGAACACCATCAAAGAGCAGTGGAGCATCCTTTCATTGGTTCTCGAAGGTCTGGGGTGGGCTTTGTTCGTATTCGCACTCTCTCAGTTCGCACTCGCATTTAGTTAGCATTTGGTAGAAGCCGCATCAAATGGTCTCTGTACTACTCATACTCCAAATATGGCGGGAAGCTGTTTGGTTTACTGAATATAAATTGACGTAGTTCTGGCAGTCAAAGCATCTGTCTCTGAGAATATCCATGTTAGAACCAGATACAGGTGCAATATGAAGTCAATCCTTTGTTTAACAGCTCTCAGCATACTTGCCGCTACTCTCCAGGCTCTGCCAGATATTGTTGCAAGAACCCAACAAGGCATATTTTATGGTGTCACAGTCCATGACAAAGTAGATGCCTATCTTGGGATTCCATATGCCAAACCTCCCGTCGGCGACCTTCGATTCCGCCCTCCACAGCCTCTTGACATCGGTGACGAACATATAATCCGCGATGCAACTCAATTTGGTTCTGTGTGCTACCAGTTTCGGTATAAGACCGTGTTGGGAGACAATCTGGCACCAACTACCCCCGAATCAGAAGACTGCTTGTCACTGAACATCTTCACGCCACGAGGACGTCCAAAATCCAAATTGCTGCCAGTTTTGGTCTGGTTATACGGGGGTGCTTTCAATGAGGGAGGGGCCAGTGTTCCATGTAGGTTCTGTACGAGATTCAATATAGCCCATGCTTACCTGTTTTAGTATTTAACCCTACGGGCCTCGTCGCGAACCAGCCCGATATCATCGTTGTTACTTTGAAGTTCGTATACTGTTCTACCCAACCCATCAGGCTGCTTTCCCATTCAATACGTTCAGAGTGCTTACATGCTCGTAGTTACCGTCTCAACGTGTTCGGATTTCCCAACTCTCCCGCGATTCCAATCGACCAGCAGAACCTTGGTATTCGAGACCAGCGAGCCGCATTGGAGTGGCTGCGCGAGAACCTCGCAACATTCGGTGGCGATCCAGCCAGAATCACACTTGGCGGCCAATCTGCAGGTGCGGACTCAGCTGCGCTGCTAACCTATGCATTCAAGGATGACCCGATCGTGCAAGGTCTGATCCTGCAGAGCGGGATTCCAGAATATGTCGGACCCCAGGATGATTTTGTGTTCATTAAGGCAGCAGAGAGAGTCGGATGCAGAAATGCTGCGAACAGAACTAGTGAGCTAAATTGCATGAAATCTGTCCCTGCGTCAATTCTGCACAGAGCGCTTTCCAACCTTACCGTGAACCCGTTCGGTACGACTGGAGGAGCCCCGATGATTGATAATATCACCTTTTTTTCCGCCGAGGAATATCGCCGCCTTGGCTCGGTTGGCTCGTTCGCCAATGTGGTGAGTGTTTCATCGGTCTTCGTACTGCCAAATCCTAACTTGGTGGATGACAGCCTGTCCTGATGGGCATTACGAACAACGAAGGTGACGGGGCTCTGAACTGGTCTGAAAAAGGCGTCAATAAGACCCTTTCGGACATCCTCACAACCACATATTTCAATTGTCCCATGTCTCAAGAAGCCTTGTAAGCTCGAGTTGGCAAACGTGGACCAGTATAGGCTGCTAACGAAGGTTCAGTTTCCGTACGAAGCATCAGGTTCCAGTGTGGCGGTATCGCTATATGGGAGTCTTCCCAACAGTGACATTCTTCTCATGGCTAGGATCTTACCATCAAGGTCGGTTATATACCCTGAACGCGCTCTAGATGCGTCTCACTCACAGGAAATGCGTCACAGCGGACATTGCACTCGCATTAGGGTCATACAGGCATCTCAAGCCTCACAAAAAACCGCAGTGGTACGAACTGGCCGCCAGCGATTACCTCCAAGAAGCGTGGGCGGCATTCATCAAGTCTCCGAGGGATGGATTGGCAAGGAAGATGGGTTGGCCGATGTACAACCCGAATGGTATAGTCCCTATCCTTTGTTGTCTCTCTCTAGCCCAGTTTCCGTATGCTGAAGACCACTCTGTAGGCACAACGCTGGTCGAACTCTTCGCTAATAACACCCCGACTGCCCGTCTCCGAGACCCGGCTGATTTTGATGCTATTTGCTCTCATCCACCTCCAATTCCGTCCGACATCTGGTCCCAAAGCCCTCCTTGACTTGGTGGGCACACTAGAAGCAGCAGAATGTTCCATGATAGAGGGGTTCGTGGTTGAGAGGGTACCAATAGCCCTAACAGTGTGGATATTTGTATTCACCAAGCGGAGATTGATCCCTACGTGGTTGTGATTTTATGTCTTCGTCATTTATTGCATATATAATGTTTGCCTAATTAGGAGAGTTTATTATAAGTCACGCAGACCACAGCTCAGCCACCCAATCGACACGAGGCCATAGTAAAGAAGGGGAGGCCTCGGGCGTCTGCACAGCCCCGAAATAAACCCGGGCCAGCATTGCAGGTTGCAAGGCGTCAATCAATGGTACCCCAGTAATGTACTGCGACGCATATTGAAAAATATAAGATATTCATTACTCGGTAACATGCACATCATTCAGCCTTGTAGAGAGACAGTACCTTGTGCCCGGTCGATGATATCCCTGCGTAATGGTGAATATATAAATCACAACTGGTCGCTTCAAACACGCATACTAGAAGAGTGAACCTCATATACTAGTCAATCTAGACCGAAATACAAGCCAACCAGTTAAACTGGAGATTATATGTCCTCATTGGTCAGATTGACTAGTCAATCCTTCACTACCTACACGCTCACGATGTGCTTCGGTTTATCCGAGTACGACGACGAAAGATATAGTCCTCCTCGGCGATCCAACTACCCCGGGTACTACTACTCTGGTCCAAACAATTACAACTACAATTACGGCTATGATAACGTGAAACACCGAAACGGACGGAAAAAGCGTCGTGACCATGACCATGGACTGGTGGCCGCTATGGCAGCAGGGGCAGCCGGCAGCGCTGCCGGTTGTGGAGGAGGAGGAGGTGGTGGTGGTGGTGGGGGTGGTTGCTGAATCTTTGAGTTGAATAAGACTGAATTTCTCTTATGATTGGATTTATACTTCTACATAATCCTGCGTATCATGTGTCGTTCAAGTCTTGATCTGTTCCTGTGAGCGTTGAATCTGAACTTTGGCGGTATATCGGATGCAGGAGTTGTCTCTAAGACAGTAGAAGTCATGCTAATGACTCGACAGCGACAGGGCAGTACCGTATTTAAAAAGTAGACAAAAAGGCCAGCGGTCATCAAGGAGTTGAAAGTCTCAGGCGCGTATAAACATGATCATAAACATCCTGACTTACTTGACCAACAATACATTGATAATCAAGGTGTCAAGTCAACGGGTCACGGAGTTCGAGATGATCCATGGCGCCCCATTCAATGAGCCTTTCATCGTCCCAAATAGCATATCCCCAATCCCAACACCGAGAGTTCGGGGCATACGAGTACATGTCCTCAAAGACTTGAGGAAACACAAGCTCCGCGTCGAGCCACCGCTGCGTCCAGGCGATGTTAGGCCGCTCGTGCAGAGGCAGCGTCTCCAAGTATGCCTTGAGACCACTGACATCGGTACCGAAGTCGAATCTATCGGCCGGGTACAGAAGAGGCAACGCTCCGTCATCCCCACTCGGTTCGGGCCAATATTCAGCAAACGAATGGTTATGAATAACGATGTTGGCCAGAAGCAAGTCGCGGCGAGTTCTGAAATCCTGTTCACGAAGTATTTTCACAAGGAATGTTGGTACCATGTAGGCCAAAATTTCCCTATGCTCATCTTGGTGTCTATGCATATGGTCAATGTCCAATCCAAGGCGATTCAGAGGGGGCCGCTCTTCGGGAGGAAGATCGCTGAAGAAGATAACACCAGGAGCCACATAAGCTACAAGGCTTTTTGATATTTCAAGGTATGGCTCTTCCCATCGCTGATAACAATGCCGCCAGAAACAGCTGAATTCTTCGACTTCCCATGGCGCTAGGGGCCCGAAGAATAGGCGCCACATTTCTCCATCCGTGAAAGTAGGCGTCCGGCCGCCCCAATACTGGAACCAGTCATTTTCTTCTTCGACGTTGTCTGCACCCAGGGGAAGTTCAATATCACCGAATATGTTGCCATAGATCTGCATCCGATAGAATGCTCGAAGAAACCGTCTTTGCTCCGTTCTGGATAGGGTCCGGGGTGAAATTTCATTCTTCCATTTCTCCAACTCTATCCACTCCGGGCGAGCTGCCGTTCTGGTGTAATCATCGAGGAGAAAAATGGCCTTTTCATGGAGATGCAGTAGTTGAATTGTCTCCTCGATATCAGCAGGTTCGTCTGGAAATGGCCACGATGATAATCCCAGACGACGGATCTCTTCACTTCGCCGTCGGCTGTCCAACAAGGCAATAATCTTTGCACGGTTCGATGGCTTGACGGCGTATAAGCCTCTTGACCGAACGGCAGCTACTGCATCTGCGATGTCTACAAGTCCGTCGTAGGAGCTCTGTAGAAGCACGTCGAGAAGTTCTTGTCTCACAAGCTGATATGCTCGGTGATATGTTGGTGATGCAAATACAAGCGATCGAAGGGAATCCAGGTCATCAATATTGAATAAGATAGAAATCTGCAATTCCACTGGTAAACCTTCGAACGTTGGCCGGTTCTGTTACCTTGGTTAGATAATTCTTATTTTGTGTTTCCGGCAGAGCTTTCATCATGAGTCTTACTGAGTCTTCCATATTGACGCCCTAAAGTTTCCTCGAGGTCAAGATTCAGGTAAGAACATACATGATTGCTGTCGGAGGGGAGAAACGGAAGATGCGCTTGTTAGATACAGCAGAACAGGCATATGACTCCGTACTTTAGGCGCCTTATGTAATACGCCAGGGGCCCAGGATCATCTTCACTATGCGCTTGCTGGCGCTTTTTCAATGCATTCTGATCTCCGTATTGGACATTCAATCAATAAGCCGGCGCTAAATTGTCCCGACTCTTTCACTGTCATCCACTGGTTTGCTGTGCCCTCTTTGCCTATTGCGCACTAATTTACCGCCATGCACGGAGTCCATTTGATAGCCTAGGGCTTGTTCCAGTGGCTGTGGTGTTCCATTAATATCCATCCCTGCCCTAGCCCAATCAGCCTTGTGTTATATTTGAAAATATAGACGGTCTGCGAGACTCCATAACAGTAGAAAGGCTTCATCTAAGGAAGATATTAGTTTTCATGTACTACAAGGAACGCCTTTTTAGAGAGGGTCCGATAAAGCGATTTTCTGTCATGTAAAACATGATTAGGAGAGTCCTTCAAATGGACATCACATCACGATGGAAGCTGTGGCAAACGCATAAAATATCCTATCCTCTATTAGTACAGCATCACAAGAGATAGACGCCGGCCTTCTTCAGGAATGCAATCCCTAACCGCCAAACATAGAGTCGTAGGCAAAGACTCGTCTGATGTTTTCGTAAGTCCTGGTCAAAAGAGGTACTGCACCATCCAAAGGCAGCTCACCCCGGTACATCGCGAGATATTGGGCTTAAAATAGGTCGTGAGAAAAACGGGACGGCTACGAAGTCGAACGGGATGCCAACGGATGCAAGTATATCAGGCACTAGCAAAACAATATGCGTTTTAGCATCTCTATGCGCGCGCCAGGTCCTTCGCTCGAAATCAAAACGCTAATGGATGTTGACAGCAGATCGTGGTTTTGTAGAGTCTAGAGTAGACTTCTTCAACGTATAAAAATCCGTATGTCCACGAGCTGGATAGGCCTGTACATTCTCAAGATCATTGAATACCCTACCCGACGTTCGTATAATCTCTAAAGCCCTGAATCCGCCCTTGCCATCTCTCCTCTCCTTTGTCTAGAATTCATCACCTGCGTTTATTCGGCTCACCTTTTCCCGATGTGCAGGTTAGAATTGTGTGATACAAAATGAGCCGGGGTCATACACGCGACTGGAAGAACGAGAGAGTCATCTTGGACAGAAGAGGCTCGGACGGAGAGTATGATGTCTCCTATAACAAGTCTCACGGCATTGAACGACCTGGACCGAGCTACTACGGTCCGAACTTCTCCAATGTCGAGAATAAACGCTCAGCATCTTTGGCCTACGGGGATATCAGGCAGCCTCGAATGCCAAATCCCTATGTCAAGCGCCCACAGCCATATCCTGAGGAGGTGAAGAGGGATTATGAAGAATACAAGAAGTATGGCGATCTATATGCAGAGTCCAAAGGAAAGACGAAGGACAATAAGAAACTCCTAAGAACTCGAGAGCACGACCCCCAATATCAACATTACAAGTAGAAAGGGCAAGGTCGTGGATGAACTTAGGGTTATTCGAAATTCTCACGTCTGCTTCATATTCTATAATCCAGTAATGCAGGCAATCAACAGCTGAGTAAAGTCCATGGCCTAGCAAGAGCCATGCTCTTGGATTGACGGGATGCTCTCCACAATATTTGCCGATAAGTCTGAAGTTCTCGTTTCCTAGCTTAAGGAACCAGGTAGTGTGTCTGTCAACCAGTAGACACTCAAGTAAAAGTAGTCCAGGCGACCATTGGAGCGTACTAGAAGTGGTGGTGCAATAGAATGTTCTGCAGTGTCCTATTACCAGAAACGGGAGGCAGGTAGATGAAGTGGAGGAGGAGGAGGTGGTGGTGGTGGTGGCGGTTGCTGAATCCTTGAGATGGTGAGGCTGAATATCTCTTATGATGGCATTGATGCTTCTATATGTTCGGGTATGGATGAAAACTCAAGGTGGTGGACGCACTACAGTTTAGAAGACAGAATTTGGAGATAAAAGGGACTGCAATTCCAAACGACTGAACAAGAATTGGTCAGGCTAATAATCTTCAAAGCATAGGCACTTTGGCGTCCATCAACCGGTATTGACAGTTTCAAGTTCATAGCACACAGCCATCACACTTCAGAGACCTTTAGGAATCTACGATGTGTATACGTCTCTCCTGAGACTGGGCTGATCCAGTGCTCCCCATTCAATCAGCCTTTCGTCACTCCATAAAGCAAAACCCCAGTCCCAACACGATGAAGGTCCGCCATAGCAGAACATATCCACAAACACGTCTGGGTAGTCCAGCCCTGCTCCCAGCCAGAGCTGAGCCCAGGCAACATTAGGTCGTTCATGCGGCGGCAGGGTGTTCAAAAACTCCTTGAGTCCATCAAAGTCCGTGCCAAAGTTGAATTTATCTGCAGGGTAGAGAAGGGGCAACGCTCCTGGCATTTCAGAATCCGGCCTTGGCCAATATTCGTGGAAGAAGTGATGCCAACTTATGGCGTTTGCGAGGACTAGGTCTCGCCGAGCCCGGAAGTTCCGCTCACGAAGCATTTTGACGAGAAATGACGGTCCCATGCAGGCTAGACTCTCTCTACAGTCGTCTTCTCTACATTTGAGATCGTCACAATCGTCCCAGTAACGTGTTAAGGGAGGTTTCTCGTCGGGCGGCATATCGCAGATAAAAGTAACACCGTAAGATAAAAGGTTGTCGGATGCCTCAAAATATGGCTCCGCCCATCGATGGTAGCAATGTCTCCAGAAACAGGCAATTTCTTCCACCTCCCACGGCGCCATGGTCGCGAAGAAAAGACGCCATACTTCGTCTTCTTCAAGCACAGGTGGGACTCCCTCAGGGGGGCTAAACCAGAATTTCTCCTCTTTCGGACGGTCTGCGCCCAGGGGAAGCTCAATGTGAGCAAATATATTGCCCCAAATCTGCATCTGATAGAATGCTCGGAAAAAGCGCCTTTGTTCAGTCCTAGATAGGCGTAGGGGCAAAATTTCGTTTTCCCATCTCTCTATGGGCATCCACTCCGGACATTTCGCAGTCCTCAAATAATCATCAAGGAGAAAAGTGGCTCCCCTATGGAGATGTAATAACTGAATAGTCTCTTCAACATTGGCTGGCTGGTCAGGAAAGGGTCCAGCAGACAATAAGCCTAGGTGGCGGATCTCTTCACTTCGTCGTCGACTATCCAAGAGGGCAATGATCCTTTCGCGGTTTGATAGCTTGCAAGCGTACAGACCTCTGGAGCGGATGGCAGCTACTGCGTCTGCAACGTCCACAAGGTCATCATGTGAAGATTGCAGGATGCTCAGCAGGAGCTCATCTCTAACGAAATAATAAGCCTGATAAGAAGCAGGCGATGCAAGGACAAGGGATCGCAGCGAATCTAGGTCCTGAAGTTTGAACAAGATGCAGATTTGTATTTCCACTGGTAGGCCTTCAAGCAATGGCTTGGTCTGATACAATGTCAGATATCATTTTTCTCGCAGCACATGTGGTGTACTTACCGTTGTCATCATCATCATTCGTCAAATCGTAGACTTTATGATAGTAGTCGATACGCAGAAATAGAACATGAATACTGAGGAGGAAAAGAGGGACTACAAAGTAGACAGAGACGAGACGATGGCGCTTGGGACTGCTCAACCGCCTTATGTAACACAGCAGGGGTAATTTTAGTCTGGCATATCTAGTGATTGCTACACTGTGGAGAATCCAAGGGAGCTAGTTAATGACAAGAAAGATAATAGGTTTACTAGTTGAATGACAAAGCAGGTTTGGCGCATGACATATCAGTGGAGTATGTGAGGATTGACGTTCTGCTTTGCAAGCTATGTAGGAATCCAGCTGGATAAAAGTTGTTGTGGTCCAAGAGAGTGAGGATCAAACACATCCCTCGCATATAATTAAGGGCAGGACCATCGTACGGGTGCGTAGATTAGTGCGAGACGTGGGAAGCAAGTTACGAAAACTTGGAAGCCCGAGACAGACAGTCTGTACCATTGTCCGGGCGGTGCTGTTGGGAGGATAATATCGGCACATATTTTGGGAGACTTCGTTCGAGTATTGAGCGAGTTAGAAAGTTGGAGAGACATGCACTGGAGCTTATGGGTCTTGAGCCATTAACATTAGATGTAATATGTAATGTCCCTATCTATTGCATTGTTAATGGCATGGGATCAAGATCAGCATTTCGAACACAACATCAGCCGGCACGCACTGTTCGCATTCCCATTCATGGAAGACGACCAGAGTTCCAAGGACAAATCCATCAACCCAGACGCACAGGTTACTTGCCCTCTTCCGCTTCCGCAGGGGCAAGCAATTCTACTGGAGAAAAAGAAACGGATACTCTGGCTTTGATGGGAGTTATCCCTGCTTGAATTCGGGGTTTTCTCTATCCACTCCACTCAAATGCATTGCTAATAACATGGTATCAATATCCGAATCAATTATGGTAAACCGTTAACCTTAAACCCAGCCAAAATGGTATCGTAGACAATCAGTTTATAACAGAAAGAAAAAGAGAATGGAACACGCAAACAAAATCTAAGAAGAGAAGTGAGGGGCGTTGAGGAACAGGCCCATCAGGACACCACCAAGCGTACCAGCAATGGGAATGGTCATGATCCATGCTAGCAGCAGCAGGCCCACACGCTGGAAGTTGACGGCCTTGAGGGTACCGTTGCAGAGACCAACGCCGACGGTGGCGCCGGTGATACACATCGAGGTCGAGACCGGGAGAGAGTACTGCGAGAAGACCAAGACGGTGATGGCGGCGCCCAATTCCATCGAGCAACCGCGGCTGGGGGAGTGGTAGGTGATCTTGTTGCCCATGACTATTGCTTAGTTAGTTTATTGTCCTGCTCGTGGAATACAGACGGTCACTTACCCTTCATGATGTTGTAGCCGTAAGTGATGAGACCGATGGAGATACATCCGGAGAGAACAGCAAGCTGCCAGACAGGGACTGGGGCCTTGGACGCAGCCGCATTACCCGTCTTCCAGGCCGAGTAGATCACGGCCCAGGGGCCGACCGAGTTACCGATATCATTGGCGCCGTGAGCAAAGGAAGCAGTGCAAGCGGTCAGGACCTGCACGAACGAATACGTGTGCTCGACCTCGTTGGGATACTTTTCGGCATGGGCGTAGACACGCTGCATCCGTTCCCCCTCGGGAGTACCGTGGATACCGGACTGGGCAGCGTGGATGTCGTAGTGTAGACCATACAGCAAGCCGACAGTGATCATGGCGGGGATGCGCTTCAGGAGGATCTTCATGTTCTTCAGTTCGTAGATCTCGCCGGGGCCCATCGGGTTGTCGCGGAGGGTGCGCATCGCCCATCCAAGGGGCCCGCGCTTCTTGAGGAGACGAGCGTTCAGGCGGTTGTTAGATTCCTCCATGAGTTCCTTGTAGGTGAGCTGCTTGGTCTCGTTGGCGACGAGGCTCTTCTCGTTGGGGGAGATGGCAGGCGAGGTAATGGGTTCGATCTCGGTCTTGGGGTTCTTGCTGTCAAACTCGGAAAGGGTCTGCTCAGAGGGAGCGGGGGATGCCTGGGCAGCGTCCTCCTCGTGGTCCTCGTCCTGGACGACGGCGTAGTTGGGGACTTTGGCACGGTCGGCGCCCTGAGGAGCGGGACGCTTGAACAGCAGAGGGCCGAGGATAAACATCCACCACTTGACGCCGTGATCCCGCTTGATCACACGAGCGTGCACAAAGGGGACAAAGAAGATGGCGGAGAGGATAGCAACACCACCACCGCAACCCAGGGTCACAGCGGCAATATACCAGCCGGGCTTCTTGCTCAGACCGAGACTGGGCGAACCCTTGTAGACAATGGACAGGGTACAGACCGTGGCGGCGATGAGGAACCAGAAGGGAGAGCTGTAGACGGCCCATGGCACGGGGTTCTTGCGCATGTGGACAATGAGCTTGATCAGCATGAAGATACTGGCACCGAAAGCGGCCGAGATGGCGGGAGCCATGCCCAGGCCTGCGAAGATAGCTCCCAGTCCCTTTCCGTGGTTCCATCCCCATTGTACCTTGGAAGCACCGACGGTCGCAACACCAACACCAGCAACGGCAGAGATGAGGGAGTAGGTCGATGAGACGTGGGCCGAGTGCTTGGTGCACCACATAACCCAGGAGGAAGCAGCGGCGAGGGCACAGGTGAAAGCAAGCATCTGCACACCGGCATCACCGCGGAAGGCCGAGTTGGGGATGATACCGTTCTTGATGGTGTCAGCCGTCCGAGCACCGACCGTGATGGCACCGAGCATCTCGAAGACGGTGCCGAAGATCATGGCTTGTCGGTAGGTAACCGATCTGGAGGAAACACTGGTGGCCCAGGAGTTGGCCACATCATCTTTCAGACAGGTAATGTCAGCAAAATCATCTACAAAAGAGCAGTTTAAAGAGACATTGACATACTTGCACCGTTGTTGTAGGCATCCAGCATGGCAAACAGAGTGCCAATGGCAAAGACGTAGTCATACTGGCTGAGCACCATCTTGACTGTGTGTGTGAAAAGTGAGACAAGTTTTTGAGGGCTTGATCCTGAATTGACTCAGACAGCGAGCCACGGGGCTTTTATGCTGCTATGCATTATATCGCTACCTCACGCGACATTTGCTTCCAACGCCTGGAACCATGCTTGAGACGCCCGCTATTGCAGCTGCAGGTGCGTTCGCATAGATCGTGGCAAGGGAATCATGCCCAGTTCGTGTACTCGACATGACACGTTCCTCCGCGCCTCTATCTGATTCGCACTTCGGGGAAAATGGGCTTATCACAAGCGTCTTGGCATTGCCCCCATCTCAGGGGCCGTCGAGTTCGAGATTTGACGGCACACCCGTGGTTGACAGGAGAAAAGCACTCAATTGACTTCAGTAGGCAACCAGCCAGGCACGCTTCGCCTATCTTCGCCTGCTTGTCTCGGAGCGAAGCAAGAGCGAAGCAAGATTGAAAGATGGACCATTTTCTTGGCAATCCAGCCAAATCCAAGCGGGAGAGGGTCCAGGAAGACAAAGGAAGACGCGGATTGGCTGGCTAGTGCTCTTGGCGGGGTCTCGGCTGGCTTTGGCAATCCTTGGCGGGATTTACCCCATCGACCTATCAAATGCGGAGACTCCTCCACGTGTGCTCCCAGATCAACATGACAAATATGGCCGAGAGCATCGAAGCCTTCGGGAAATCTGCGATTATCTGCCATGGCGCGTCTGGCGCTGCAAGAAGACACTACCTCTCGCTGAATTTTTCCCGGTGGTGGCAAGTACACGTGCTCAATTGCCCCTGTCAGTTGGTTTGACTTGGCCACTTTCACAGTCAGGATAGACCATCATAAAGGTCTGTATGTTCCTGAAAACCCCTCTGGCTCCTTCTGACCAGGCAACCAGAGAGAGCAGCATGATCCATGACCCGGTCGTGGGCGAATGCAGCTAGATTTAGATATGTGCATCTGAACTTTACTTCATTTCTCGTCTTTGCTCCAACCGACTTCCCGTCAGTCAATGCGATCAACACCCGTATTGGCAGTAGTCAGCCGAGAGCGTAATATGTGATCGGGCACACCCGCAACACTGGTGGCGTACACTCGCCCCCAGCTCGGTGCTAACCGTCACCTGATTATATCTGCTAAGATAGTAAATACTGTTTCGGATTGTTGCGCTGGATGAGGTTCGGACTCCGTCGTATGCGGTCGAATGACAGTCGAGTACGTAGCCACGCTGAGGCAAATGCGTAGTGAATCACCTACGTAGCTATGTATGTCTCTGATCCCGTTCCTGCACCAGATCCTTAATCCCGATCTCGTCCAGATTTGGCCATACCTTTTATTGAACATTCCTTCAGTCACTCTACTACGCCAGAAATGGTTGTATGGACGCTTTTGGGCGAGTGGCGATATGGTTGACACCTTTGCTATCAAGATGCTATGGATAATCTTGACTACGCGTACCTCGTACCTAGACTAGTCTCTCTGCTCTCTAGTGTCTCCATTCATACATTGTCTAATAAACGGCGTCAGTTATGTAAAACAATGTCTTTCCTTATTGGAATTGTTGTTGGCATCTTCTAATAAATCCTGCTTGGTCTGAGTGAAACCTAGTCCAAGTACAACAAATCCTTAAAGGTTTTCAGAATAGCCTAGAGATTCCCTCAACTGTTCAAGTCGCTGGAATGGTCATGCACTTGGCAGATAATCCTCTGAGACTATGATCAACGGCTTGCAGAGCTCGAAAGAATCAGGTGAGATTTGTTATGAAACAGAAAATCCTACGGACAAGGTAGAGCCTATATGATATAGGCTACATAATGAACCATAAGCACTACTGCATGCTGATCGACAATAGCGTCTGAACCAATCCATACGTTGGTTTAAGTATCTGGTTTCAGTCTTCGCAGAAAATTCCGCTCGTAAACTGTGTACCATTTGGCCAATGTCCTTAGCAAATTGGGATATATGAAGCTATTCGAATGCTATATACAGTGTAGTATGTCCTGCCCAACGGAAAGTCACTGACTAAAATAAATATCTTACGGCCTGTGGTTCATTCACCGTGCTTATTACATCCTCCATCCTACATTGTTAGGACACCCGCTACTTAGAGGAATACCCTGTTAAAGACATATGTTTATCCACAGCATTGATATGGCCAGCTCCAACTATCACAACAACTATCGCTACCATGTATGACCATGGTTATATGGATACCAGTTCCTCTAAGCTGTTCTAACTTATATTCTCTGCCTTAAGAATGTCCGGACTATCCAATTTGCTCATTGCAGATTCCTCTGGAGAGATACTTCAGTATGAGGGCGATACAATTCAATACGGTGTCGAAATACACACTGAAAGATCAAACGAAACCAGATCCAATTTCAACCATTTGATTGGCCCTCGGAATTAAGGTGCAACTAGCGCGTAAGCAGGATGCATTAGTGGCTTCTGTTGGCATCGGAGATCTTCCATCCTGCAATGCTGAGCTCACTGCTTGGTCAGCAACAGCAATAGACCAAATGACTGCGAAGACACCGACATCATAGATCATACAGTTCATTACGAGTACTAGCGACAGGTGACAGAACACTAAATGCTACAGATATCGAAAAATCAGCTTCTCCCCCCGTTTCCGCCGCCAGTTATTCGTCGACTCTAGTAAGTCAGGACACCCCCTAACGACCCACGGCCACTTCTGCAGAAACCTCTCTGTGACCTCCCAGTTTTTCGGATCCGTGGGGTCCCCCCACACCAGCATACAGCAGGCGTCCATCCCCGAGTCCCAGAACCCCATGATATCAACGCACAGTTGGCAGTCGTCGAAGTTGTCTTCCCCCGTCGTGAGCAGGTTATCTCGAATTTTCGGGATGGGGAAGAAATCCAGCCAGGGGTGATGCGGGACCGTCTTCTGTAAGCGCGTCGGTCGGAGACTAGGCGGGAGTTTCTGCTCGTCGATGTAGCCTGGGCCCATGGTGGGGAAGGGGGAGAGAGCGTCGTCGTGCATCCAGTCTTCGGTGTGGGACATTCCTAGTAGCGACATGATGCTGGCGAAGGCGCGGAAGACGTTGACTTTGCTGAGGGTTAGGAGGTGGTCGGAGGTTGGGAAACCGAGGATGTAGCTTTCGTAGGCGGTGCGGACGAATATGTCGAGGTATTGGCGGACTTGACTGGAGCTGAGACATTGAGTGGAGTTTTTGTTGGCGACTAGCGAGGTTTCATTGTTTGGGCTTGTGCTCGAGATGGAGGTTGCGGTTGAGGAGGGCGGTGTCTGGGTGGTGGGGAGGGAATAGTCCGAGCTGGAATGGCTTGTTTGCGCTCGTCGCTGAGCTTGCTTTCGTCTTCCTGTATCCCGTTAGTCTAACGCCGACCTTTAGATGAGAAGGGATGACTTTGACTAACGATATGCCCTTTGATTGATGCGATTCTGTCTCCTCCGCCGTTCAACAGGATCAGTCAACCCGGACCAATCATCATCGGGCTTTCCGTTATCGCCAGACAGGAGAGCTCCACGCGATGACACGGACCGGGAGGAAATAGTCGGCATGATCAGCTTACTCTGTAGATAATCCAAGCGTAAGCGTTGAGTTGAGAAGGGCAAGGGAAAAGATCCCGGGCGGGGGTGACAGTTAAGAGCATTTTGCTGATGCTGTGGCTGAGTGGATCCGGAGTCCGGAGTTAAGACAGGGTCTGGAGCCGACAGCTCGTTTCACTATCAATAGAGTACGTGTATTGTATATCCATAATACAATACCTTACCATATCCATTATCACCGTCAGGGTCAACAAGCAAATTATTCCGATCCAACAAGCCTACAAATAGGGACTGATGAGATGAAAGGAGGTTATCTAAGTTGCGTGGTTATTGATTTGCTTTGCTCTTATGTCGAGAGTGTAAATTATGGAGGTGGAAGTGATTAACATAGCCGCAGTTGCCAGAATAAGAACAGCCGTGATGAATCACTGAGATTCGTTCATCTAGTTTAGCTTTGGTTAAGGGTATAGTATCAGAGTATTTCCCCTCAATATGTAAGGGAAGCTTGCACAGGAACAATAGAGTTGTCCGAACTCATAGGACCTGAGTTGTCTCAATATAATATATCCTAGCCCCAAGTCCTCTTCTGCTAAGACAGCGGAGTAAACTCAAGCAAGTATACCTTCACCCAAATACATAGTGGGAGATTATTGACGACTGAAAGGGAGGTAAGTTCCTTTAATGCCAAAGAATACCTGTCTTGGGGAATAATACAGCAAAGAGTCTTTCCAGCAAAGTAAATGCAAATCGAACTCAGAATGTGCCTGCTATTGGTGCTCATGTTCGTTAAGAATCATCTCTCATCGACCTGCGCCATCTCTTTCGAAGCCCTATCTTTTCTTCTTGTTCTTCGGCGCAAATGACTTTGCCGCCAGTCCTTCCCATTTCTCGTCGCCAAGGTCCAATCCCCGAGTGTTGACCAACAAAACGAAGCGCTTGTCCTTATCCAGTTGCTTCAGATTCGTACCGAGCGTAGAGGCCAGAATAGGGGCAAGGTCATGAGCAGCGCAAACCCGAAAGTCCCCCGTATCGACCCGCTTCTTGTTGCGTCGTTCGAGCCGCACCTGCAGCTCTTGCTCGATGATTTGGGCCAGTGTCTTGCCATGGACAACGGTGTTCTTGATAGCGGTAGTTTCGTCGCCGTTGAAATATGGTGGCCCAATGTAGGAGGGATCGATCACGGTCTCAAGACGCTCGCGGGAGTCTGGTCGCTGGTTGAAGTGCTGCAGGTCATATAATAGGACGTGCAATCGGTATTACAGGGTGGGGAATGTGGTGCTGTTTTGGAGGTCGGCGAGGGAAGATGGAATTGTTGTGTTAGTATTCTGAGCAGCAGAGCTGTCTGGCGAGTGTGAGGTAGCCATGTTGATATGAGGAATTTTGTTTGTGAGGAGGGTTGAAGACGTTGTGTGTTGTAGTTGACGTAGACAGGGACCGATTTCTGTTCCATGGCACGCTTATGTCGCAATAGTGGTACTGCAAGGTTCATACATCCAACATCGGTTGTTCAACAACCCTCTGTCGTACACAAATCATGACGCAGACAACATCATAAGAAAAAGGTATATCATCACGTAGACCGCTGAAACATATGCATTCATTATGCCCCTTGGCCACAAACTAGCTGCGACGCCACTTCGATATGCGCAAACCGCTCCCCGATTAGATGTAACTTCTCAATCAGAATCTTCTTGGAGACCTGCTGCAAATTCCTGAAGGAGAAGATGACGTCCTTTAGAAACAAAATATCATCAATACGACTGGTCGTTTCCTCGAGAGTCACCTGCGGCCCATGCAGAACCACATCGGCGATCGTATTGATGATCTCCAGTAACTTGCTCAGAATCGACGATCCGTGGATCTGGATCGTGTTTTGCGAGATCTTGGTGAGGAACTGGCGTAGTTGGCAGGATAACCGGAGCGGCATTTCGAGCGACAGTGATGGACAGGAAGCATGGGACGACAGCAGGCAGTTTGACATGGCCATCTGCCAGAGGAGAGTCCGCATCCACTGGCGCGTCACGACCAGATCCGCCTGTTGCAGATCCGTTAGCATCGAGACCTCCAATTCCCATAGCTCGTCGTCGAGCTCCCGATGTTTTTGCTCGACCCATGCAACCGTCACCTGGCTCCGATCGCCGATCCAGAGGCTGATAAAGGTCGGCTCGAGCAGGAGGAATGTCTTGATCACCTGGACCCAACCATGGGAGATACTAGGATCGAGGCTGGGATCGTCCTCGGGGAACTGCGCGTATGGAGACAACGTCGCGGGAGAAAAGTGAAAGATGGACATGAACCGCTCATGGATGAAGCATAACCAATAAAGTCGCTGTCGCCGCGAGCGCTCGGTCAGGTCAAGGCTGGCCATGACGGCTTTGTCTTCAATCCGAAGCAGATGCACCATGCTGATTGCTTCTCGCAGGTAGAAGAATCCCAGGTCATACTGCCCCAGGCTCATGTAGCACATCTGGATGTACACGCTTGTGACAGCCCGAAGGATAGATGGTCGGAAACCCGGTAGCAACGGAGTCCGGAGCTGGATAGCTCGGCCGGCGAGCTCGTTGATCTGCTCCGACACATGAGACGTTGCTGCATTCGACTGTGTGAGGTCAATTGTGACACCAGTAAAGGCGTAGACAAAGGCCGCATGGTCTCTATCTGTTGCCATCTTGCCGATGGACTCGCGGATCTCCTTGTCCGTCATGATCGGATTGAAAGGATACACGTAGGCCATGTATTTCGGAATGAGACTATGCAGATACGACGTCGATAGTGCCACCGACTTCAAATCTGGGAGCGACGAGGGTGGGACTAGAACAGACGTCGAAATATGTTCACTCTTGAGTTCCCGCGTGAAGGGGATTTTGTATTCGGAAATCACGGTTCCTCGACGGAGAGCATTCTTTCGCGATCGCGCACGCTGATTGTCGCTATATGTGCAGAGCAAGTCCAGATGCTCACATTGCTGACACCGGTGTTGGCCATTGCAGCGGACTTTGCGCCGTCTACATGGATCGCAGGCTCGGGAAACCTGGGGTTTCTTCAACCGAGTGGTATCCATCTTCGCAACTAGACAAGCCTAATGACACGGGTCTTGTCTCACTGTCTCATGCTTATCAGTTATCCAAGCCCAGCGTCCACACAAAAGAAGACCAAGACGCCCAGTGGACCCTCCATCGAAGTTTCAGGGCGAAAGCGCCGAAAATAATGGCCATTAAATATTATTAATAAGGACGCTGACTACCCCACATGCTGGGGAACTGAGGCTATACTACTTTGGGTATATGCCTAGGCTATTATTTACAACGAAAACGAATTATTTTTAGTCAAAAGGTTTTGTGATTAACGCCAGTACTAATTCGGATAGGCATCTGCTCAATTGGGTATAGCCTCGACTTCAAATATCCTGCCCTCATACGGCTGCAACTCACACTCCTCGCTTACAGTCTTGCCAATGTTGCTAACTAACAGCTTCAAATCCCGGTTCTGGAGCTCCATGGGCTTTTGGAATGGCTGTGACTCTTCGGAAAAGTTCAATACGACCAGCATACACTGCTCTTTCGAGGTCTTGAGATAACTGAAGATTTTCTGGTTGCCCTCGTCCAAGAGCTCGAAAATGCCAAACACGAAGAGATCAGCGTACTCTTTCCGCAGCAGGACCATCTGCTTCCAGAATGACAGGACGGACGATGGGTTGCCTTGTTGTACTTGCACGTTGACCTCCTTGTGGTTGTCATGGGGACGCATCCACGGCTTTTTTGAGGACGGATGAGAGAACCCCGCATTGGCTGCTGCGCTCCACTGCATCGGAAGTCGGGCGTGGTCTCGAGCCAGGTGTTGTAGAGCCTTCATGGCCATCTTCATCTGTACAGGGTCATTATTCGTCATCTCGCGCACCATGTGGTAGTACTTGGTGCTGTCGATGTCCTTGTACTCCTCGATAGGCCATTCTTCCGGGGCGTTGACCATGCCGATTTCCTGGCCTTGATAGATGAACTGTGTGCCGGACAGTGTGCACTGGAACATGGCAAGCATCTTTGCAGATGTTTCGCGGAGTTCGGGCGTTCTGTCTGAGCCAAAGCGAGAGACAGAGCGGCCCTGGTCGTGATTCTCGATGAAAACCGTGGTCCAGCCATCGGTTCCCTTGAGGATGTCCTGCGTCCGCTTGATCGCTGCCTTGAGGTCGGGCAAGGTCCACCCGCGCGGTGTGGTTAGGAACTTGTACTCTTTGCCCAAACCGAGGTCTACGACGTCAAACGAGAAGACCATGTTGAGCTGCTTCTCGGCGGCCGATACATACCGCAGCACTCCCTCGAGGGTGTGTGTCTCTGGCAGCTCGCCGACAGTCATGGCGTCATACTTGGCCAGCACTTCGTTCATCTCACTCAGATACTCGTGAATGCGCGGGCCGTTGCAGAATAAGGAAAAGGCTACCTGGGTCTCTGACTTGGGGTTGACGATGGGGGCATCGGGATATGACGGATCCTTGCTGTACATGTTCACAGTATCGACCCTGAAGCCATCCACGCCTTTTTTGAGCCAGAATTCCATGGCTGAGGCGTAGACGGCCTGTCGTACTTCAGAATTCTCCCAGTTGAGATCAGGCTGTTCGACAAGGAATAAATGCAGATAGTACTCCTGTGTTTTCTCGTCCCATTCCCAAGCACTGCCTCCGAACACACTGCGCCAATTGTTGGGCGGTTTCCGATCGCCATTGGCGTCGTACTTGGCCGGTCTCCAAATATACCAGTCTCGCTTGGGGCTGTTCTTCGCGGACCGAGATTCGTTGAACCATTTGTGCTCGTGCGATGTATGGTTGACCACCAAGTCTAGGATGATGCGTAGTCCACGGCGGTGACAAGCATCGATCAAGGTCTCCATGTCCTCAACCGTTCCATAAGGAGCATACACCTTCTCGTAGTCGGAGACATCGTAGCCCATATCGTGTTGCGGACTGTCGTACATGGGACAGAGCCACACGACGTCTACCCCTAGGCTAGCGATATAGTCGAGTTGAGAGATGATACCGGGAATATCACCGATCCCGTCATTGTTCGAGTCTTTGAAACTGGCCGGATAGACCTGGTAGATGATGGCATTCTTCCACCATTTTTCATCGGGTGACATAGTTACAAGTCTTGATAAGGACTTTGTTCAAGACTGGAGTCCGTGTCTAATATGTGGAGATGTGGAGGTTGGTCGCGAAATATGCATAACATTGAGAGGTCCCGGAATATATAACTATGGAGTTATGTGATCGGCCATCTTGATCGACCATCTCGCCAGCTGTCAACCCATCCCAACCAGTCTGATTGATTCCATGTCGGACCGAGGGGATATCCCCATTGCTTTTCGTGCCAGCAAACATGTCGCCTTATCGTTCTATCCACCCCGCGAGTCAGCACACAGGGCAGGAAGCCTTCCTCATGATCAGGCGCGCATAGCATGATCTGAGACGTGTAACCCCTATCCCCACTTCTGCTCCCATTTACACGTTCTTATTGGTGCAATTGTAATATATGCCGAGTAATTGATTCGTCCAAGGCGAGGGTGCAGAGCGGCCCTACACTCTCTCATTGGATACGGGGACTACCCCTCACAGAACTAGCGCAAAGCCTAAGCAGGCTTTAGGCCATTACAGGTTAGAAGCTGCATTAGCGCCAAAATGCGAAACCAGAGTCGGGCCGACTTTCTACCAATCACACTCTCATTCCCCGTCTCCCGACCAATTTTCGTCCCGGTGTGAAAATTTGGCTGCAATACGAGACCATAAACGGGGGCGAATTTCAGGGGAACTCAAGAGCAAAGACTTGTCTAAACTGCCGCTTGGGTCTCCTCAGTCCTTGGACTCGTCTTATGGTGTGACTCCTTGTGGTCACCGGTCAGAAGACACCTCATTTCGGATTGATAAATCTGGGGATATCGAGGGTCCGCGACAATCCGGGGAAGCCCAGAAGTGACAAACTACTTACCCCACATCTCATCATCCCATTGCCATCATCCCATCCAGCTTGCTGCAAGGCTGCCACACGCCTTAAACCGTCAACTAAGCTCGGGACTTGTGTCAAGGGCCAATGACGGCCATCGGACCGGAATGGTCTGACTTTAAGGCTTACGAACGGGCCCAGCTTCTAGAAGAATTACTCTAAATTCGTTGCCCCCCTTCCCTTGGACTCTGCAATACGAACCAGGGCACTTGTCCTGTATAAAAGCCCGCACATCTCTGCGGCGAGGCGCCCTTCCCTTGTTTTCTGTCGACAGGCCTGGCCATTGCCTGGCAATTCCAACACACATTTCCGTTATTGTCTCATCATAAACCATGGAGATCGAGAAGTTGGCCGGAATCGAACATGTGGAGGAGGAAGCTGGCTCACGCAGGCCCCATCCCCAGCCTGCGAGCCACCGGGACCTCATTGCCAGCAGTGAGGCCCAGGCGGCCCTCGATAAGGAACACAGCATGACACTGTGGCAGGCACTGAAGATCTACCCCAAGGCCGTGGGTTGGTCAATTCTCCTTTCGTGTGCCATCATTATGGAGGGCTACGATGTCGTCCTGATCGGTTCTTTCTTCGCCTACCCCCAATTCAACCAGAAGTACGGCCATATCATGTCGGACGGAAACTACGGTCTCGCTGCCAAGTGGCAAGCGGCCTTGACCAACGCGATGAGCTGCGGTCAGATTATCGGCCTGTTCATCAACGGCATCGTCTCGGAACGCTTCGGGTACCGGCGGACCCTCATGGCTTGCTTGGCCGCGACGGTCGGCTTTGTTTTTATTTTGTTCTTTGCGCCAAACATACAGACCCTCGTTGCCGGCGAGCTGCTCATGGGTATCCCCCTCGGCGTGTACCAGACCCTCACCGTCACCTATGCATCGGAAGTATGTCCCGTCGCTATTCGAGGCTATCTCACCACCTACGTGAACCTGTGCTGGGTCCTAGGTCAACTGATTGCCTCCGGTGTCCTGAAGGGGCTAGAGGAGCGCACGGACGAGTGGGCCTACCGCATCCCGTTCGCCATCCAATGGGTCTGGCCCGTCCCCATCTTCATCGGCGTCTTCTTCGCCCCAGAGAGCCCCTGGTGGCTCATCCGCAGAGACCGCCGGGACGACGCCGTCAAAGCGCTCAACCGGCTGGCCATAACCGGACATCCGGACTTCAACGCCGAGGAGACTGCGTCGATGATTGTCTACACCAACGCGCTGGAGAAACAGGTCGAGACAGGCACATCCTACGTGGACTGCTTCCGAGGATGCGACCTGCGCCGCACCGAGATCTCCTGTCTCGTCTGGGCTGCGCAGAGTCTCTGCGGCGGCGGGCTCATGGGCTACTCGACCTTCTTCTATCGGCGTGCTGGCCTCGCCGTCTCCCAGTCCTTCACCATGTCGCTCGTCCAGTACGCCATCGGCGTGGTGGGGACCTTTCTCTCCTGGGTGTTGATGACCTACTTCGGTCGTCGCACGTTATATGTCGGCGGACTGGCTCTGCTGGCCATCGTGCTCTTCGTCATCGGCTTCATCTCCATTCCTCACTCCACCCCCGCCCTCTCCTGGGCCACCGGATCCATGCTCCTCGTCTACACCTTCATCTACGATTCAACCATCGGCCCGGTCTGCTTCTCTCTCGTCTCCGAAATCCCCTCTTCCAGACTCCGCACCAAGACTGTGGTGCTAGCTCGTAACCTGTACAACGTGATCAATCTGGTCTCGGGAATCATCATCCCGTACATGCTCAACGTGGATGCATGGAACTGGAGAGGCAAGTCGGGGTACTTCTGGGGCTCGCTCTGCACCTGCTGTTTGATCTGGGCGTTCTTCCGCATCCCCGAGCCCAAGGGTCGGTCCTATGCCGAGTTGGATATTCTGTTTGAGCGTAGAGTCCGCACCAGGGAGTTTGCAACTGCCGAGACGGGCTTGGTGGAGAGAAGAAGCGATCACAAGGTTGATCCGCTCGCTGTTAGCGTTTGAGTCGATTCGTTTGTACTCATATTTAGTGCATATGATGATGATTTGGAAATATGGATGGATATATTGTCTCACGTCTGGCTAGTGTATGTAGTCTACTCAATCTTCAATCCAACATTCATCGTCAACTTCAAGTTAAACCAACACCTTGAATGGCTTGATATCGTTGGGTAGCTGACGTAGACTTGTGTATATTAAGGAGTGACTCTGAATAGTAGTCTATGCATACACGAACTGTCTCATTTAAGTCAGGATATCGGCAATCAATAAACACATCTTTCAACATCTAGCGGGAATCAAGTATAGGGAAACCTATATCTCAGACAAACATAGAAGCAAGAATCTAGCTCAATCTAGAGTCATACTCGCCTCGAGCGCCTCCAAAGTTGCCGCTCTTATAGACACCTTACACTCATCACTCACGCCGCTGTCCTCTCAAGCCGCTTCCTAAACCCATCCTTCCAGAACCGCCATCTCTTCAACGAAAGGAACGCATCGCCAAAATACAATAAAGCGGGTTCCCAGCTCTTCGTATCCCCGATTGAACCCGAACATAGAACATGCTTGAAGAGCTCTTGCCCGTCCCAAAGGATATACTCCGCAGCCGCAATGATCTGCTGATCTCGCATCCCCATGAACGAGGCACTCCAGTGTGTCGGTTCCGCGATATTCTCAGATGCGTCGCGGAGTGTCCACATGGCAAAGTCGGGATTATGAGGTCGGATATGCGTCGATGCTTCATGCGCAAAGGATGCGTTCAGATTCGGCCACTGCTGTGGCACGTTCTCGCCGGGCTCTGGCATTAAGTTACTGAATCTAGGGTTGGTAGAGGGTGTCAACGAACCGTTGTACCAGTCCCGCAGTGATTCCTTGAAACGCCGGCCGCGCATGTACCATACGTTCTATAACGTGTCATGATCGCTGGAATGAAGGAATTCTTCATGCCAGCTTAATCTGGGACGAATGGTGGTAGCGTATCTGCTCCGCAAGCCGGAGTACAACTTCGCCGACGCTCCAGACTTCTGTTGACAAGGGCTCTTTCTCGGTAACAGCGCGAGAATCGAGTGAACGGCAGAGTCAAGGGACGTCTTTGTGTCGGGTTGAAGGTAGTCATTCAGGACCTGGAATACCTTTCTTGACTGTAATCTGTGGTCCCGACACATCTGTAGTCGAGCTCGTGGCCGTCGAATCGGCACACGGGTTTACTTCCTGTAGTTTCGGGCGCACCGGTGTCAATACTCTCCGTTGGCGGTTTTTCACTTTCCCAACCTTCGAGCTTGAGCTCGAGTTTTGACATGCCGAATCTGGGATGAGAGTATCTCGTCAAGTTTGGTTGAAGTGTAGCGAGCGTGGTGATAGCGCCAAACTGTCGTCTGAAATAGCCGCTTTGGACTCCCTGATCGATGTGACACTAGCCGCCGAGGCTGAGCTCGAGATCCTACTATTGGAGTTGATTGATCAATCGAGTGCAGTAAGCCCTGATCAGTAATTGACGCCCGAGTCAGCCTCATCGGTAAATCTAAGCTCAAGTCGACAACGTTTTCAACGATACGGTGAGACAGGCTCGCCGGAAGAACAACAAGAGGCGACCCAACAGATACAATGACCAGGAATGGCTTTTCGAAAAGGAAGCCTCTATGAGTAACCCACAATGGTGTACCCGTACAACATGCAGAACAGTAGAGACCAGGCTTGCATGATTGTCCATGGCAAGAATCGACGCGGAGCCTTCGTTTACTCGCACCGTCACTGATCGACATAGGAATGTGCAGGGTGCTATCTACCATCCAAAGGGTAGGAAAAACGACTTTGTGAGAGCGCAGAGATCTATAATTTTCGGATGTATGGGCCGCCTGTTTGACTGTTTGAACCTGGTATATGCGATTTATCTATAGTTCCCATAATTTGTTTTGTAAATTTTCAATTCTATCCACCTTCTACACTTTCCTCCATGGGACATCTTCCAGTACAAATAGAATACTATTCAGTCCAAGCTTTACTATACAGAAGAGATCGACATCAAGCCACTATGCTAGAAACAACCGACACGACCAACACCTTCTATCATCTAGCAAGAGGAAAGAGGCTCAGAGTACTGGCAAGCATCACTAGGACCCTCGCTGACCTCCTCAGGCTCATCACCGGAGTTGTTACCCTTGTACTCCACACAGATCTTCTTGACATCGGTGGCGCAGGTGCTGCTGTCGATGGAGGCCGTGTCACCCAGGTTGCTGTTGATACCGACCAGGGTCTTGCCGGAGTTCGCGACAACGTTCCTGATGGTCACGGTGCGAGCATGCTGCTCGTCGCAGTTGCCGCAGGAGCGGTAGAGCTTGCCAAAGTCGTAGACGGTGAAGCCGTCGATGTTGACCTGGCCGCCGGAGTTGTGCTGGATGACCTTGTCATCGGCACCTTGGGCACCGCCGCCGATGATGTTGTACGGGCCGCTGCCGCCCTTGAGGGAGAGGGCGTCTGTGTCGCGTTAGCATGGCCTGTAGTAAATTGCAAATGGCTTATGGTTACGGCTTACCCTCGCAAACGGCCTCCCACCAGACGTTCTCGATGGTGCAGGCTCCAAGACAGTAGACGCCCTCGATCTGGTCGGAACCGATAATGGCGTTCTTCAGGGTACCGCCCTCCTGGATGAGGAAGACGGCGTCATCCTGGCCTCCTTCGCCCTGGCCACTGCAGGAGACGCCACGGCCGTAGGTCTTGTAGCCACCGTCGTAGGTCTTGCCGGCGGCGACTTCGTAGGGCGCGTCAAAGGTCACGCTGCCTTTGGAGTCGGGGATGGGGAACTGGGCCAGGGCGCTGGTGGCTAGCAGGGAGAAGAGAAGGCTCTTTTGATACATGGTGATTTGTAAAAGGACAAGCAGTATAGTTCGCAGAACTGAGAGAAGAAAATCGATGCTACCAGAGCAGATGGAATGAGACTTGGTTGATGATGGGAGTTGCAGTCCGCTGGCCACGCGCTTTATATCTTTTTCCTACGACTCTCAAAGTATCTCCATCTCCAGGAGACCTACAGGCTCATCGGCGGACTGACTTGCTCTCCCCTTGGCAGGTTTCACTCGGAGTGTTGCCATGCCTGGGCCGGCGTGTTGAGAAATCAACGTGAAACTGGGCTCGTCGGTCACCGTCTACAATCGACAGGAGAATTGCCGATCCATGACTCGCAAGCTGACGTTTCTGGTGGAGTCTACCCGAGTGTGATACAGGTCCTACGTACTCACCCACCGGTATTTTCATCTCCGGTAGTTGATCGGCACGCCAAGATATAATGAAGCACCGGCCCATTTCCGCCACGACTCCGTCCCTTCTTGGCGGCTGGATTCAATTCGATCGACATGCTGACTGACCTTGTCTGTGGGAGAATCGAATCGATGTGATTGATGGAGTTTCTAAGTTCTCTTGCGGCATCATACCTGTTCTATGTTTTCTCCATCGGAAAGCGCCCTCTGAACGCCTGATCACTTGACCCATAGACCGATGACAATGCCGAGAGACTATAGGGGGCATCCTGTCAGACGAAGCATTTAGCGTCGAAATCGTGGCGCAGTGGAATGAGTAGAATGGCCTGACAGTCCGAGAACCGGGGTACTCGCGGAATAATTAGTGGATAGAAGCCGAATCATGCACAATCCGTACTGGGCCAAATGATGTGTCTCGACCGATGTGTCAGTTTCAGCTTTAATTGCAGTACACCCCGGATTAATTGACTCGTGATCAGTTTAATATAGTTATGGTATCCAGCGCATAGGAGTCCCGTGGTCCGTGGATAACTGATTGGAGGACAATATTAACCGCGTCGAGCCGATCACAGTTATTTGCCCAGACTGCGCGGCAAGTTGATAAAGCAGTGACTACGCAATCTTCTGCAGAGCCAAGATATGGGGAGACGATTCATCCAATGGTGTAACAGCCTTCTTCAAAAGCCGTGCTCGTACTCTAGAGGATACACCAAGACCAAGCTTCCTTGGCCGTCAACTGACGCTATCTACGACACACAAAAGTTAACACCCTCCTGTAGCACTGGGTTTCTCACACGCCTTCCCCGTGCAGTTAAACCCCCGAGTACCCTCGACATTACCACACAGATACTCATCCGCCATCGTCCCATTCGACAGCTGCAAATTCACATTTCGAATCTGGATATCCGTGCAGGGCTTGACGGCACTACACTGAAAGCTGGCCACCACGTCCGTCTTGGACGATCCCGTGACATCCTCAATGCGCAAATCCCGGATCTGAAACTTGGACGAGGTGCAGTTGCTCGGCGCGCGTGCAAACGTCGTGCACTGCGAGATGGTGAAGGGGGCCCCGCGCAGATTGTAGGCGTGGAGATTCGAGGCGGATATATCTGAGGCATCTGTTGTAATGGCAGACGTCAGAAGGGAGGCCCGAACATTCAAGAAAAGGGGAATGGGCAAAGGGTGATTACAGCCAAGGCCGCCGCCTCCGCCGTTGGGCGGGTAATTGACCTGCTCGCCTGTCCAGGTCTTGAAGTAGAGGCTGTGCAGTGTGCCGTAATACGTGATGTTCTCGGCTCGGACACGCTCGATGGTCTCGAAGACGTCCTTGTACTGGCCGATACTGCCAATGGCGATGCCAAGGCCCCGGTAGAAGACCGAGTTTGTGATGAGAATGTCGGTGGAATTGGCCTTGGTGCTGATGCTGTCGTCGCCGTTGACGACCGTCCAGTTATTGAAGGTAATGTGCGAACTGTAGATGGTGTCGGCCCCGTCGGTATTGTCTTTCCAGTTAGCCTGAACGTCATTTACTTCATCATGTTACTTACGAGCCGAGTTGCCGTTGGTGGTTGTGCTGTTCACATAGATTGAGTCGAAGAGGATATGATCCGAGTGAATCACAGATAAAGTCCTGACTCTTAGCTAATGACTACCTGCAGCGGATGGCTACTTACCACATCTGACTTTGCAGGAATCTCAAGCCCTGAAAGACCGAGTTTGATGCTCGCGCGACGGTGAGGGCGTGCGGCCTGCGAGGATAGTTCGACACACTCTTGACATAGTCATACCACACCTGTCCGTTGCCGTTCAATGTGCCGTATCCGTGGCCGTTGAAGCGGATATTCTTGCCTCCTATCACCCATGCAGTGGACTGATTCTGATAGCCCACGTCCAGGGAGTGTGAGAGCCAGTACGAGATGTTGGTTCCCCACTGCATCTGTCAGTTGGCTACAGGAATAAAGACAAGGGTTTCTACCAAAAGTGTGCCATAAAGGTCAATGTCACAATTGTGCAGTCCGCTCGTGTTCATCACGCTGTTGACATGGTATGTGGTATTCTGGAAGACGATCCTGCCCCCTTTTCCACATTTATGAAAGGCTTTGAGGATAGCAGGCGTATCATCAATTGATTCGGAACCTCCTGCCTTGACAATACATGTTCGGCGATGAGACTGTCCGGTAGTGGCATCTGCAATGACCGCTAACGGCAGAAGGACCCAGGGAAGGATATTTGCAAGATACATGGTGGCTAACTACAATGGGTTGACATGACCGATGAGCATACAATGCGTGACTCCCACCAAATATAACAACTGCATATCGCTCATTATTATCCCGAGTCCGAACCTTGATTGTTGCTGAGCGTCCTATACACCGAGAATGTGCGGAGAGATCGACATTCTGCGCGGGGCCAAGCCATCCCCCGCTTTTTATATTGATCTATACGATCGACGGAGAAATTCGACCAGATTCTTGGTCGTGATGCACTGCGATTGGAATAGAATAGGACGAGCAACGGAGAAACTTAATAGGACGCAGGTACTGCGGATACCCTTTCTTTAACATACGCAGGAAACTAGGAATAATATGCAAGAATCAATTGATCGTCTATGAGGTATCATCTCTATCTATATCTATACTCTATACATCGAAAATAGACTGCTTGTACACCGAAGGATCAATGTACGGAGTTCCTCCACGCCTGGTGAAGCCCCAGCGGATCTGGTTAGCCATGGAGATTTCCACGCCGAGGTGCTGAGCAAACGTCCAGGCCAGACCGGGATCCTTCTGGAATCCACGCCCAACAAGCGCAACGTCGATATCCTGCTCCTCGAGAATCTGATTCGCCTGCTTGCCGTTGGTGATGGCACCCACGGCGGCAACCAGCAACTTGTCGCCGACGGCCTTCTTCACGGCCACGGCAAAAGGCACCTGGAAGGCTGGGCCGGACTTGATCTTCTGCTGCGCGAGAACACCACCGCTGCTGATATCAATCAGGTCAACGGCGCCCTGCTTGACCAGCTCCTGCGCGAACCGCACGGTATCCTCCGACTTCCAGCTCTGCTCCGGCAGGGTCTCCTCGCACCAGTCCGAGGCGGAAATGCGCAGGAAAACGGGTACATTGGGGCCGACGGCCTCACGGGTCAACTGCGCAATCTCCAGAGACAGCCGGATGCGGTTCTCGAACGACCCGCCGTACTGATCCGTGCGGTTGTTAGCGGCCGGCGAGAGGAATGACGAAAGCAGGTATCCATGCGCATTGTGAATCTCGACAAAGTCCGCACCGGCGGCGATGGCGCGCTTCGCGGCCGCCACCCAGTCCTTCTTGAACTGCTCGATCTCGTCCAGCGTCATGGCCTTGGGCTTGGCGAAGGGCTCCGCAAAGGGGATATCGCTGGGCCCCTTGACGCGGTCCGGCCATCCGCCGACCTTTTCAGTTGCGATAGCAGAAAACGATATCCAGGGAGCAACGGTGGTGGCTTTCCGGCCGGCGTGGGCGAGCTGCACACCGATCTTCTGGCCCTGGCTGTGCACGAAGTCGATGACCCGGCGCATGGGGGCGATCTGGGAGTCCTTCCACAGACCGACATCCTGGGGGGTGATGCGGCCTTCGGGCTGGACGGCGGTCGCCTCAATGATCATCAGGCCGGGTCCGCGTTGCGCGATCCCACCCAGATGGGCGATGTGGTAGTCGGTCATGTGGCCATCCTGAGCGGAGTATTGGCAGAGGGGTGCCAGCTGAAGGGAATTAGCTTTCATCGATATGAACAAGGGCAAAAGGACTTACACCAAGGCGGTTCTGGAAGGTGACGCCACGGATGGTCAAGGGCGTGAAGAGCTTGGGGATCTTCTGGCCATTGGTCTGGGGGTTAGCTGCCGTACCGGCAGGAGGATTCTGGGCCGGAGTGAAGTAGGGGATGCCCTCGGCAGGAGGAACGTCGATATCAGCGACAGTCATTTTGTTGTAGGAGATTGTGGATGGTATTGATGGTTGGTAAGAAACTCTTATGTGCAGGATCTCTATTTATATGCATGTCACACTAGGCACAGAAATCAATAGAACGTACGATTTCCAAGGACAGCTCCACTTCTTCAGGCTTGATTTACAATCTTGCCGAATAGTGGAGACTTTCGTCAGGGGAACGGCGCTGGAAACTGGGTGCCGAATGGTCCAAAGTCGAGGCATATCGCGGCGATCGCTCGGCGACATGATGTCTGTCCTTGGGTGGAAACGTGGCAATGGTATCGGCCACCCAGGTACCGGACAGCTTTTATCAGAATTGCCTAAAAAGGCAATATTAAGCATTCAACCAGTGTAATCCTTGCCTCTGCCGAAGAAAAATCGAAAATTGGATGTACCACAGTGGAGCATCCAGATTGATGCCTTAATAAGCAGGCGGAGACACGGAGGAAAATCGGTCCAAGAAAGTCTCCGAGGATGACTAACCGAAGCATTGCCAGTTGGCCACATTAGACAGGATACTCATTCTCCATGAAAGACGGCGATCTCTACGCCAACGGCAGAACAAATACTTAAATATAAAGTCGATGTGATCTTGTGGAAGTGATATCAGTCCCGTATATTCTTTGTGCCATGGCAAGAGCCTGTGACTTGAGTGTCTTCGGGAAAAATGAGCATATATTCTAAATTGCTCTTCACAAGTCTAATAATGCAAAAAAAAGTATCCAAGTCTATAGTCCCAGATGTATATGTGTAGATGCAAGATCACTGTAATGTAACAGTCTTGCCCTTTGGCCCTCCGCACTCATACACCGCCAGCAGTGTATGATGATCCAGAGCCAAAACACCCGGCCAGTGACTCCTATGGGGACAAATCACCGTCGGCTGGGTCCAAGAGATACGTCCGTCTTGCGGCGGCCCCGCAAAGACCATCTTGATGCACGCGTTGTTCGTCCACTGCACATCCCTCTCGTCCTCGTCCGTCATAAAAATCACCGCCAATGAGCCGTCTGCGAATGATGCAATCTGCGGCGCTCCCGCATTGTGGCCCCGGGGCGGCACATACACTTCATGCCGCCATCCCCAGGTCCGGCCGTCATCATACGAGAGCAAAGCCTCGAGATTGAATGTGCCGTACCGCGTCGTCTCGAAGACCATCACCAGTGCCTCGCGCCCATTGTCGACAGTCGACGCGATTCCAGTCATGCCATCGCGGATCCGATCGTTGATTCCCTCGAGACACTCCGGCGGTGACCACGACGACCCTTGATCGAACGACCGCACCAGCATCGTGCACTGATTATCATGGGCGTATTCCTGCGAATAGAACAGCTGAACCTCCCCTTGACGGCCGAGCCGCATAAACGGCTCCCAGATTCCATTTGGAGGGGACTTTTCAACGGCCTGTGCAGCATACTGCCAACTGCGACCGCCGTCTGTGGACCGGCACACGGTTATACGGAAGTGTGTAGGCCCGTTGGGACCGAGATCGTGGTTGCGAAACGCCCCGAGGACGATAGAAGGTGCAACCTCAAGGAGGAATAGATTATCGCAATCGCCCTGACTGCGTGTCACCTCGCCAAAGTCGTGGAATGTGCGACCGCCATCGGTACTTTTCGCGACCGTAAGGATGCGAGTCTGGCCGGCGAAGCGGGTGAAGGCGGAGAGAATGGAGCCATCGGACAGTTTGGCGAGGCGGGGATATGTACCGGAGGGATCCGATGAGAGAAGGCGTTCATCGTTATTGATCAATCGGTTTCCTGGAAGACGGGCGTCGTTCTGGGGCTGGAATGGGTGTGGGCCGCGCTGGTCGTCCAAACCAAATGTTTTGAGGATTTTCTGGCCAAGGTGTCCGGGCATACTGTGTAACTGGCTCACTGTTCCAAAATCTATGCAGTTAGTACAATGCAAATGCAGCAAGGATACCCTGGAGGCGCTCAGGTTCTTAAGTGGTACGAGGGTAAGGGAGCTAAGCCTCAGGCAACGTTGACTGTTGTGGAAATGCCGGGATGCCTCAGGCTCATGACGTCAGATGACATGACCGCGGGCGAATGATTGGTTGTCATGTGCGCGGAATAACAATGTTCCCCGCCGGCCGACACAGAAATGTAGCTGCCTGAGGCCCACTATGGACTTGGCGCATTTCCACGAATTTGATTGGAGAAACGAGTCAAGCTTATTGAGAATGCGGGGTAAGCTGATCATGAACTGTCAAGGGTCAAAGCTGCCTGACAGTAGCAGGATGGCAGACCCTGGATAGACACCTTCTTGGTATCGATTCAACCTGAAATTCTGTAACTAAGCCCTCTTTCCAGCAAGTAGAATTCGCGCTTTCGAGCTTCAATGAGCGAGGACCGGTGTGTCATGTGCCCGGATCTGGACTTGGTCGACCAACTTTAAAGCTGGAGGCGAATCCGGTCTTGTCGTACAAAGAGGGGGAGCTGCGTGTCTGTGCTTGGGTACGTCTTGTAGCTGATCTCATGACCTGGTAACATTTATGTCGGTTCCATTTGCGTGCTGGAACATTTACATCTCGTAGAAGCGTAGGATCTTGTATCTGTCGACACGATTGTCATTCCTATAGGATCACATCGTAAGGGAAGGTAGATAGGATGTCGCTGCAGACGTTGCTTGTTCCTTCGGTACAGAGGATTATTCGTATCAGTCCGCCGCCTCATGTTCTATCTGAGTCTTATACGACTACTCGAACAGATCACTTTGTTACTCTCCCAGACGAGCTCCTTTTATTGATATTTTCCCTTCTTGAAGCAGAGCAGACTCCTCATGAGATCAAACTCGCACAATGGAGTCCTTTAGCCAGGGTCTGCCGACGGTGGCGCGATGTGGCAGAAACCCTCCTCTACCGGACGCTCCTGTTGAAAGACCGCAATCCTCGGATTGTTAAATGGTGGGCGACTGATAAACAGAGACTGTCGAAGCTGCTGTCGACGTTGCAAAAGAGACCCCATCTTTGCTATTATACCCGATCTTTGCAGGTCACCGTCGACGATGATGCGTACTCCGACGATATCCTTCACATCATGGATCTTCTGCCTTGCGTTCGGCAAGTAACCATGCAGTTGGACCTTGTTAAAAGTTCATACCTCCCTCTTCCACAAAGCGTCGAAAGGATGAAGCTCGAAGAACTCGAGTTCGTCGGATACGGCGCTGCTCCTTCCTTGAACCTGCTGTTCACCATCATGAGTCAGATGCCAACCTTGAGGAGATTGTTCACCTACCGTTGGGGTTGGTGCCGGGATGGCAGTATATATACGAGCTTTGCACACGACGACAGTGCTTCTATAACAACAGAAGAACTATCACAACTTCTTCCAGTTAACAAGCAAGGAAAATCCCCAGTGACAAGCCTGGAACTGCATGATCCCAAGACATCGATTGAAGTAACGGAATGTTTCCTTCGATGGCCCGCTCGACTGCAGGAGATCAGTCTCTTGTCACTCTGCTACGGACCATACGAGAGTCACTATGACGCCCGTAGCATCCAGCGACTGCTTTCGATTCACAAGGACTGGCTGCAAAAGATCACCCTTGGCCCTATTCCGCCCCAAGGGGAGGATATTCCCGACCTTTCTGACTTTCCTCGGCTTACCGATATACATGTAACTCTCTACAATTCTTCGTCCAATGAGCGTGAGACGCCGTATGTCATCTACAAGAAGCTTGCAGCACCCAATCTCCGACAACTCGAAATCGATCTCGGTAATGAACGTCAGCCGCATGACCAATGGGTTGCCGAGTTCCTTGCTCTTGTGCGACTTGGACGGAAGGGATGTCCTCCGCAAACATATCTCCAATGGGTGGATGTCAAGTTCTGCCGATGGGGTGACTTGGCCTTGGGGCTCGCGCGGAGGAGCAGTATCAACTGCGAGAGTGTGCGATATCACATCGACGCCCTGTGACCACGAAGAATATCCTTCCCAGTGTCTTTATAAACCTGCAGAAGTTTTTACACCAATGAAGAAGTCGAACAAGGCAGATCGGATATTTACCGGATATTGCACCCTATCAGCTGCGCCTCAGAGCCTCAGGGCAAGGATCCTCACGGAGATGCCAAGCAGCGATATAATTTCGATGCAGGTCACTTAGAAGTGGACTGGACTCGAGACGTTCTCCCCGGATATCGTGAAGTTTCAGAAGAATTCCGTGCCGATCTTTGCGGGATATGTCTTGCATAACGGGCAACATAAGAGACCTCATTTGGCTCCATGTCCGCTCCCTGTAGATGTTGGATGGTACACCAACACAATGTCCTTCATGTACCATGTCGATCACTCTACCAGTCTGGCATAAAAGGCACGAGAAATCATCCCTCACCAGCTCCATGTTCAGCAAGCTCACAATAGAGGAGTCTGAAGAAGGCATATCCTTTGAACAATGAAGGCTTTCACCATCCTTACAGCGTCGGTCCTGACGACCTGCGTCGCGGGACACGGATATCTCTATATCCCCAATAGCCGCACCAGACTAGGAAACGAGGTATGCCACCACTCCACCTTGTCCCTACCCCAGCTAACAAGCCAGGCCGGTGTGGACTCCTGTCCCGAATGCGCCATTCTCGAACCCGTCTCGTCCTGGCCTAACCTCGACTCCGCCCCCGTCAGTCGCAGCGGACCCTGCGGCTACAACGCCCGCGACAGCATCGACTACAACCAGCCGACCAGCAACTGGGGCACCAAACCAGTCGCCTCCTACACCGCCGGCCAAGAGATCGAAGTGCAGTGGTGCGTCGACCACAACGGCGACCACGGCGGCATGTTCAGCTATCGCATCTGCCAGGACCAGAGCATTGTCGACAAACTGCTGGACGCGTCGTACCTGCCGACTCAGGCGGAGAAGCAAGCCGCGGAGGACTGCTTCGAAGCCGGCCTCTTGCCTTGCACGGATGTCAATGGGCAGGAGTGTGGGTACAGTGCGGACTGTGTGGAGGGTCAGGCCTGCTGGCGCAATGACTGGTTTACCTGCAATGGGTTCCAGGCGTCCGAGAGGCCAAAATGTCAGGGGGTGGATAATGCGCCGTTAAACTCGTGCTATACCTCCATTGCGGGTGGGTATACCGTGACCAAGAAAGTGAAGATTCCGGACTATGTGTCCAATCATACTTTGTTGTCGTTCAAGTGGAATTCGTTCCAGACGGGCCAGATCTATCTCTCTTGTGCGGATATTTCTATTTCTTAAATATCCAGTTGTGGATAGACATCAACCGCTCATGGGGATTTATTCGTACATAGTTCATTTCCTGCACGCCTGTTGAATACCTTACGTACGCAGTTTTATCCCTGTATTTTTGGGATCCCAGGTGTGCCAATTTTGGACATTAGGGAATCAAATGCAAGAACTGGTGCCAGCACAGGTCCTAAAAAGTCTGATCGTACGACGATGGGCTGGCTTGACTGAAGCTGCTTCTACGCGAAAATGACAAGAATATCAGGTGTAAGAGAAGGAGGTTCGATAGTAGGGATCTCTCAAGACAGAAACTTGGCTCATATGAGTGATGTTGAAACGAGCGAAAACTCGCCTCGTGTCACTTTTGCGTTACTGGCAAAATAGGTGATAGACAGCTGCCTACACATAAATAGACCCAACTCTCACCAGACCCCAATTGTGATCCACACCAGACTCAATGTCGGGTATAGGCCCCATGGGAACGATACCTTTTGGATTGATGTCGGCCTGGTTCTTAGGATCTGTGCAAGTCAGCTGATGAAGAATAATGTAACTCCTCAAACTGTACGTACAGCTTTCCTTGATATGCTTGAAATTAGTCGATTCCCTGAATCCTTCCACGTTATAGTACAGATGCTTCAACCAGTTGTTGATGGTCGGATAATTATGCCGGATCGTCCCCAAATTGCACTTGCAGTGCTGGACGTAGATGGGATCAAACCGGATGATGGTCGTGTACGCTCTCAAATCGACCTCGCTGATATGCTTACCTAGAATGAACGGACCACCATTGTCGTGGATGAGTTGCTCGAGTCGATTGAGCGCTCGAAAGACTGCTGGAACCGCCTTGTCGTAGTCTGCTTGAGTGGCCGCGCCTCCGGCCTTGTAAACGCCAGCGTTGAGATCTGGTTGCATCCAGGCGGTGATCTCGTCAATTTGCGATCGCAGGGCTTCGGGGTATAGATGTACCCTTTTGTGAACTACCGGCAGAATGGGGTCGAATGCATTGGGTAGCCATCGGAGCATCTCGGCGGAGTCGTTGCTCACGATTGTTTCCGTCTCCTTGTCCCAGAGTACAGGGACGGAGTAGGGTCCTTTGTAGTCCTTATCGGCTCTGAGGTAGATCTCGCGCAGAAATTCGCTACCATAGAGATGGTCGACTGTTGCTCCGGGATATTCATCGTTGGTCTTTGGGAATCGTAATCCCTCCCCCTTGATGTTGGGGTATGGCCTGACCACGGATAGAGAGATAATGTCGGTCAAGACACTGACATGACGCACTAGGTTGGCCCGGTGAGCAAAGGGGCAGAAGAGACCTGTCGCCTCATTAGTCAAACTTCTTGATTGAAATGGGCGGCAGACCAATGTAGAGATGGTAGCGTCCTGCGACGGGAGGAAAAGGGCCTTTGTTAGAGATAACCCCGTGCCAACCATCATTGGTTCCTGGTTTATGGGCCATCTTACTGACTATCAACTACTTGATACTTTCTTGTGTGTTGTTCTGAAGATTGAAAGTCCAGGAAAGCGAAAGGGACAGATTGTCCAGCACTGAGGTAACACAACCATTGCTGACGTCAGGCGGAGGAGCAGAAGTTCCCCGCATGTATTTCATCATGCCGTTGGGTACAGTTGGAGATGTCTATTTACTATTAATCGGAGGAGTAGGATGGCTTCAATTTTATCAAAGGATTGATCAGGCCAGATTTTAGTGTCATCGTTGCTCACGTAGATCAGATTCTCGAGTAACTGCGTAGCTGGCTACCTCCGGCAACTGAGGATCAGTTATGCCAAGTATTGAACAATACCGCTGTGCAGACAGAGACATAAGAAAGGAGAGTCGACAGCAATCCAGCAATTCACGAGTCGATTTCCGAACAGGACGAGCAACCCATGGACCTTCCTCAACCACCGAGAGACCGCTTCCCCCGACCCTTCGTCTGATCCTCGTGGCCCGACAGCTGACTGGGAATTAGTCGTCTTCGTCTTCGTCTTCGTCTTCGTCTTCGTCATTGTCATTTTCATCGCTCTCATCATTTTTATCATCCGCTGCAACCAATGCATCAAATGCCTCGCAATCGTTGCATAGGCATTTCTTCGCCCAGGGGTTGACCCATTCGTCATCGTTCTTGGCCTCGACAGTATCGCTGACCTCTTGGATCTCGCGTTTCGACAAGTTGCGAAACTCAGAGATGATGTGGGAGTTGGCAACATTATATATTGTCCACAGATCCATCATGACCTCAAAGTCGACTTTCTTTCCCTGACCCCGAGGGCCCGTGTACACACTCAGATAGCATCCCTCGCGACCGCCGTCCAGCACGGATGCCCTGAACCTGTCTAGTTCGGCGAGTGTGTTGTACGGGTGATGCCAGTCATCAGCCATTTTAAGACGATCGTCCATCAACTTGATCCAGTAGCCCCAATCTTCGCTCCAGCCATATTCGATTCTAATGTGCTGGTCGGCTCGATCATCCAATTCGTACCACCACTCTTCCTTCCATCTTGTGTTTATCAGAGATAGCTCATGACTTGTAGACGGGTGATGGTAAACTTACTTCTTTGAAGTCATGATGAACCTTGCGTGTTTGCAGTGGATGTCAAGACTGTGGATGAGTAGAGAAAGAAGAAAGGGGAAGATGAGTGGGAATTTATATTCAGGTAGAATCCCATGCATTCACACGTAGCATGAAGAATTTGCACATAAGAGAAGATTCCGGGCTCTGGTATAGAGTGACCGCGGGTCTGTCCATAGTGACCGGCCAGTAGAACGTCACAGTCTCCTTGTTAGTCTCTCAAGAAGCGGAGACTCACACAGTGCAGTGTGAATATAATGTTAAAGAAAAGACTCCAACAACTGTCTTCGCAGAGATCGTGGAATCACTTGAGAGAAAGGCACAGACAGAGAATATGTGTCATATTTGGACGCGTCCTCGAGCTAGGAGATGGGCGGCTTTCTCCAACATGCACCTTCAAATGTCCGAGAAGAGAGATAATACGACACTCCGTCAAAGGTTGATGTTCCAGTGAATCTTCGCGGAACCGGTTCCAGTTTCAGACATTGTGGGCGCCGTATAGAGACTCGTGCCGCAGGTTCTATATGGCTGCAATAGACATGGCACCCTGTCGAGCGATGCTATAGCTATCGAGACTTCACTTCTGGGAGTTATTGAGAGCTTGGATGCGAGACAGCAAAGCCGTCATATGAGAACTTCGTCAGATCGACTTCTTGTCAGCTGTCCGACTCGTCAATATTTTCACTGAAAGATCTTCCGGCATGTGTTTGTCCTTTTGAGGGATGAGGATCATAGAGGTGCGTAGAAACAAGGCCGGGATGAATTTCTGTTTATGGTTATTGTCCCACTCCCGGATCGGATGTGGCGCTCATTGGCTAACAACACTCTCTTGCTCACCCAAAGGGGTAGATGCACCCACCGGAACACTGTCCTCCAACTATATAACCACCCGCCAGCATATCGAAATCAGCCGACCACTGAGCTCCAATTCATTGAAGATTTCATCGTCCTGCGCGTCAAAATGACCTCCAACACTATTACTGTTTCCCTTCCTCAACTGGCAAAAATGATCGACCACTCTCTCCTCCATCCTACAATGACCGATGCCGATATCCTCGCGGGGCTCAAAATTGCCCGAGAGCACAAAGTGGCTACTGCCTGTGTTAAACCCTACTGCATTCCTCTTGCCGTCAAAGAATTGGCCGGGACAGATGTCCTAGTCTGCCCCGTTATCGGATTCCCGCATGGGAACAGCACCACCGAGATTAAGGTGGCCGAAGCAATCGCGGCGGTCAAAGCAGGGGGCGCCGAGATTGATATGGTTGTCAATGTTGGTAAAGTCCTTGGCGGCGATTGGGAGTATGTGACCGAGGAGATTCGGCGGATCAACGATGCCGTCAAGGCTGAAGGCGCTCTGCTAAAGGTCATTTTCGAGAATGATTATTTGAAAGACGACCATATTGCTCGGCTTTGTGAGATCTGCACAAATCTGGATGTTGCATTTGTCAAGACTTCGACCGGATACGGATTCGTGAAGCAGGCGGACGGGTCGTATAACTACAAGGGCGCGACGGTGAGGCATCTCAGGCTGATGCGGGAGAAGGCTGGTGAGAAGGTGCAGATCAAGGCTGCTGGCGGCGTCAGGACCTTGGACGACTTGCTGCATGTAATGAGCCTGGGTGTCACTCGGATTGGCGCCACAGCTACCGTGGCTATTTTGGAGGAGGCGAGGAAGCGCGGCATCGGGAATGAGCCTGTTGAAGTATCTTTCAAGCCGATGAAGGGGGCTGGGGAAACCGGCGGATACTAGTAACGATCCTGTATTTTATTGAAGCTCCTTGATCCCGTATGCAGCTAAGATTCCGCGCGCATTGGCTCATCACAATCATGACATAACTACCGGACCCTGGGAGAAATGCATTTGTATTTGACCCCTAAACATCAAATCCAGTATCTTGGTGTACCAGGAGTAGAGTTTGACAAGTCCGAAAGAGCACCAAACCGTCAGTGACATTGAGATACTTTCAATCATATCGTGGTAGGGTATCCGGCCCCCAAATCCACGTTTGTTCCAGCATTGAAGATCCTTCGTCATCTAGTGTCCGGACGTGCGACGTGTCAGTGACCAATAGGTCAGGATCAGCCCAAGAGCTGTTAAGATATGTTGAGAGCACTGGACCCGTTCAGTTTGTGACAGTACGAATCGAATATCTGCTTGACTCACCCTGGTCGAAGTCATGGAGCGCCTCCGACACAGAAGCGTCCTCCATATACTGAAAATGCGCGAAGTTGCCGACACTGTTACGTTCTGGCGTTGCTTCCCGGGTCTCTGTTTCTTGGGTGTCTCGAGAATCTGACATGGTTAATTGTCGGTCCGTCGGCATGACGGCCTCAGCAGCATCGTGAGGCAACGTCCTCGTACGCTGGCCGCTTGAAGATGGCTCTGGAAAAAGGGTACCTGTTTGGAGGGCACTGACATCGCCATCTACGCCACTGTGTTGCTCTGGCCATCGTATAGGCTTCGAAACATCGAGCATCATGCTCAGCTCTTTGTCCAGTACGAGTTTCGTCAGCCGCTGAAGAATATCCAGGCCCTGCGTGGCTAGTAGGGATCGAGTTTTTAATTTCGCTTGAATGGACATGAGTCGATGCAGCCCAACTTTGGCTTCTTGAGCCTGCGGTGTAAGCGGCTCAATACTGCCTAGAATCCCAAGAGCAACTCCCGCGGTGAACGTATGAATGCTAACAAAGGCAGCGGCATAGGTTTCAGAGACAAGCTCGAGAATCGGGCTGTTCGCGAGTTCCGATAGGCTCATACCTGCATCATGGCAGGCTTTCATCGATCTTAAAAAAGGATTTTCTTGAATGTCAAAATGAGACGTATCATCCAGCTTGTCGTCAGCTTTGGTCACGAGCTTGTACGACAGAAGCGGCCTGTGAACTAGAATCATGGTGTTTTCATAGGCAAGCTCAAGTGCTAACGCCTGAAGGTGATAGATATGATTGTCGAATCGAACCCCCGATGCGCCGATGTCTCGATCAAATTCTTCCAGTGATGAATAGCTCACGCTGGTAGAAGCAACCGTCTCCCACCGTAGTTTGGGAGGGATTTCAGCTCGCCAGTCCCGAATCCTTGCATCCAGCTTCGCTACCCTCATAACGACCGCGCGTAACCTCGAGCCAGACTCACCAGGAGCCCTGTTGTTGTTCACTAAACCGGGTCCAACCCCATAGAGCTCGCTGAGGACCGACTTTGTAAGCACCGATAATTTGGACATGTAATACTTGTAGGACAAAAGCGTGGTCTCGCATCTCAGCGGTTCATCAAATGATACAGGTGATGGAGCATTCCGCAGCTTTGCCGACGGATTCAATGGCTCAACATCACAGTCTGCATCTCCAATGCTGTGAGGGTAACCGTAAGACATCGAGCAGAACGTCTCTATCTCGTAGATCGCCCACCAGCAACGCTTCCTCGTTTCGTTCTGGTTACGCTCAACGGGAGTTAATGGCAAAGTGGCATGTTCTTTCTTGCGATGCAGGTTGAGCGACTGGGCAACCCGAAGGCCACAGCCGCAGACCGGCCATGCTAGCCGAGGAGCACCGTGGAAGAGATAGTATGTTCCTAATAGGACGCACGTTTGAACCACTTCCAACGACCCAACCGAGATAATATCCAGCAAACTGGATTTGATGGCTTTAAGAATGCGTTTCTTGAGCGTCTCAGGTTCGACCTCGTAGCGAGCTAGGAGACGTTGCCGATAGGGCCCAGCATAGTGCGCTCCAATAGCAAGGACCATCAAAAAAGTGCTGAGAAATCCTAGATCGTTGCAAACTTCGCTGGCGCCATCTAATTGTGTTCTATACAGGAGTGGCCAGTTCTGACGAAAGTCATTCTGTTGAAAGATGAGCATAAACCAGTGGACTCGGTCGAAATAGGTATCGACGAGTAGCTCAGAAGCTTCATAAAGCGGCAACAGTGACCTGAGCTCCGTCAGAGCTGGTGGCGAGGACATGGGACGTAGTGTCCGCCTTCTTGTCCGTGTACCGTAAAGTGGACGGGCACCTGGCTCAACGGCTTCCTTATGCCTGGTTTCGGGATTTTCACCGACAATGTCCTGCATGGCGCCTCCAGGAATGGCGTCCATTATCGGATCACGGGGAGTTGCGACATTGTGTAATTGAAATGCCTGTTTCTTTTTATCAGCAACCTCAGTTGTTTGATATGAACAGGGTCTCTCACGCCATTAACTAAAGCCAGGGTCGAGCTTGAGTTCCATATCGGATGGCTAGCCTTCTTAAGACGCTCATCCGTAGAAGAACCAGCATCTGTTGGTTCATCTGGAGCAAGATCTGTTCCTGTATGGCAAATCTGGGCTTGTTCTGAAGAGTTTCCACTCGCATCAGGAAGCGCTCTCCGCGGTCGTTTAGAATGTGGTTCGCCGCTAGACAGCTGGCGATGTTGGTAGACTCTCCACCGGCTGGTCGTGGCTGGGAGACAATCAGCCCCGGCTCTGGAGCACAGTGTGCAAGGACGGTTCACATCACACTAGAGAATACGCCTTAGTTCAATTTTGACGACAGAGGAGGCATAATGACCTTCAATTTCTGGCGGCGACATCTTTGGCACGCGGTCGGCACCTTTCTTGGAGTCCTCACGGAGACCATTGAGACTTCATTCTCCATTTCATCCAGTCATCAGAAAAATAGGTGGATCAAGTATGGAGCTGTCATATTTCAGTTCTCTTGTGTAACAGGACCATAACACGCACTCGGGGAGGATGGATGGATGGAGAGAGCCAAGTTCCCTGTGGGGGATAAACGTCGATGTTCACGCTTATCGGGTTTGGTGCCTGAGGTGTCAGTCGGTCTATGTCCCATCCCCAGTCTAACGCTTCAATTTGCTGAAACTGGACCAACTTTCTATGAATGGTTGTATGAATTCAGTGATTTCATCCTCTGATATAGTAATTAATTTCTGTTAATATGCAGCCACCTAAATTAGGAATGTGGTTGCAGGTGCACCACGAGAACTTCTTGTTCGCTTATCCATCACTAAGGATATATTATCGCGGATGCTTGAATGACATTGAAATCAGTTCCAGGTATGAAAAGTAGCTTTTTTTCAGGGCAGATCTAGATAGTCATCCAATCTAATAACTCCTCGGTAATTGTAACACCTTTTCACTCACATAATTCAATATCATCTCCCGACTCACCGGGGCAATCCGAGGGACCAGACATTCCCTCAGATACCGCTCAACATCATACTCCATCGCATAACCCATTCCTCCATGCGTCAGAACAGCTCTTTCACACGCCGTGAATGCTGCCTCAGCAGCAATATACTTGGCGCTGTTACAAGCCACTCCGACCGAATGGAAGGGAATCGAGCTATCCGTCCGCGAGGCATCATACAACCGCGCAGCATGGTAAGTCGCCAACTTGGCCGCTTCTAGCTTCATATAGGCATCTGCCAGCGGATGCGCGATACCCTGATTCTGTCCGATGGGACGTCCGAATACAACGCGATCGTTCGCGTACTCCGTCGCGCGCTCGAGCGCTGCATAGCCCAGACCTAACGCTTCACCGGCCAGCAAACAGCGTTCCGCGTTCATCCCGTGGAGGATGATCTTGAACCCTTCATTTTCTTCTCCTACCAGCGTTTTTGCGGGGATCTGGTAATGGTCGAAGAAGACCTCGTTGGCGTCGACAGCGCGACCGCCCATTTTCTTGATCTTGCGCATGTCCAAACCAGGTTTGTCGCGGTCAAGGTCAATGCAGAACATTGATAAACCGTGTGTAGATCGCTTTATTTCTTCGACGGGGGTCGTACGCGCGAGCAGGATCATCTTGGACGCGACTTGTGCACAGGTAATCCAGATCTTTTGCCCGGTGACCGAGTAGTAATCACCTGAAGCGTTTTTGGTGGCGGTGGTTTTGAGCTTCAAGGTCTCTAGGCCTGTGTTAGGCTCTGTGACGCCGAAGCAGGTCCGCCATGTCCCATTGATGATTTTGGGAATCGTCTCCTCGAGCTGCTCCTTGGTGCCGAATTTGGCCAGCGGTTGTGTGGCATACACGTTGGCATGGATGGCCTGCGCACCGGCCATTCCTGCACCAGATTGAGTAATGGTCTGCATCATCATTGTAGCTTCTGAGATTCCTGTTCAGTGTCAGTATCGCGGTATATGACTAGGTTGAAACATGGATATACTGACCCAGTCCAGCACCTCCCAATCGCTCCGGCAAAGCAATTCCTAACCATCCATCCTTGGCTAGCGCGGCATGGAACTCTTTGGGATCGCGCTCATTCTGATCACATTCCTGCCAGTAGGTGTTGGGAAATTTAGAAGTGATCGCTGAGATGGCGTCGCGGACAGTGAGTTGTTCTTCAGTGAAGCCCGTCAGTTCCATCAGTGGCTGACGCGCCGAGGTTGAGAAACGCGATCGGATGAGCGGCCATTGCAGTCGGACAGCTAGTGTCCTATGATGAACTGCTCTCCTGACCCTATGCGACATTTTTGATCATTGACATATAAGTTTTTGTTCTTCGAGCAGAGAAATGGCATATAAAGCATGCGAGAAAATCAGGCCGTTTAACCGTCATAGCCGTTATCCGGCATGTAACCGCGAACCCCGCACATCCCTGATGTCGATCATTTGGAGACTTGGAGTTCGGTTATCATCTAGATTTCCTTACGTGGAGTAATAAATAGATCCATGCCTCTAAAAATGAATATTGCAGGAAATTTGACGCATAATGGCTCTTGTTCGACCCTCTGTCCGGGCTCTGCCGCGACAATTGCTGATCATCCACCGCAACTCGTCAACAAGCACCTCCGTGACCCAGAACAACGTCAAACGACAACAAAAGAAAGGCCCCTTGTCCGGCATTACAGTAGTCAGTCTTGAGCAGGCCATTGCAGCACCATTTTGTACCCGCCAACTGGCTGATCTCGGCGCTCGCGTCATCAAAATCGAACGCCCCGAGGTAGGCGACTTTGCCCGAAACTATGACACCCGCGTCAACGGCCTCTCTTCACACTTTGTCTGGACCAACCGATCCAAGGAAAGTTTGGCGCTCGATGTCAAGAATGCCCGCGACCATCGCATACTCATGCGACTGCTCTCCCGCGCAGATGTCTTAGTCCAGAACCTCGCCCCAGGAGCAAGCGCCCGACTAGGCCTGTCATTCGCAGACTTATCCGAAAAGCATCCATCTCTGATCGTCTGCAACATCTCTGGCTACGGGCCGGACGGACCTTACCGCGACAAGAAAGCATACGATCTCCTCATTCAAAGCGAAGCGGGTCTCCTCTCCGTCACGGGGACCGCCACCGAGCCAGCAAAAGTTGGTATCTCGATTGCGGACATCTGCGCGGGCAGCTACGCATACTCAAATATCCTTGCTGCCTTGTTCGAGCGGGAAAGAGACCCCGAGCGCCGTGGACGCAATATTGACATCTCCATGCTGGAGAGTATGGTCGAGTGGATGGGATTTCCCATGTACTACACCTACGGGGACCAGCCGGGCCCAACACCTGCAGGTGCGTCGCATGCGGCGATCTATCCGTATGGGCTATTTGAAACAGGCAAGGGGACGGTCATGCTGGGGATTCAGAATGAGCGGGAGTGGGCTAAGTTTTGCGAGATGGTGCTGGAGAAGCCGGAGATGACGACGGATGAGCGCTTCTGTAATAATTCCTTGCGGGTGAAGAATCGCGATGCATTGAGGGAAACGATTTGTAAAGTATTTGCAGCTTACTCTGCTGAGGGGGTATTACGGCGCCTGGATGAGGCGGGTATTGCGAATGCCATTGTGAACGATATGCAAGGCGTATGGAACCATCCGCAATTGAGAGCCAGGCAGCGCTGGACGCAGATACAGACGTCTGCAGGGGCTGTGCCAGCGCTGTTTCCTCCAGGAATGGGGCCCGATGGGTTTGAAGCTCAAATGGGTGCAGTGCCGGAGATTGGACAGCATAACGAGGCCATATTGGCTGAATTGGGGATGGATACAGACATAGGATAAAGGGCTTTGATAGGTAGCATCTTATGGAGCATGTGTTGGGGATTCCGTACAACTATTCTTCTGCCTCTCGTTGTCCATCGATATGACCACAAACGTGCTGCCTGAGAGTATTCCGCTTCTTATTGGGCGCTTCGAAAAGCAGATGCGACAGGGATTCTCGGTATCGTTTAGTAGTCGCCAACCATCACCAAACTATTCAAGGTTGATATGGAGAAGCCGACAAGTCAGACAAACTGGGTGAAAGTCCATCTCATGGATTAATATAAATCATGATGTACATTTCATCCTTTGTCACCTTGTTCCAGCAAGTAGAGCAACCCAGCAGATCTTCTAAATCAAATTTGTCTTACCATGAGAATCCTGTTCCTGCTTGTCTCTTCCATCATAGTTGGAATCCTCGGATCGAAATATCGCAGAAATCGCAGAGAAAACCAGGCAAAGGAAGGCAATCATTATACCACTTACGATTATTCTACTTCCTCTGTCCCGGCACAGCCTCCCCCATACAAAGCATGAGTGCATTTTCCGTCGCTCAACTCGCCATCTACTCGGTTCTCGTATGTCCAGCGTTGTATCTGACGCTGTGTCATCGTCGGAGAGGGGTGTTAGGCTGGGGCTATCTGATGGCGTTTTGTATACTGCGGATTACCGGCGGTGCCCTCTCGATTCACAGTAGCGGCTCCGGGGCAAAGATTATTTCAAGCGTTGGGATCTCGCCCATGCTGCTTGCTTTAGATGGAATACTGCATGAAGCGTGCGCTATTATCTTAGGAGAACAACATGACATTACTGACTTATCTGAGCAGAAGGCTGTACCGCAATCGAAACTTGAACAAACGTTTAGAATACGCATTTATAGCCTTCGTCCATGTGGTCGTTGCCACCGGAGTTGCCATGGTTGGCACAGGAGCCGGCGGCCTGGCTGGGAAGAATCCAAAAGCGAGCGATCAGACCAATCTCGACATTGGAATGGCGTTGCTCGAGGCCTGTTGGGCAATATTGACCGTCTGGGCTCTGTGGACATTGCAGGATTGCAGTGAGAAGACGATTCCAGGGGTGATGGAAGGCAACATGGTACACTTTACCCTAACACAAGAGAATTCTGCAAGTCAGTGTGCCATCATCAGTGCTAATGCCGTGAATGCCAGCTCCTCCGCGGCGTGCTCTTAGCGACGGCGTTTGTCGGTATACGGGCTACGTACGGACTGATCGCGGAGTCAACCCAGAAACGAAACCTGAATCCGGTGACTGGCTCCCTAGCCATTCGTACTATCCTTGGTCTTCTACCGGAGCTCATTTCAACTTTGATCTTGATGTTCGTTGGCTTTCGTACACGACATATCGGTGGATATAACCGCCGAATGGTGCAGACAGGCGAGACATAAACGGAGGCATGCTGGATTGGATGGAGGAAGAGAGACGAGAAGGGGTCGGGTAACACGTTCAGTGATGTAGGATGTGGCCTCTCTGAGTGAAAGAAAGGCTCTTCTTTGCTTTGTTCATGCTTACTGGGTTGATTTTGTTGAGTCCTGCTCGGCACGTAATACGGAAAGATCGCTTTCAACCCGGGATTGAACCGATTATACCCATCCACGACACTGAGGAGAAAGTCTTTACTAATTTGACTTATATTTTCCTGAATCCGTAGAAATAAAAGGTGCGAGATGCAACCGAGGAAATGGGAGGTATCTCTTAAGAGTACCTAAATGATGCAACAGGCAAGAGCCCAATCAGGGAAATAGTACTGCCTGCAAGCTGAGGTGGGGGTTGACGCCTCAATTCGCGCCGCTCGCTTTCTTTTCTCTCCCCTTCCACTGGATCAGTCCTGTTCCTCCCTGGATCATCTGGATATTAAATCGGTCCATGAGCCTTGATTGTACACAATGTACCTAAGAATCCCAGCAGATTTACCCTTGCACAGTGCTTCAGGTACCTTAGAGCAGGGGGGATCGGCTATGACCCAAACACTTAGAGAAGCAACAACGACTGATGGCTCTCAAGATCAAGAAAATCCAGCCAGTCATGTATACAAGAAGAGCGGCCCGCGACTGGCCCACCGAAAATCCCGAAACGGATGCCAGCGATGCCGCGCTCGTAGGGTAAAGGTTAGTATGTTGGAAACGTGATATTTTTCTCTGCCGGTCGGACTGATACCACGCCAGTGTGATGAAGCGCATCCAGTATGCCGAGACTGTCATAGACATGGGGTGGCCTGCCTCTATGACAGGTCAGAAGGCCAACGTCCTACCGCTCAAACTGAACCGCAACGCAGCTCCGCACCTTCTCCTTCTTCCCATCCCTCGCAGATAGCATTGGCTGGCAATCATGAAGCTGCTACAGCGGCTGCAACCACAGAATTATGCAGTCCCCCACGGTGGGAAGGTGGATATCATGCGTACACGGAGCTGCGTCTCCTGCATCATTTCACCATAGGAACTAGCCTCACCTTGCCTGGAGCCCATCTCCAGAGCATTAAAGACTGCTGGTCAATTGAGGTTCCCAAACTAGCCTTTGTCTACAAACCACTGCTGTATGCCATTTTTGCAATCTCTGCCCTGCATCTTTACAGGAGCAAGTCAAACGAGACGGCCTTGATCGGAGTTCGAGCAGTCTATCTAGAGCGGGCTTTGCGAGACCACAGAGTGTGCGTGGGAAATATAGATACAATGATTGCCGACGCAGCGTGCTTTACATGCATTCTCTTACTTATCGACGCGTTTACGTCTTTGCAGGATCGTCCTCTTGACCCATACAGACCGCCGATGGAATGGATGCAATTGGTCAGAGGCTCGGTATCGGTATTCGATGCTGCGCTCAGCGCCATTCAAGGGAGCGAAACAGCTAGAATCTTTTCTATCATTCATTCGGCGCCTTCATTAACGGACCCGAGCTTTACCGTTGGCACATGCGGTTGCGGCCATTTCTCCTATTTGCTGCCATCCGAAGACTTTGGTGCGGGGGACGGCAAACAATTACGGCCCCCGAAACTGGAGGTATACAGGTCGACAGTGGCTTACATCAACTCCATTTGGCTCGCTATAGAAGCACGGGAGCATCCGGCAATGATATGTCGACGTCTCATGGTGTTTCCCTTGGTTGTTTCCCAAGAATTCCTTCAGTTACTCCAGGAGATGGAGGGCCGTGCTCTGGTAATTCTAGCTCATTACTTTGCGCTTTCGGCTACATTGACCGATATCTGGTGGATCGGTCACACTGCACATAGGGAAGTTCTCGCCATTGAGAAAATGGTCAATGGGCAATGGGTAACCTCAATGTCATGGCCTCTCACGACAGTTGCTTCGCATTGCAGAATATGTACAAAAAGCTAATCATGGACCCGTTCGATCACCTCTGTAGTGCCCCCTTCAATAACTGCACTTTCGATTACGGGCATATTCTAAGGCACTAACGGCCGGCTCTGCTTGATGTTCTCACTCGCCCATCGTATATACGCGGCAAATGTTCCTAGCTTGATCAGCATCATCGCTTTCTGGCTTGTCCCAAATCTCAGCCAAGTACTCGCGACCCGCTGTGACAAGGCCGTGGGAAGCTTTCATGGCTAAGAACATGTCGAAGATGCCATTGACAAACTCCTCTGGCTCCTGGAATCTCAGTTCTAGACCTGTCGTGGATCAAATATGGCTTGATCCATAATCAATCTAACCCATGCAGATTATGGGTCGATCCAGCATTTATCTAACTCACCCTCATATCCATGCTTGTTGAATTGTGGATAGCCTTACAGAAGGTGCAGAGGTCATGAGATCGGGAAAGCTGGCTTTTAGCGTTTTCCTGGTGTCTGAAGGATAGTACCGCTCGAGCGTGACGGCATTCGGATCCTCCTGTTGTACAGATGCAAGGTAATACAGGTGAAAGAAGTCATGTGGCAGAATACAGTCCCAATGTCAATGTCCCAAAGATGCTAGCAAGTCAGAAAGATGTTTCAGGAAGAAGACCAATTCAGCACAGCAGGCATCTCTCCTGCCAACAGACATCACTGCGGCAAAGTGAATAGTACGGCCTGTTTAATATCACGGGCGACCATACGCATATTGTGGAGACATCACCATCGCAAACGGACTCGGTCTATCGGTAGAATTTGGAGTTCTTGTATGGTTTTCTTTGATGATAAACCAGTTGCACGTCAGAGTATGACAGGATTTGCCTTCGATATTTCGCGGAGCAGCTCTGGTGGGCGTAGTAGAAGAGCTGTGGGGCTAATGCGAAACAAATGCCCCGGCAAGCGGGGAAGCCATTCCTTGAAGCAGTTTGTGTTTCATGGAACAAGAAGCAGGCAGAGTTGATGATCATCTATCTTGATCTGGTCCGGTGTTGTGAGTTCGTGAGTTGTATATCAGTGAAACATGATAGGTCAATGCCGAATATCCAAGCTCCAAGTCCATCGACCAACGTCTGTTCGGCAGTGCTCGTATCCTGAGTAGATCATCATGGTCCTGTAGATCCATACCATATCTGAATCAAGCTATGCTCAAGCCCCGGTGATATCGATCGACTCGTACTCTTGGGAATCTGAGATAAACTACTTCTCGAAGGCAGATTAGAATCCACGCAATCATTTTTCTTAGCTCTTACCGCTATTTCCGTGCAACATAATATGCCAACAGTACGACTTCTTCGGCGTATTTGTATCACTAATCCGAATTTCCGAAGCTCGGGAAAGATAGCAGGCGATTGCTAATAGAAATCTCCACTGCGGATTCCCGACGACGGATTATTCCCGAGACGACGGCGTATCCCCGCTACCAAGTCAAGTTTTCCCACAGAGATAAGGGGATATAATACAGGGGATCCAGACAACATGACTCACTTGGACCTCTTACTTTTCTTCATTCTTGCGTTAATTTCAGTCCTTGGTTCTGTCATCACTTAGAGACTAAACCTTCCAGACAATGCCGGCGTCAGATATCAGTGACGCAGAGCTCCCCCCTCGATACAATTTTATCGATGATTACAGCGAGGGGGCTCATCCGCAGATTCTAGAATCTCTATTACGGTCAAACACCGCACAACAATCGTCCTACGGGACAGACGAGTTCAGCAATGAAGCTCGACGGCTGATCCGCGAGAAGCTCCACGCCAGCGAGGATGAAGTTGCCATTCATTTTGTCCCGAGCGGGACATCAGCCAATTTAATCTCAATTGCCAGCTGCTTACGGCCCTACGAAGCCGTCATGGCTGTGGAATCTGGACATATTGTCTCTAAGGAAGCCGGTGCAATTGAAGCCACGGGGCATAAGATGATCCTAGTCCCTGGAGTAAACGGAAAAATGACCCCGGCGAACCTGGAGCGCGTATTCGAGCAGAATCAATTCTTTCCACACATGGCCAAGCCGCGGCTGGTGTATATCTCCAACGCAACCGAGCTAGGAACGATCTACACAAAGGCCGAACTGTCAGCCCTCTCGGCAGTTTGCAAACGTCTCGGGCTGCTCATCCTGGTCGACGGTGCACGGTTGGGAGTAGCGCTGAGCGCAAAGAACAACGACCTGACCCTGCGCGATATGGTCGATCTCACCGATATCTTCTGGATTGGCGGGACCAAGATGGGAGCACTGCTGGGTGAGGCGATTGTAGTCAAGCAGCATCTGGCCGACGGCTTTGTCTTCCATCTCAAACAGCACGGGGCTCTGCTGGCCAAGTCCCGTGTGATGGGTATTCAGTTTGTCGAGCTCTTCCGGACGCATCTGTTCTTCGATCTGGCGACGCATGCCAACAACATGGCAGCGAAGATCTCGGCCAACTTTGAGAAGCTGGGGTATACCCTCGCAGCGCAGACCGAGACCAACCAAGTATTTGCTATCCTACCCGAACGGGTGATTCGCAGACTACAGGATCGGTTTGGGTTCTATATATGGGAGAAGCGCGAGGATGGACATGCGGTGGTTCGGATTGTGACCTCATGGGCAACGGATTCCCTTCAAGTGGACAAATTCAATAGCTGGGTGCAGCAATGGACCGAGCTGGATGTATGATGCATATGATCAACGGCATTTGTGATTTTAGCGATAGACAGCCTTCATAGCATTAATTTTAATGAGCATTCTATTCTCCGAGCTGCTGAGCATTAAGGAGAGCGGAATATATATTGAGACTACTCTGTTGTCATACAACGCAACACTTGGAATATTCTCTAACGTGTCGATCACTATCTGTAGCACACTAGAATGAATCTAGAAAAACATTTCTTTTTCTTGATGTGATGGAAGAACAAAAAAGAAGCTTCCCTTGTCATGCGCTTTACCCGATTTGGAAGGATTGTGGTTATCTCCGCACCGAGAGTGAAATCATCACCTACTGGAAGTCTGGATCCATTCCCGACCACGCAACCATCATTACAAGGGCGCTTCTGAAGATCATCATCATCTCAATTGAGGGACTGAAGATAATGGCAGATCAATGAGTTGATCTTATCAATCCGGCCCTTGAGAATGCGACTTTCAGTGTCCTGCGATAGCTGCCGGTATGTCCCTGATGCTCTGTAGTCCGTTAGGTGATCCTCGGGAATCGGGAATAACCTCCAAACGAGCCAATCCGTTGGCATGGCCTGGACTTACCACTCGGATTGATTCGCTGATAGTCATTGTTGTTCTGTATAGTCAAGCGAAGGTCAAATGCATTCACGAAGGCCAACCACCATGTCGTCGCTGCCAAAGAGCGAAACTGACCGACTGTCAGTTGACGGACACATATTCTTCCCCGTCAAGACGGTCAAAACGAACCACACTGAAATCACAGAGACAGCGAAGGGTGATATCTGAACCGACAACCGCTCTCAATAGCCCACCATTGCCTCCTGAACCGCAACCCGACCGTCCATCGCCATGGTGCGCTGAGAATCCCGTGGAGGCCTTGCCTTCATCCACCATCATTGCGGCGTGTGAGACCTACCGCAAGAAATTCCCCGTCGCCAATTTCCTCCACTATCCGTCTCTGATTGCAGAATTATCGTCAAATCCAGCCTCGGTTGACCCGGTTTTTGTAGCAGCTCTGCTGTCATTATGTGTGAGATTCATGCCCGATCACCGTCTGGAGGCAGCCGAAACATATGCGGAGTATGCTCGCAAGCAGCTGGCGCATCGCGCGTTCGAGGCCCCATCGCTCTATCTTGCGCAGTCTCTGGTGATGATTACCTTTTATGAATGGGGTTCCGGTCGACCCTACAAGGCCTGGATGTACAGTGGTATGTCCGCGCTTCATGTTCCCTATACGAGGCTAATGATGTCAGGAATGGCAACGTACATGATCCAGTCCCTCCTCAAGACCGCCGACGATAGCATGGAGCACAATCCACAAGACTTTCAGGCCAGCCAAACTCAGTACGAGCAGCTGGTCCGCACGTACTGGTGCTGTTTCGCGCAAGACTGCGAGCTGAGTTCCGGAGCGCGCCAGCATTTCGCCCTTTCCTTTCGACAGATTTCAGTTCCGTTGCCGACCAGTGACCGGGACTTCAACTTTGGTCGGCTTTCATCGCATCGCTTGATGCCGTCCGATATGAGCAAACACTCACCGTTGTCGAGGAATCTAACCATTGACTATGGACTGACGATTGTCACCCGAGGGTTCGATATCTTCGTGCGGATTCTTCGGTTCGCGAACGAGAGTCGGCGCGGTCGGACATTGACCCTTCCTCAAGATCCTTCATCGCCGCGCGTGGTCTGGCAGCGGTTGAAGGAGGAGCTGGACGAGTGGAGGTTCCTACAGGATGTGACGGTGCGATACCCGGCCACCAGTGCGCAGGCGCATGTTGCGTTGGGATACGGCGAGTTGTTCGCATACATCAATCTGGTCTATTTCATGAGGTATTTCCCTAACTCTCTTCCGATGCTTGGCCCTTCTAATAACAGCCTAGTATCCTCTTTCTGTTTAGAGACCAGTTCCTGTCCAGTCTCAAACCTCATGTCGACTTGCTCCATAATTTGCAGCCCTTGAGTAATGTAGACGAGTCTCAGGCTATCCGGCAACTCTTCGAAGCAGCGCAAAATATCGGCGGCATCCTTTCCGCCCTCGACGTCTCGGGGGCACCGGTAATCACACCATACTCTGGCTTCAGTGTTTTTGTCGCGGCCCACATCAACATGTACGGGACTGTGTGCCCGCAGCGATATCCTGGGGGAATCGAGCGAGCGGAAGAGGAGAAAAGGGCCAACCTGGCATATCTCGAACGACTGAGCAAATACTGGCCCGTTGGACAGAATTGGGTGAGCGTCGGGCTTCCAATTTGCAGTTGACTACATAGCTGACAGATACAGTGGCGAACCGTCCAGGAAGCCAACAGATTCTACGAGATAGCCCGAAACAATCAAATGCACGTGCGTGACGGGGCAGGCCATCTCACGATCGCGGGGACTTTGGACGAATATGGTGACATTCGAAGTGTACGACCGCGTCAGGAAGAGTCCCAGCATATTTTGGAGCGGGAGAATATGCCAACTGCGCCTAGGAATCGGAATAATCATCAAGCGTTAGGGAGTGATAGTCGTCATCCTGGCACAGCACCGATGGATGCATTGCCCTTGAGTGAATCTCATGAGCTAGAAGTGGAAATGCTCCAGTGGCCGTTTATTGATGAATCCTGGTCATTGGGATTTGACACTGGGTTTGATACTGCATGGCCATCTTTGGGGGTCGGTTCATAGAAAGCATCGAAGGCTTCAAACTTGAAATAAATACCTACTCAACTAGGGCTTGGAGACCATATGCATAATTATCTGAACAGATATCAACATGGACCCTCGTAGTATATGAGTGTATCTACTACTAGGATGGGCACTGATTGGATTATTTGGGGGATCATAGTTGGCTGGTCTTCATTCTCTTGTCCGTAAAGGGAAGCCAAGACCTGTGCAGTCCCCAAGGTACTCACTCCTCGTCAAGTTAAATATAGTTGACTCGCTCCTCTTGCTCTTCTCTTCGACGATAACCTATCCCTGATTCTGAACTGTGCAGTTGAACTAGATGGTTTTGCGTCTGCTTTCTTTCAAGCAGGGCTGACTCTATCTTCCCATCTAAGTCGTTCTCGTCACATCACGATATGTCAGTCATATCTCGGATTTACTCGGAACTGAAATGACAAAGTTTTTTACAACAACAACAACAACAACAACAACATCATCATCATCATTATGGTGGCTGGCTTTGATGAACAGCTTGATTGGCGATATCGTTCACTCTGCTACTGATCACACTAACATTACAGATTGAAGCCGTACACTGCTTCGCATGTCTGGGATCTGACCTTCCCTCGCTCCCAGAGGCACCAGCAGGGTCAACTGATTTTGATCCGACGGTTCCGATCCGAGCTCGGGCGTGCATCCTGACTGAACAACCAACTGTCGTGCTCCTCCGGAATGAGTCACTCCTTTGTGTCGAGAACCGACTTACTATGACTAATCCCGGCGAATAGACGAGGGCATTCCCCACATTTCGCCGATTTAGCCTGCTCATAAGCATTCAGGTATCAATAGTAAGGTCAGCAGACTATGCGCTGCGCCTGGCATGGATAGGGCTCTGAGGCATTTCTGCTGCTTGGTCTTTGTGCGCTCCTATGACATCGCTGGCGAGCTGAGACCCCCCGGCCGAGGTCGAGGTCTGATCCTGGCAGGTCGCCGTTCTAACGTGTCACAATCGACTTTTCCTAGACAGGGGAAACTTGGGCTACGTCCTTTATGAGGGAGCGACTCGCATCTTTTGCAAGCTACTCTGCAGCTTGGGAGCCTCACTTCCAAATTGCTTTGTCTGAAGATCTTCGCTCTGTACATATTTCTTTACACAATCAATATTCTCTGGCTTCATCATGTTTTCTCATCTCAAACGCGAACACCGTCTGATCCTGGTAATCAGCATTTCTGCGTCTTTCTTCCTGGCAGAAATCGCAGGTAAAGTTTGAGGTCTGCATGTCCAGCGGCCGCCTGGTTAACACAATATTTCAGTCGGATTTTATACCCGCTCTCTGGCCTTGGTCGCAGACGCTTTCCACTATGTTGGTGGCATATGTCGATAATTTAGAAGTGATACTGATATACCTGCAGCTGAACGATCTTGTCGGCTTCATTGTCGCGCTGGTAGCGCTCAAGGTAGCGAAGCTCCTTCATGTCTTAGAGTAAAGCTAAAGAGTCAGATCTCCCAACGCAGCAAACACCCTAAAGAGCTTTCTTTCGGCTGGCAGCGCGCACAATTATTGGGTGCTTTTTTCAATGGCGTTTTCCTCCTGTCTCTGGGAATCAGCATCTTTCTTCAGTCCATCGATCGCTTTGTGTCGTTAGAGCGTATGGTATATCGCCCTGGTGGAGGCAATGTACTGACACATGCAGGAATTGAAAACCCCAAGCTTGTGCTGATCATTGGTTGCGTCGGGTTGGCTTTGAACCTGATCAGTGGATTGTTCCTGCATGGTTCGTTCCATCCCAGAAGAGGATTGAGTAGCAGACTAAGTTGATAGAACACGACCATGGTGAAACCAACACGCCAGATCCATCCGACGACGACCTGGAGCTTTCAACGTCCCTGTCTAGGCTCGAACGCAGGAGTTCCTTGTCCGCTCGGGTAAGTCGTTGTCTCGCCGTAAGCTTTCCCAGCTAAGACCCTTGTCAGGTCCTGCGCCCTCACCTCGAGCACCGACACAATGTCAAGTCACAAGCGAAGAAGGGCCATGATCTGGGAATGATGGGTGTGCTTATCCATGTCCTCGGTGATGCAGCGAACAATCTCGGGGTTATTATTGCTGCGTTGGTGATCTGGAAGGCCAAATATGAGGGGAGATACTATGCCGATCCTGCTGTCAGCATGGCGATTGCGATCGTGATCCTCCTCTCGTCGCTTCCTCTAGGCATGTAGCACAGTCAGACTTTAGAGAATCCTGCTGACTCAATGTAGTTCGGAAAAGTGGAACCATTTTGCTGCAGAGCGTTCCGCTAGGCGTTGATCCGGAAGATGTCAAGCACGACCTTGAAGCTGTAAGTATTGACCCGGGGCATGTTTTCACATACTGACTCGGTTCAAGATTCCCGGCGTCGAATCCGTCCATGAGCTGCATATCTGGCGACTCAACCAGGAGAAAGCCCTTGCATCGGTGCATCTGGCAGTCTCCGATGAACTGATCGCCGATTTTATGGACAAGGCCAAGATTATCAACGAGTGTTTCCATGCGTATGGGATCCATTCCACGACCTTGCAGCCGGAGCATGTCCGTCCAATTCCCAGCGATAGTAGATCAATCCAGGGTCAGGACACCGCAGAATTGATTGTTGAAGGCGGAGTCAAGAAGCGACATGTTGTCAACCCCAGTTCTGGCTGTTTGTCGGAAACCCTGTCGACATGCTTGATCAATTGTGGGAGTACCTGTAAAGGGTACACATGCTGCAGTCGGGATAAGTCGCTCTAAGGTTTTGACTCAGATTGGATTATGTCCGGGGCATGAGTGTAAAGATGTTTAGATGATATCATGGGACTTCGGGTTCGGGTCGGGATGCCGTCGTGAGGTCATCTCCGGCATATCCGTACCCCATGGATAATGGCACATGCAATGCCAACATGTACCCATCTCGTGTTTTATTAGTCTTCTAGACACGTTGATTCCTCATATGCAAATAAACGGGGCATAGCTGCATGATCTATTGAAGTTAAGCGTAGAAAGAGATGCATCGAACAGTTGATCGGCTCAAGAGTGGTTATCGCTGCGTGGAAATGCAGCTATGGGAAGTAAACTGTGACACACTATGGCTCTACTGAATTCCAAGCCAATAAAGATTAATATGGCTCCACGGAGAAGGACAACGGATCGTAGCGAGTACGAGGTCTGCAACAGCCTCATCAATGACATCAGGGCCAGCATGCCATAATCTCTGCGCATTTGCAGCTGCTTTCCTGATGATGGATGCCCATATCGCATGCGCCCGGAGTCTAATTCTCGTATGGAAACAGGCAGCGGGATGATCGACACAGCCCCGTTGCATAGCTCGTATCTTATTTTCATTACCTTTTTGGGCCTGGAGTGTCGGGCGCACCGGAGTGCTGGTATTTCTGATGTATATAAGGAGAGGTCAGTATGTGCAGGTCAAAGGCTCATAACCTACTTCACTTTGCAGTCTACTCCCGTGTCTTACACCGGTCACTATGAAGAGTCTTTTACTGGCCATTTTCTTTGCTATAGCAGCAATTGCTGCTCCCGATTCACGCCGCTGCCGATGTCAACCCCATCAGCCGTGCTGGCCATCACCACAAGAGTGGAATGCCCTCAACCGCTCAATTGACGGCAACCTCGTTGCCGTACAGCCTGTCGCTGCCCCTTGCCACATCAACCCTAACAGCACCGCCTGCCGGGAAGTCACAGCGCAGTGGTCCAACTCCGTCTGGCGCGCTGCTCAGCCCGGCGCCGTGCAATGGGAGAACTGGGCAGCCTGGCCAGAACACAATGAGAGCTGTTATATCGAGACTGCTCCATATACTTGTAAGCAGGGCCGTATTTCGCTCTACTCTGCCGTCGTGCAAAACGCGCGACACATCCAGGAGGCTGTCCGGTTCGCAAGGCGGCATAACATCCGTCTTGCGGTCAAGAACTCCGGTCATGACTTTCTTGGACGCTCGGCGGCTCCGAACTCTCTTCAGATCTTGACCAACCGAATGAAGGGACTGCAGACAGTAAATGATTTCGTGCCAAAGGGGGCACCGAAACATAAGGGTGAAGGTCCGGCTGTGACACTGGATGCTGGGATTAGTCTGCAGGAGATGTATGCTGCTCTTGCCAAGCAGAACAAAACGGTAGTGGGTGGCACTGCTCACACTGTTGGACCGACCGGAGGGTATATCCAAGGAGGTGGTCATTCGTTCTTAAGCCCCTGGAAGGGGATGGCGTCGGATAATGCCCTGGAGTTCAGTGTTGTCACGGCTTCGGTAAGTTGATGCTTTTCCTAGGGATAGTGCATGGTACTGACACGCTACAGGGAGATCTAGTCACTGCCAATGCCTACCAGAATTCGGACCTGTTCTGGGCGCTGCGAGGGGGTGGTGGAGGCACCTTTGGCATCGTCACCAAAGTCACCGTTCGTACATTCGAGGAAATCCCGCTGGTCGTTACCACGATGAACATCACCACGGCTGCCGGAGATCCCGCATTTTGGACCGCCGTGGCTGACTTTCATGCTGCGCTACCGGCCGTGACTGATGCCCGAGGAGGCGGATACTACTTCATGGTTCCAAATGTGCCGTGGGAGAATAACCAAACCCTCTCAGTATTGAGCTTTTATCTCTTCCATACCAATACAAGCAACACAACGGAGGTTGGCCAGATGTACGAACCGCTGATGAAGAAACTCAACGCGACCGCAGGCGTGTACACTCAGTACCTATCCTTCCCCATGCCCAGTGTCCACGAGGCAAGGTCAAAGCTCATGCTTGTCGGCGATTCCGACGCGACAGGATCAATCGCCTTACTCTTCTCCAGGCTGCTCTCGAAAGACCTCCTCACCTCCAAGGACGGACCCGCCAAGCTCGCTTCTACCATGAGCAAATTCCGCTATACGCCTGGGGAAGCCGTGACCGGTATGGTGGTTGGAGGCGGCGCCGTGGCTGAGAATGCTGGCAAAGTCGACAGTGCACTCAATCCAGCTTGGAGAAAGGCGATTGTGCATATCGCATACACCCGCAGTTGGAGCGCCAATGCCACTCTGGCCCAGCAGCAGGCCGTCATCAAGAATGTGACGGATGTGGAGCTGCCGCTGCTGCAAGGAGTCGAGGGAGCAGACAAGATGGGCGCGTATGTGAACGAGGCCTTTGCCTACGAACCCAATTTCCAAGAGTCCTTCTGGGGCCGGAATTACCGCCGTTTGTACAGGATCAAGCAGAGATGGGATCCGGCTGGTCTCTTTATCGCGCGCAGGATGGTCGGTAGCGAGGATTGGGATGAGCAGGGGCTCTGTCGGGTTGCGAAGTGAGCTTCTTTCTGTCTTCAGAAGATTACGCCTGAGGTTTTTCTGTCATTCAGTTTGTTTCAGAATTGTGTAAATCGTCCAAGTGGTACATAATAGAGGTCTTGACAGCAGGGTTCGTGTTTGGCGTCAGTAGATGGTAAGGTCTTTTCTTTCTCCAGCTTGTTATATCTGAATCGGCCAGGTTGCATCTTAAATGGACTTGGACTGGACAATTCTCCATCATCTTCTCGTGGCTATGTTGTATTACACTATCAACTTCGCTTACATGTTTGCCCGTTTCAGACGCTTCTGGTGAAATGGTGGCATTAAATATAATCTGTAGTTGTCGTGGTCAATCATGTATTTCCCCCCTGAATGCTTAAGCCGTGCTGCGGTGCAGTATGTCTAATACTCAAAATCCACAATCCGCCTGGCACATACAGCGATTGTACACCACTGGTCCACATGGAGATATCCACAGTAATGTCGTCTGCCGAGCATTCGAGTAGAGTGTACTCCGTAGCAATGCCACGATGCCAAGCTCGGCGGATTGCTGATTGGCGTCGAAAATTTAAACATTGCGCCACCAACCGGCGATTTGCTGACGGCACAAATGATGGCTTCGATATTTCCCAATGAGGCCAATGGTGATCCAGTGGCGCATGGCCGTGGATAGGCTGGATTTGAAATGCGGGGTTGATGTCCGTGCTTCGTGAAGAGTTGGAGGATGGATACATCAGCTGTTGATTTCAATATATGTCCAGATCGTAGTGGATAGAGACAGCGGTCATGAGAAGGACAGGCGACAATGGTGTGATCCTATTCAGAAATAATAGTAGCACTCTGGGAATCGTGAGAAAAACGATTCAGGGTGCAACAAGAACAAGATCGACTGGGCCAGATCATCGCATCAGGCCACGTCAAATGACTGCCAGACCAAGACCACCTCGAGCATTCCACTGCCTCTCTACGAACGATGTTATTGGTCTTTCTTTCGTATTTGCTTTGATCCTGTTCTCATGATCCTAGATGTCGCCATATAAGAGCTGCCAGATGCCTCATCCTACTTGGCGACATTGCATCCATTAACCTACTATACACACTATACTATATAGTCATCTACCGTCCATTATATACAGACATCACTCATAATGACCATTCCATATCCCTTACTGGCCCCGGACTGCTATGGGATGAACATCCCCAGACAATCCTGGCAGGACAAAAACCCTCGACACCTGGACCGCGCTCATGTGGAAGCCGTATTTCGCGAGATGAAGGCGCAAAAGCAGCAGCCAGTTTTAGATCGAAAGAAAGAGCCGAACCATACAAGTTGGAGAGATAAACTCTCACGAAAGTACGTCTTCCTCGCCTTGCTCACTGGGCCGGACTAATCATATGCAAAAGATTTGGCCGCGGATGAAAGATCTATATTTGGATATGAGGATTGATAACGAGCGAGGCGTTGGATAGTTTGATGATACGACACCAATACTTGATTAATTATAATGTATATACCATTTCACCATTGATGGATGTGATTCATTGTTGAACATGTTTTACTACTGCAACAGCTATAATCTGATATTCTCTTCCATGGCAACCCCATATGGTAGACACGACACTCCTAAACCAATTGTTGAAACTAGTCTAAGAAGAGCACTGTAGACTCCCTCAAGTCTCCAAGCTGATACCCGCTTCAGCGAAAAAGTTGGGATCCTCTGCTTGGATCTCAGCCGCAAATTCCACCTCCCTGACCCGACAATGCCATTCTCCATCACCAGTCTCAGGCATATACATCAATGCTAGTCGACATGACGTACAATTCCTGTTTTGAATGTGCGCTGTATATACGCGATGCCGATCTTCGGGAATCCGCTGCGCCAACGGCAGATGAGCCACCTCTGCTTCCTCGATCTGCACAATGATCCGCGCGAGAACCGCATACTGCTGCATACTCCACAGTCCTTCCTTCTGAGGGCAGCGGTAGAGCAGGCTGATTGCCTTTCGCCGGAGCACCGGATTGCGACACTTCCTAGCCGTGTAGCCGAGCGAAGAGATGAGTCCGGTCTCTAAAGAAAAGACACTCAGCACAGCGTCTTTGTCCAGTGACGCATTGAGCTCAATCAGGTCCTCGGCGTAGGAAACAATAGCTCTGAAGTCATCGTCGAGCTGGTCGAATATGAGCTCGTCTCTGGACAGGGCGACCGAGGCCAAAATCTGGTTGGTGCGGTGGTGGATGCGTAGCAGGACTGGTCCTCGAGGATCGGTCTTCTTCAGCCGTCGGCCACATCGCTTCATCAGGCTTTCAAATGCGCTCAGCCATGCGGCAAGAGCTTGGAGGAGAGCTTGTTGCCGACGAACTTGCCAGGGCGACCCTCTCGTCTTCCGGTCGGTGTCCACGGCCTCCACGAAGCTCATCGTGCGGTTGCTCAGTAAAACGAGTGAATTTCTGGCTTCTGTGATTTCCGACCAGAATTCTTGTTTTCCCCCTGATTCTGCTGTATCTAGCTGGCTGAGATTGAGAGGAATCATCTTCCTACCTTGCGTGGAGAGCTGGGTATTCCAGCGGATCAGGATGTAAGCCAGTTCTCGTGTAATCCCTTCCGACTGTAGTTTTCCATCTGTCTGATTCTCCCATCGCTGGAGAATCTTCAGTCCGGCTTGGATATGGTCTAGAGCCTTACTAATCTGTCCACTGAGAATCTCCAAGGAGACAAATAAACAGCAGCTGATCAGCGTCAGATGCGGTACCTGGTGCGTGGTCGTGGAGGACAGTTGTGCCACCAAATGTCGAATCGCCGAGTTGTACTGCTGAATAATAAAATGCTCATTCTGGGGCGCAATCTTCCGCCCTGGATCACATTTACCTTTGGAGAGGACTCTATGTAGATGTTGATGGAGAGCCCCCAGAGCGATGACTGCGTGCCGGATCCCGGCCTCGGAGTGACTTAGCTGGGGCAGAAAATACTGCCAGAGATCCGAATCGAAAAAGCCAGAGAGTGCGCGCGATGTCCGGGTGCAGAAGAACTCGATATACTGCCGTTCTTCTCGAGTCCCCGGACGCAAGACCAGGCGATGGTCGGCACTGGGTTTAGTCCAAGCCTCGGGGACAGGATCGACTACAGCTCTCTGCTGCGCCTGTGGATTTGTCTGTTGGGGATCGTATCCATCACATTTGCGTCCTGTCTTGACGCACTGTAGACATTCTGGCTGTTGTTCGTCGCATTTGACATGACGGATTCTGGGAGAATTAGGACGGGTCAAGGGAGGCGTAGAATGACTCACTTGCAGGTGATGCAACCTCTTCTTGATTTGGTGTGCTTGGCTCGAGTATGCTTCATATTCTTTACAGTATATTCAACGGCTGCAGGGAGGTCTCAGAGACGTGATAATCAATCTCACGGGGATTCAATCCCTGAGATTTGAAGCGATGCAGAGTTGCCACAGCCACACTCCGTATTTTAGTGCTTATTTTCACCAACTGAGCACGATCGCTTGGCCCAATCATTACCTACACAGTAACAGATGTTGCAGACACAATTGAAGACATTATGTACTGCAATCTCCCCAGAATGGTACTTTTAGCGGTGTTCTATCGAGTCTCGTCATGCATGCATCAACTGCAGCCAATCCATCCCCCTTGTTCGTTTCCTTGACAGTGTCATGAACCGCCGGATCAGACCAAACCAAAGATTCCCTAACATGCCGCAAGCTAGAGTTTCACTACCAGATCCCTTGACCTATAGACCTTGTAACGAGTTGAATAGAACCTGAAACGCTGTAAGTATTTGCTCCCGACCATCCCTCCAAATGCCCTCATCCTCAATCACCCCCAGATCCTCTCCCCTGGCTGCTTTCCCCATAAACTCCTTCGTGGGAAACGTCAAAGCTACAAGAGGCTCGATGGGCTGCATACGAAGGCCCTGGAGCACCTGATACAGCTGCTGAGCGGCCTTCCCACCGCCGTGTCCGCCGTAGCTCACAATCATCCCGGGCTTTCCCTTCCATTCATTGTAGAGATAGTCGATGGCGTTCTTGATGCTAGCCGGATAACCCCAGTTATACTGTGGTGTGACAAAGATGAATCCAGCATGTGAGGCAATCTCCTCGGACCATTTCCTGGTTAGCTCGTGCGTGTAGCCATCCGACGAGTCGATGAGCGATGGGATGCCCGGTTCATTGCACATGGGGAGATTCCAGGTAGCTAGGTCGATAAGGCGCAGGTTGGCGGTCGGGTATGCTTTCTGAATGGTATCCAGGACGAAATTGGTGATCTGCAGTCCTGCACGGGGAACCCGTTGGCTGCAGACGATGACTCCGATGCTTGGGGTCGACATTTATTCGGTTTTGTGCTGATCGCTTTCTTCATCTGATTTCGATGCGGACACAGGACAGGACATTCGGCGGCCTTTCAAGACACCTGAATCCTCGCACATCATCATCTTACTAGTACTGCTTATATACCAGTTTATTATCGGATATAAGCAGGAGTCTTCGGAATCGGGGATAATAAGCAGGTCGGAAAATGCGATCCGCCCGGTCCGTTGTCGCTCTTTCAGGCAGCTATCATGCTTGGTAATCGTACCTTGTCTGTCGGACGTGCTGACTACGAGGCCAACATCTCATTATGACAAGCGCATCACCTTATGACGAAGAACATGATGCATATCGTCTTAGTGTTGGAAATGGTGTGGCTATGACTGAAGAGGTGGCGGGATAAGTATGCATAGTTTGCTTCGATTCTATAAGAACTCTATCCAACAAGCTATGCAGTGATCTCCGTCGAAGGAATGACAGTAGCAAACGCATCAGCCAGTTCACTTAGAACCACCGAAACAAGAGTCTCAGCGTTGGCCCCGGGAATATCTCGGTCACCCACGGCATCACTAGCGATGACCACATCATAACCGCGCTCACTGGCCGCACGAGCCGTGGTCGACACACACACATGCGCCATATATCCCACCAGGACAACCTTCTTTCCCACATCCCCCAGACCCTTCAGGTATTCATCGAGATCGGTCTGCGCAAAGGCACTCGGGAAATGCTTGGCGATGACCTTCTCGCCACCGCGCGGGGTCAACTCGTCGAATTCCTTGGCGAGGTCGGTGTCGGGGGTGAAGACGGGGGCGCCCTGCGGCACCTCATGAACAATATGGACGATGTTCTTGCCGTCGCCGCCGGCACGGTACTTCTCTAGGAGGGTTGCGATCGCCTTGCGGGTCTGGGAGACGTTCGCGGTCTTGAGATGGCCGGTGGCGTATTCGTTCTGGGCGTCGATGATGATGAGGGTGGAATCTTTGGTAGAGGCGGTCGAGGGAGGGACCCCAATCATTTGGCGGAACGACTGCACGGAGGACATTTTTGATTGTAGAATTGTGAACTGTAGGGGAAACTGTAGGAGGGAGATATGTGATGGTGGTTGTTTGCGAGGGGAAGAAGAGTGCGGGGAAGAGAGCTGTGATATTTAAGTTATCTACGGAGTCTATACCTCGGGCAACCGGAGTCTTCATTCTGACAAATCTTTTCGGGGATCAAGTTACACAGCAGGTAATAGCTTAATAATGATAACGATGGCCTCAATAGACAGCTACTATAGCTTCCTCATTGGGATACATTATTCGCCAAGCTTTTCCGGATCCATACCGTCGTCTGCGATTGACAGCATGGAGACTAGTTCGACTAGTCAATGACCGTGCATTCGTCCGGACTATAACACCGGTATCTGACCTCGGCAGGAGAATGCAGGCGTATTCTTCACCGGGTACTCGCGTTGCTGATTTCCACATTCGTCTCGATCTGCGTTGTAGTCCAGATCTTCCCATTCGGCACCACGATGCGCTCCTCGCTGGTATTGCTGCCGTACCCTGTCCCAAGCTCTGTCGGCATAACCTCTGCATCCTTCGTCCTCAGTGAGTTCATTGTCACACTGTCTTTGAACCGTGAGAATCCCCAATGGGTTGGTTTGGATCCCGTGAGTTTGGAGGATCCGTATTTGCGCCTGGAGGAGTACTCGCCGATGAGTCGAGGCAGGAAGCGGGAGGCAATCGCCTTGAAGGAAGGGATGGAGGCGGCCAGAATACCCACGTTGGTCTCGATCACGGACCAGTACATGGCGCCGCTGATGGCGTAGGTGAAATCGGCCGATTTTAGCATGGCGGGGATGTAGGTGATGCGAATGATTGAGGAGATGCAGGCACTAGTGAGGCGTGTCAGCGTGCAGAATCTCGGCTGCGATCGAGTTACTCACAAAAGTCCCAGGCAGAGGATGAAACCAAGGGCAAACTTCTGCTTGACCGGCATCTGTAGGTGGAGGAGGACTTTGATAGGGAGCGAGTAGGTGAGCAAATCAGTCAAGATGTTCAAGGCCGCGTTGGACAGATAGAAGATATTGATCTCGACACATTGACCTGGCAAGGACGTGTTCCAGGCTTTCGGGATGGGTCGACACTGAAAGGCTGCAACCATGACGAACACTGTAGCCTGGGTGCCGACGATGCCCATCATGATCAAGGACATGCGCGTGAGTGTCTTGTCGCCGATGCGCGTGTAGAACCAGCAGACCGACGTTTTGATGAAGCCCAGACAGGCCAGATAGAACATCGAGCTGAGCCATACCACCTGCCATGGTCAGAGTTGCAACGAGGATTCTTTGATGGTGCATACAAAAGAATAGGAGGGCAGGTTGCTCTTATCCACATCAGCAAGATGAGAGCCCAGTCCCTTTTTGACAGCTAGTCAAGATCAGTTGCGGATTCCCATGAACAAATGAACAAAGGATGTTGTACTGACAGACGATAGTCACACCGATAAAAGCCCAGGAGAAAAGCTGTGTGTGTCAGTAAGGACGCGCAATTGACGGTTTCCGGTTCCTTACGCATGCACACACGATCAAGTCTAGAAATCAGTCAGTCTTCTTTTCGCCAGCATCTCGCAGGAGATGGACTTACAATCATCCACGCCTACATGGTTCAGAACGACGACTCGAGCAAACATTCGCAGACAGATAACCACAAAAGTAACGACCGCAAAGGCAATGGAAATGCCTACCACAACTGGCCCTTGAGAGTCAGATGCCATGATGAATGGTCTGGAATGCAAAAGAGTGACATGACGACGGAAGGATTAGGCTGAGAGGGATGGCTTGTTCTCATTTATTCCTCGCCCTCTTTGATCATCGTCTTGTAATCTCGCAGACCTGATCATAGCGCTGATTACGGAATAAGAGCAGTGGAGACTGGAGATCAAGTTGATATGTCAATTAACGAGCAGGGATTCTGCGTCGGTCGTTGCATCCTGCCGAAGCTCCAGAGGCGTCAATTTAGGTTATTACCGGCTACTAACGCGCAGGCTACAAGGATCTGGGTTTTCTTGAAGACCTGAAACTGATTTACCAAGCTTCTCCCCAAAGTAGCAAGACGGGACACCTGAGACAGACGGGAATCACTCCATGTCTCAGTTGGTCCGTGTATGCAGGTTTGGCTGATTATTGAGACGCCTGTTAGTGGCACTGGGTGTGATTCTATTGGGCAACATCGACAAAGGTTACTTGATATGGGACGCTTACCTGTTCTGTAGTTAAGAATGAGACGTTCGACGCGAAGGTGGGACTGTGCAGTAGTCTATTCGACTTCGTATTATTAGCCACTGAAATATAGTAGATAGTGGATTAGCGGACGGACACAGAGTGGAATCGGTTCTTTTGCCATTGCCCTAAGGAGACGAGTCTGAGCTGACTGTCCCACAAGACTGCATCAAGCTGCAAACTGGTGATCAGTTTCATCTTCAGGGGTCCGGATAACATGGACGGCACAGTCTATACTACATATGATAGATGACCATGTAGGGGATACGGACCGGGAGAAAAAGTACGTAGATAATCCATGAGATCGGCATTTGTGGTGTTGAGAGAAAGGAGGCAGGAAAAAGCAACGCTGAAACACAAGTCAACTATATTGGTAGATGTATCATAGGAATGTCTACATTGCTTCTTCTGGAGAATAGCTGCACTTCGTCCCCTATAGCCGACCATTACTGTGCAACGTATATAGATTGGTGTTCGCCATCGACTTTTTTTTTTTTTTTCTTTCGGATGCTCTCCGCTGTTCTGTGCATGTTCCAGGAATTATATCAGAGGTGATCATGCTTTGCGATTGCTGTTGATCGTCATCAATATTCTTTCGTTGTCGATTTCGGATGACTGGAATCGGAAATAGTTTCCACTGCAACACCAACCTGGACGTGTCCATCACACCCTCAAGGCATGAACAATACCATAGTAGGTGTCTACAGGAGAGAAAACGACATCTCTGTCTACTCATCTCGTTGACTAGGACAAAAGTCCATAATTCTTACGAGTCAGACCATGCTGACTGCTCGTCACTCTGCCTCGCTTCATACGCGGAAATGCAAAGAGACAAGAAGCTCCACATCCACCGTTGGGCATGAGATCGGCACTGGACATCATCCTATCATGCTACACAATAACTCGCACAATAATGGGAGAGGGGCCGAAATTGGCTATCTCTAACGGTCGTCTCGCTGATCTCTCCCCACCGAGTTTAGACTGGGATGTCACAGCGGAACTTGCCATTCGCTTGTCTCGGTTCTCAACCATCAACAACTGGGCCTGCAGATTCAGTGACTGCAGTTGCAAGTCCAGAATGTCGATTCCTACTTTATATGGCGAGGACTCGGTCCGGTTAAATACATAGAGGTCCATCGAGAGCAGGGATGTTATTGACTGCTCCAATGGCCGTCAGCTTCATCCGCCTTCATACATTAGTTGATGTACTATTGTCACACCGCGGCCTGCTTCTGCCCCTCTTACTCGCTGCACGAAATATCCAGCCTGCTGTCAGCTGCAACCGAGACTCAAGCAGTCGAGCTAAGCGGCTAGATTAGAAAATAGCCTTGTATAATTCGTGTTCACGGATTCTACCTCGCATCGGTGCGTTGAGCGTTCATCCACCCCCTCTTCGTCTGGGGCATCCACATGGCCTTTGCGCGGTCGCAATCGGGGCAAAGTGGCTCGAGGTAAAGTTGGCCTCAAAATCAATGGCAAGGCCTTTGTTTCAGTGTCCTGCGAACGCAGTTCTCTCTTGTCTTAAACCTATCCCACTCATCGAGTCACCACCATGGGTCTTGGGGAAGAGTTCCTCGCCCGAATCACCTTGACCAACGTGGTTCTGGGTCTTGTGGCGTACGTTTTGCTCAAATTTGCGTACCAGATTGTCTATTATCACTTTTTCCACCCCCTGTCTGTCTTCCCCGGGCCCTTCTGGGGAGGAGTGACTAGGCTTTGGATCGCATGGCACAATCTTCGCGAGACTGAATTGCCAACCGTGTATGCTTTGACGAAGAAATATGGTACGACACACCATCTTATCACAAGGTCCTCGACAGCAGATGCTAATTGATCCCTGAGTAGGCCCCGTTGTGCGAATAACTCCGACGCTCCTGCTTGTTAGCGACCCGATGAAACTGCCGGACATCTACCATCGCAATGCCGACAAGACAGGGCACTACATCACCGGCAGCTTTGGCGAGACTGAATCGCTGTTCAACATGCGATCGCATAAGACGCACGCAGCGTTTCGAAAGCACCTGGCGGGACCTGTAGGTTGATTGCCATGCGACCATCGACAACCAGAACCGCGGCGTTGACAGTCTGCAGTACAGTTTTACCAACGTGAAGAGGATGGAGCCCTTGATCGACATTCGCATTCAACACTGGATCGACAAGCTCAATGAGAAATTCGCTCAGACAGGGGAGATTTTTGATTTCTCATGGTGGGCCGTGTAAGCATCGACCGACGCATCCAGGAGTGACGCCTAGGACTAACCGTGATGGCATGTTGCAGCTACATGGCATACGACATAATCAGCGAGATCGGTTTCGGCGCCCCCTTTGGCTTCGTCGAGCAGGGCCAGGACGTCGGCGGGCTCATTCAGGGTTTCCACGATGGTCTGCCGGCGTTCGGTTTCCTTGCTCGTCTGCACCCCTTCACCAGCTGGATGAAGACCACCTTCATGAAGAAGTACCTCGTCGCCACCCCCCAGGACGATTCGGGCATCGGCGTCCTCATGCGTTTCCGCGACCGCCTGATCGACCAACGATTCCGCGAGCTCGAAGAGAAGAAAGATATCGGTCGCATCGACCTCCTGCAGACCTTTATCGAAGCACGCACCGAGGATGGGTCCCCGTTGGATATTGAATATCTCAAGGCCGAGGTGCTGCTGGTGCTGCTTGCGGGGGCCGATACGACCGGCACCGTCTTCCAGGCCCTGGTGCACTTTCTGCTTACCAATCCCGACGCATACCGTCGTATGATGGAGGAGATTGACGCGGCAACGGCCAAG